TATCATCGTATCCCAATTGCGCAGATCGAAGCTCATGATGTCAATCACTGGATTGTCTGGTCCAGATTCGATTATTTACAGACCGCCGTCATAATATATAGCAGGAATAGTGCTGAGTGCGGCGTTAAACTAACAAACGAACATTCGGGTTCAGCGGGTGCTATTTGGATGTGTGCAACATGTTCCAAAATGCCCGTTTAATCACGCATATGTACACATCAAATATTATTAGTTGATGGATTAACAATATGAAGAATATCAAACGGCCTATTGTATCGCAATACCACACTCACATATAAAAGTTTGGTTTTTTTAACTATTTACTTGTGCAACGAATCTAAATTATCTCTGTGGGAACTATACTGTATTGTCTTTGTTAATCTTTTTCTTTTGCGAACGTTTCCACAATTATATTCCGTTTATCACATCTTAAGACAGATCTTTTTAATTTTTTAAACAAATATATAACCCGATACTTTCCCCCATCATGAAATGAATCCAAATTATTTTTTTATTCTACATATAAGACAAGGGGATTAGAATTGAAAAAAAATTATTCCGCACCGCTTTCGCGTTAAATACAACGAAACCTCCTTCACTTGGACGTGAAGGAGGATATGTTTCACAACTCTCATATTACATAATTTGACAACTCTATCTGTCTCCATTGTTAGCTTAGTCCAATGCTCGTTTTCAAAAAGGAATAACACATTTTAAGAAACTTTAACCGCGTATTAAAAAGCCGAAAATAACTAAAAGTCTAAAAGATGAATAAAAAGTGTCACAAATGAAATGTGATGTTTTTAAGAAAGACAAGCCTCGAGACGCAGGTTGTACTCAAGGTAAAACCAGTGTTTATCTGCTCGCTTACATCACATGATGCATCAGACTGCGGGTAATGACGACAACGTCTACCGACGGTCACCAGACCACGGAGAGTTGCCCCCCTTAAACAAAGTGAAGTTACCTCCGTTGTCACAACTGGCAATCTCATTAAAATCAGATCTTAGTTTTCCGTTCCGCTAAACTTTGTTTAGCGATAGCGAGAACTAGGATCTGAATTTAATGAGATTGCATAACTGGGTTTGTACACATGTACCAATACAATAGACATGTAACACAAATTTCATAAATTGATTTGTTTCCAGGATATTTTGAAACTGCGTATTTCCTAACAGTGATAACATTTGCAAGCTCGCGTTTGTATGTTTGAACAGTACAATCGTTCAGCAATCTCACTTCACCAAATCTGCTACCTCTATGCGTTGAGATCTGTCATGAGGTGAGGTGAGGTGAGGTGAGGTGAGGTGAAATTGGGTTTAACGTCGCGTCCAAGATTATTGCACTTATATAGCGACTTGCATGCACGTGTATGTGTGTGTGTGGCTGCTTGTACTAGTCCGGACTGATGCCGATTTATAGTGCTAGCTCACTGAGATACCATGCCGCAGTTTAACATGAATACCCCACTCAGACACAGTATACTGACTCCGAGCCGACCAGTCCTTGTTTTAGCCCCTTAATGCCGAGAGCCAGACAGGGTAACAACAAGTACAATCTTTTAACGTCTTTTTGTATGACGCGGCCCGGGATCGAACCCTGGACCTTCCGCTCTCCGGGCGGACGCTGAGATCTGTCATGAGACTGGGTCATTCAGTGATGTGTAATGATGAACGACATGGTATTTTGGTACCCTGGGTCCTCCTCATGTTAAATGTACGTCGTTTCTGCTTGTTTGGTGCCGCGCTCAGCAATATCCCAGATATATGACAACAGCCTGTATATAATTAATCGAGTCTGAACCAGGACAAACCAGTGATTGACATCATGAACATTCATCCAGGCCATTTAGATTAACCAACCAAAGAGTCTGACCGCTCGAACCATTTAGTCGCCTCTTACAAGCACAGATTGCGAAGGACCTACCGTATTTCCTTTATTAGAATGCCAGGTGTCTAATGTTTAATGCTGACACAGTGGCAACTCACCACCTTACCGAATCCCTAATTCTACAGCCATACAAAGGATGCATTTGCAGGTGACAGACATTAAGTATCACCAACAATTCACAGTATTTTATAGGAAACTTGTCTTGAGACCTGGAGTCTCACAGAAGCGAAGTTTCAAGTTTTGGACAGAGCGTATACATGTGTATGACCCGGCGTGTTTTTGAGACGCGGTATCTAATAGGGGAAATACGGTATTCTCACCCGGAATTCCCATCGGTCACTTCCAAACATATTGACACTATCATGACCATAATAAAAATAACCTATTTTGATAATTAAATACTGATTATATTTACATTACTAAACAGGATGAGGGAATTTAATGTCGCTCCCGTTACTAGGACTGGGGCAGGTGTCACGTGACCGATGGTAAGATAGGGTCATTACATTTTAATCCTGTACTTGGACCAACAAAAGGCTTCACCATTAATGGATTTCCCACGTGACTGATGATGTTAAAGTCGGTAGTGAGTCGGCGGGGAAGAAAATCTAATAATTAATATATGATGACTTTATCTACAGAATGCCTGAACAGGTTTTCATACATTCGGAGCATACAAGTGGTGTATTGTAAGTCTCATATTCTCATGAGGCGTCGGACAAATGGATTTGATCGGGACTGGTCCACATGGGTAACAAGCATTGGATAGTAGGAGAACTCAACCGTGGCATGTGTGATTCTAAGGTATGAGAAATGGGGTGAGACCAGGGGAAAATATATATCGAATTTCGTTAAATAATTCATTTAACTCATGTCACCATGTCACGTACAGACAGTAAAACCAGGTGATATTTTTTTTGAAATATACATTTTCCAAACTGAAGTACCTTTTAATTAATGCCTCACGTGCTTCCTCTTTGATCTCCTTTTCTCATCTATTGTTGATTAGTGCTTTGAATGCAATGTTAAGACATCTCAGAATTTATCTCCTGTATCCTGTATCCTGGGGGGGGGGGGGGGGGGGGGGGGGGGGGGCACGGGTGGCCCAGTCATCTAAGGCGCAACGATTCGCTGTGCAGAGTTGCGTCCCCTGGGCACGCCAGAAACCTATGATTGTGGGTTCGAATCCCGGTTCGCCCCGATTATGTTTCTAGGTTTGTCAGCACCATACCCGTGCTCGTGGGTTTCACCGAAGTGGTAAACGTCTTAGACCTGCATCACTTCTGGCTTTCCTCCCACATTAAGCTGACTCCCCGTAATATAACTGCAATACTGTTAAAAGCGGCGTAAAACCCAACTCACTCCCTCACTAGTGCTATTACGTCGTTTTGACGTGGTGTTTTTGTGTGTGTGTCAGTGTATTTAACTCAAATCATGAATCTGTTTTTTTCGATGGGGTTTTACGAAGTTAACCTAATTACATAATGAAAATATAATAGTACATGTTTCTTAAAGAGCGCTGCTTCCTTCTTTTCCTGATCGAAACATATTCGTTGTCTACTTTACGCATTGTGTTGACTGGCTCCATTCCCAAGAGGCTGCCCTTTTGGCATATGGTATTCGGGGGTATCGAGGGTATTGGGACGCAAACAAAAAGGTATCAACTGTATTTGGGACGCAGATTCAATATTTAAAAAAATAAATAATGGTGTACGTAAAATATATATAATTTCAAATCGCACCTTTTATGACCAAGATACGTGTTCTATAGGATTTCGCAGAGACCATATACCGATATATGGTCTCTGGATTTCGTCTTTGATCTTCATTCTGCCTTTGTCGAGAGAATTCAGACGTGCTTTTGAGATTTGTGTTAAGTTGTCTTCGCGATTCCGGGTGATCAAATGAGACTCAACTAATGTTAAAAATTTGATGTATTCCCCCATTTTGTAGACATTCTTATAATGAAGCCCCACCATGCATGCAATCTCAATCATGAAAACACCAAAATCAATCAAATTATGATGTAATGTGATTAATTCAGAAATCCTATCTTTGTACTCCATGGAGTAATTGGTGTTGCCAAGTTGCATTTTGGCCATTAATCGACATGGCTGGGGGTCAGTCTTGTCCTTATGGAACAAATGTTATATTTTAGAGAACACTTTCTTAGTAAAGTACAGATTCTAGTGCTTTTTGGGGTCGAGTCCCATCCGGGGATTCGAACCTACACTGCCAGAGTGAAGCACCTAAATCGCCAGTACTCTGATAGTGTGGGTTCCAATACCGGAAGGGACTTAAGACAAAAAAAAGTACTAGGAAGTGTCATCTCAAATACATTTGTTACATTTGACCATTTTCTAAATGGCATTGTGTGTTCATTGTCCTTATGGACATGGTCAAATCCGATTGTCAAATATGACAGATCCTCACTGATCTTGTTGTCATATTAAAAAAAACTATAACATGAAACTAAATTATTTTGTTATGACACGACAACAAAAACAAATTGTTTCCCGAAATATTTACATTCATTTTTTACATAGTGAGTTCACTCCCCTTTTCCAAAAGGTGATGGGACGGGATTAAATCACCCCTCTATCCACAAACTGCTCTTTCCACACACTGCTCTATCCACACACTGCTCTTTCCAGACCCCTCTATGCACACACAGTTGTATCCACACACTGTTGTATCCACACACTGCTCTATCCACACACAGTTGTATCCACACACTGCTCTATCCACACACCCCTCTATACATACACTGTTGTATCCACACACCCCTCTTTACACACACACTGCTCTATCCACTCACCCCTCTATACACACACTGCTCTATCCACACACCCCTCTATCCACACACACCTCTATACAAACACCCCCACTATACACACTGCTCTATCCACTCACCCCTCTATCCACACACCCCTCTATCCACACTGCTCTATCCACATACCCCTCCATCCACACACTGCTCCATCCACACACTGCTCTATCCACACACCCCTCCATCCACACACTGCAGAGACTATTAAGTAAGCTCATCGTCAGGGCATAAAGGGGAATTCTAACCACAGAATAATGTAAAAAAAAACGAAACTCATGCATCTGTTACAGATATTTTTTATTTCAGAAATAATGTCTTTATTTGAAATCTTGTCCTTCATTTTCAGGTAATACAACAACTTCCCTAACCTAATTAAATTATCAACATGGTTTCAACAAACACAAAAACACTGTTGCTGTAGTTTCAAAGTTATCTGAAGACAAAAGGATATTCATAATCAGATATAAGTGTAAACAAAAAAACATTTGCAATAAATGACTTAAATCCCAGACAACAGAAAATCGCAGAAACAACAATGACCCTCAATCAATAAACATGAATATATCCACAAAGCAAAATAAATACATATCAAAATGTTTAAAATACTATCTGCCCATTCATTCAAACTCTGCTGAGAGAAATTCAACCAAATTTGGAAATTCCCTGTCAACACTTCTAAGGCTTGTATACATCCCCCAATACATATGGCTGACATGTGATGTAATAGTTAGGCGTATATTTCACTCAGGTCATGAAATAAGCCCTATGCTTTGCACATGTATTTTGTGCGATCTACCCTTGACCAAACATGAGTGAGTGAGGTAGGTTTTACGTGGCTTTTAGCAATATGTATTTTTAGAGTAAAAATATCATTTATACTCATACACATGACTAATAAGTATGAGTCAAAATAAGATAAAATATATATATTCCACCAATATCACGGTGGGGGACACCAGAAGTAGGCTTCACATATTGCAGCCATGTGGGGAATCGAACCCGGGTCTTTGGCGAGACGAGCACGAATGCTTTAACAGCTAGGTTTCCCTCCCACCCCTTGCCTGACAGTGAAGTAATGTGAAGAGGTTGCAAGGCCATGGCACATGCTGCACGAGAGAGACGTAAGCTGAGCGCTCATTGGTCTGAGGACTCGCGGGATTCCCTCCGCTGGAACCAGGCAGGGGTTCATTGGTTGAAAATAGCGACTACACTGCAAATGAGTGTATGTATTCACGGTTGGTTGTGAGTGTATACGTTGTGTATACAACCCATGAAGTATTGACAGGAAACAGGATCAATAAGATGGAAGGAGCCATGGTAACACTAGGATTATGTAAGTATCAATTTTGGTAATATGGCTGTATTCACCAGATGATATATGGAAAGGCTTCCTTTAGGTAAGTGAACAATAATTAATGCAATGTCGGCAATGTAGCTACCTGATCAAGATAAGTTCCAGTGCCATGATGTCAACATGTTCAAGGGAAGTAACTCAACAATCACTCGTAACGACGCCCTCCGACACTCACAGCAGTGATATCCTTTCTACACTGCATTAAACAATATCTTTGTGAATATACTATCAAGATAGTACTGAGAACGATCTAACCCAAACATGACCACATACATCCAAACTATTTTAATAAATGTATCATTTGAAAATGAATAAAATATTACACTATTGGGACAAAATGAAATGCTTGAAAGCCAGAAAATAAGACTTTCTTTTGGCATGATAATATGGCACTCATAAAGCAAAGCATGAAAGAAGCAATCTGTTCTACTAGGGTTTTATGGGGGGAAATAAGAATAAACCATAGAAATGTGTGGATTATTGTGCCAAAACAAGCTCTGGTATCAAATACTATTTGGTTTAAAGGCACGTTGTAATGTTCTGTAAGGAAAAGATGTTACAGGTATGCTTAAATTAATTTAACATAAAATAACAGAATAGATTACTCAACTGATGGAGCCCATGTGAAAACCCCAAGATAGACAGGTTATTGTAACCAACAGGAAGCAGTCTATTGGCTACTTGTCTAAAGTGCCTGGTCGGCGCAAGAGGAGACGAACCTCTGTTCACACAAACTGAAATACAATTTGTAGCACACATAAATCATTCAACTTGAACAATACATGTATCTGTGATTTAGAAATCCTTCAGCTGTATCATGCTTCAAGGACGTCATCCCACCCAAAACATTCGTTCCTACAACCATGCACTCACAACTATGCTTAGCTCAATATCAAACAGTAATGTTAGTCCAGAATCATTTAACATCCCAACCACAAACTATTTACATGAAAATTTATCAATCATTGTTTTATTGATTGTATACATGAGAAACCCTTTTACCAGATTACATAATTTGCATGAATACTACTTTACCAAAACTCTTAGTATGTCATGACAATCAATATATGATAAACATGCTTTCATTTCTCCCCATGTTAGTGACATCCTCGTGTTCCTGATCAAGTCCTATCAGACCACACTTCCTCCTCTCGTAAAAGCCACACATACAAAATGACATGATAAACAAAAATAACGTGAGAGAAAGTTAACAAGGGTCAGAAAACAAAATATCAAAACAAAAGCCTGTGTAATGGTGAAATGAAAGTGATATTATTTCTTTTACAAGAGATTTATTTGTTTGTAGCTACTTTTCTTTACATCATGAAGGGAGCTTCTAAATGCACTTTTCATTATTAACTATCACAAAATAAATCTGACGTGTTATGCTAATGAACTTAACAATATTGTCAAAGTATTATGGCAACGATTGATGACCTATCTTAATCCAGATAAAAGTACAAAATGAAGTTATCCTTAAAACTTATTTGAGAGCACCGAGGTGTTACGGTCACACACCAACCACATCCACATCATCATCAAATTAATGCTTCACAGCAGTCAGGCAAATAAACATTCAACATTCCTTCTAGAAGCTAACAGCTCCTTTGAAGATGTCCTGTTTTTGTCTTTCTATTAGACACAAAAAAATAAACATTAGCAGAAATATACAGAGGTTTGCTAGAGTGGCCCCTCTTTACAGCATCCTAGTATGACCAGAGTTGTCCATGAATGAGTCCCTGGAGTCAGGCAGTTTGATTTAGACTTCCATCCGTACATCCTATCACTTGTCTTTCTTTACTTCTGCCTTTTTCTCTTCTTTCTTCTCTCCTTCCGATTCCTCTTTCTGTTCTGAGTGATCTTCATAACTGTGTAGAAAGCAGAACTGCTGTGTAAGCATCACGTAGTAGCAGTAAAACCCTTATAATATTACCAACCTTTTGATATCACTTTGGAATTTTAGAAGTTGTAGCAGCATCACAATGGTACATGGGGCTTTATGCCTCCAGCGTTAGGTTTTATTATTAAAACAAATTCAAAATTGATAGAAAACAGCTGTTCGATTGAGCTGAGGTTAACCTGTGCTACATGTATGTCATGTGACTTTTACTGACTCAGAAAAAGCATTTGGCTTTTTGCTTCAAAGCGGGGTATAAGAGATTTATACAGCCTCTAAGAAATCCATGTGCAGCCTGACTTGTTCTTGGCGGGGTATAAGGGATTTATTCTCCCACTGAGAAATTTATTTTCCTCTAATGTTGGATACATAGTATTTTATCAAGACCACGTGGACCAATCAGATCTGGCATGGAGGTACGATAAAATTTTGGATTTCTGCAGTAACAATGGTAACAGATGGGTACGATATGTATTGTGGGTTGGTTTTGTTTGCAAGTCTTACAAACATTCAAATGTTATATATTTGTTAGCACAATTCCTTTTCCAGTAAAGTAATATCACAAAAACAAGTTGATACATAACAGCTTTTGATGCTTAGTTTCATGTTCTAACTCCAGGTCCCATGCTGAATAAGTGAGATAAAATATTTGTTTTCATTTTCTAATACCCTTAAATATGTACAAACTTAACATGTCATAAGAAAGTTATGCAAACATCCTGTGCAACATCATGTACATATATCTGAACAAAGCTGGACATGTTGTCTTAACAGAAATAACAGGAAATGAAATGTACATAATTTTTTCTCATTAATATCTTTATCTGTGAAGACCAAGGCACACGTACACAAGGATTACTGAAACACAGTCATGACAAACATGACAAATGACAAAATACCTCATAAGATTACTAGTTTCCGAGGTGACAACACTTTTTCTGAACTAGGTTTTTATTCTACCAATGTGAGACTATCGTAGTATTGTACCTTACCATGCTTTCAAACCACCAACACGTCCATTGACTCTACCAAGCACCCCCCTCCCAGTGATGCTACCTAGTGCCCCACCCCATTCCCCACCTAACACATACCACCAACATGTCCATGTGACTACCCAGTGCCCCACCCTCTCCAAGTGATGCTACCTAGTGCCCCACCCCATTCCCCACCTAACACATACCACCAACATGTCCATGTGACTACCCAGTGCCCCACCCTCTCCAAGTGATGCTACCTAGTGCCCCACCCCTTACCTAACACATACCATCAACATGTCCATGTGACTACCCAGTGCCCCACCCCCTCCAAGTGATGATACCTAGTGCCCCACCCCATTCCCCACCTAACACATACCACCAACATGTCCATGTGACTACCCAGTGCCCCACCCTCTCCAAGTGATGCTACCTAGTGCCCCACCCCATTCCCCACCTAACACATACCACCAACATGTCCATGTGACTACCCAGTGCCCCACCCTCTCCAAGTGATGCTACCTAGTGCCCCACCCCTTACCTAACACATACCACCAACATGTCCATGTGACTACCCAGTGCCCCACCCTCTCCAAGTGATGCTACCTAGTGCCCCACCCCTTACCTAACACATACCACCAACATGTCCTTGTGACTACCCAGTGCCCCACCCTCTCCAAGTGATGCCACCCAGTGCCCCACCATATTCCCCACCCCTTACCTTACACATACTACCAACATGTCCATGTGACTCTACCCAGCGCCCCCCCTCTCCAAGTGACTCAACCCAGTGCCCACCCCCTTCAGGAGACACGACCAAGTGCCCCACCCCCTTCAGGAGAGTCGACCCAGTGCCCCACCCCCTTCAAGAGACTCTAGGGAGTGCCCTGATCCCCCAAAATATCCAAGTGACTGACCTGAACAGCTCCTTGACCTCTCCTCTGACTAAAGCAACAAGTATGGGTACTCCCACACAGGCCGGCACCAGGTATAGTAGGGCAGGCTGCAACACAAAACACCATATGCTCTTTGAAGGGAGACCTGGCTCAAGCATCACTTTTTCATCTACTAAGTCAAACTGTAGGATTCACATCAAAAGATTAACCAAATCCGCTAAGACACTGTCTCATGCACATGATCTTGATCTGTAGACTGAACATGGGCTACAGACTGCAAATCATTGGGTCTCTATAAGCCAAGACAAATTCTTACAGGAAACTCCATGAATAGCCCGATTAATTTTTTTCTAAACTATGAAAATACTTTGGTATTATGATTTGGGCACATCATATCTGATCACAGGTATGACCTGTCAAAGGCTCAAATATCAACTTTCTCACAAGTATCCAAGCAAATGTTCACATGACAATATTCCTTTGAAGCGTAATATTGAATACTGATGATTCAGGTTCAACTCCTACAAGTCGTGAAAGGGAGGTACCTGTGCATGTTTGAAGAAGTGCATGACTACGATGGTGGTGAGAAGACCCAGGCAGTAGGCCACGAAGCCAGCGTAGAAGTAGACTTTAGAGTTCTTCTTTAGGCTGAAACATCAATAAATTAAAACAATAGGAACAAGAATGTTTTACAAGGGTTATGATGACATTTATAATAATCTTGACAGCTTAAGACTATGAAACAGTGAGTAAATATCACTTTATCACTACATCAGCAATCTTGCAGATATTCTTAGCAACTTTTCTTTGACATCAGCATTGTCCCACACCATATGAACATGATGAACAATCTTGAAACTTTTTATGAAGAGCAACTTTTTTCATTCTTTGTCACGATGTTTCAGAGCTACTTGTTGCTCCTTCATCAGGTGAATGGATTAGTCTTCACCTGAAGGAGCAAGAAGTGGCACTAAATGTCGTGACAAAGAATAAAACAAGTTGCTATCCATAAAAAGTGCCATGTATTCATGTTCTTCCAACTTCTAGTTGTAATGCTTGTATGTAACTGGGATCCAAAACCACAGAGGATGCCATCAGAACATCACTAAGATGATTAAAATCACATCTTTTTCTATGCTTTCTCCGTGATTCAGTATCACTCTCAAGTCAAGATCAGTGTGGAGACCTCAGATTCTCAGTACGAGTCTGAAGCATTCAGAGCAGCATAGCCGACTTTTGTAAACTTAAAATTAACATAAACTGGCAGTTCTGAATGAGAAATATTAATGGTCATGGATATTTTACACCTTTTTGTTTCAGATGCATTTTTCAATCATCCATATATGACTAAATATCAGTTTGCCAATGAAGCTGTACCGTGTTAGAAAGCTGAGATCTGGTTAGTTCAAAAACCCACGCAACCTTCCTCTTGATTGGGCAGTCAAAGTTCACTCAGAGTTAACCTGACAGTTCCTCTTATATGTCCCACATACCATAAGGAGAATGTGTTTGATCCTGACAAAGTTAGGTATCAAATTGAACTAAAAGATCTGATTTTAATTAAACTGCCTTCAGAAAGCTGGCAAACTTTGTATCCTATCAGTTCTAAATCAAGCTGTCTCAGGTAGACCATGGTATCCCACCAAACCTACCTGACATCAAAGCGTAACAGTAGAGCTATGTATATCCCTGGGATGACGATGTCCCCTAGGCCCAGCATGGCGAAGTTGTTGGCAGCCAGGCCCTTCTCTAGTAGATCCTGAGGGAACACCACTGAAATACAGCACAGTCAGTCAGTGACGAGAGTTTAACATTTTAAACAGTATTCCAGCAGTATAATGTGTCCGCTATATGTGGGTGGAAAACTGAAGCAGTTCTTAAATTGTTTACCATTTTCGTGAAACTAAAACTAAAAGCATCAAATCAAGGATATCATGAGGGAAATATGGGCCATGAGCCCACAATCTTTGGATCCTGGTATACCTAACTCTTTATCATTGTTTATCATGTTTATTGAGGAGATAACATGGCATGTATTCTCTGCATGTCTTTCACAGTTATGTTTTAGGGGTGAAGACTGATGAATTAATGAGACTGATAAACATTTCTCATCAAGCACTGTCATCTTAACGATCAATATTGTTAACTTACGTTTGATTGGCGCTTCAAATGACTTGGCAACTGTGACCATAACATTGGTTCCAAACACCTGGAAAAAGCATTGAAATAAACCTCATTTCAGAGTGAGGGAGTGGGTGAGTTGGGTTTAACGCCGCTTTTAACAGTATTCCAATCATGTCATGGTGTCAGCCTGAAGTGATGCAGGTCTTAGAAGTTCACCACTTTGGTGAAACCCACGAGCACAGGTATGATGCTGACAAACCTAGAAACATAATCAGGGTGAGCCTGGATTCGAACACACAATAATTGCATTCTGGTGTGCCCCAAGGGATACAACTCTGCACAGTGAATTGCAGCAATTTGACAACTGCCCCCAAGACATGTTAGAAATCGAACATAAACAGAAGAAATAGTAAAAAAAAAAGATAAAGCACTGTCTCATGTGCCTTAGAACAACCAAATACTGAGCTCTATGAAAAGCATCTATGTGATTAAAGTGAACAGTTTGTGTTAGGACAACTTTCACTTGGGGTAACCTGGTGGTTAACATGGTTAAAGCATTCACTCATCACACCAAAGATCCGGGGTTTGACCCCCCACATAGGTACAAAGTGTGAAGCCCAATTCGGGTGTCTCTCACTGCAATATTGCTGGAATATTGCTGAAGGTTGTGTAAACCATGCTTACTCTGAGTGTGGGGAGGATATCAAGGCAACCCGAAAATAATCAAGACAAACCAGTGGTTGACATTATGAGCATAATTCCACGCCACAACGACAGCCCACTAGCATGACCACTGCCCCTAACACACACAACAGAGATGGGGAAATATTCCACCCAGGGCCCCACAGACTGGATGTATATAATACCATGTGACTTACCCAGAATATGTCGTACACAAACAGTCCTCCCAGGAGGATGCAGCCAGTGCTGATTCTGTTGAGGGACAGGAGCTCCACACCATTCACAGCAAAGGCAAGTCCAAATAGGTTGTTGGCCAACCAATGCTGAAAAGAAATATACAGTTAGAACCAGTTTATAGTCGTTCTGAATAACAGACAGCATCCTTCTCTTCAAAACATTCACAAAAGCTGCATAAAATCTGACATTCGTTTTCAAATGTTATTTTTTGAATGCCTACAAGTTCTGTTTACATTTGTTTGTTGTTTAACGCCACATTCAGCAATATTCCAGCTATATGACAGCAGTCCTTAAACAAACAAGTCTGGACCAGATAATCCAGTGATTGGCATCGATCCATGCAATTGGGATACAATGACATGCATAAACCAAGTCAGAGAGCCTGGCCACCGGATCCTGTTGGTCTTCCCCTAACACAAGAATATCTCCTTTTTCAGCATTCAAGTACAAATGTTACTTGTTTCACAAGTTGGAAGTCTGTCAGGTCTTTTAATGCTGATTTGGGTACAACCATAACAACCACATGACATTATACACAGGGGTAGAATAAAACTTAAAAATGAAATTACTGGTGCATACTTAATCATGTTAATATATTTTTAATAAATAGTAATCATGTTAACATAGGTCTCTTCTGTGAACTTGAAGAATGTAACTGAATATCTAATATATCTTAACCTGAGACAAACTTCATTAATCATTACTCATCAAGGTTTCATTCTTTTGGACACTGGACACTCAAACATCTTCAAATTTGGTAGAGATATAAAAGAATGTCTTTAAACAATAAAAAGCTGAAAAAGTCATGAAAAATGTCTCATTGACATTGGTCTCCAGCAAAGTCTGTGCTTATGCTGAATTCAACAATATATTAGTATTTCTAAACCAACCTTTTTGGCAAGATACCAGATACCAACAGCACTACACAGTCCTAGACATACTAGATCCTTTCTGTCAAATTCATAGTTCATAATTTCTGAAATGAAAAACATTCAAAGCTAACAAAACCAGTGTTTCTAATTTACAGCCACTATGTGTAAACATGCATTATGTTGAAAACACACAAAACAAAACATGAACAAGAGGCTACTGGCAGAGTACCACCAGTACTGGTACTAGAAAAATGTATTGTTTCAATATCTCCATTTTGTCTTTAATTTGTCCATATGGCATGTATTGGCATTAATGTGAACATGGTGAAATGGGACAGGAATGTTAACATATTACAGCCTTAACATGGGAATACACAGGGCGAGATGGTAATGTGACTGTTAACAATGGTTAACCTTCTAGCGCCTCAAAGGCAGGTTGGGCTGTATACCTCCCAGGGAGATGAGAATGATTTTCACAGAGTCATTAACCAGAATATAAATGTTGTAGTGCAATGAGAATGCCAACAGGTGTGGGATTTGGTGCTATAGAAAAGTACTCATTATTATTATAAACCACACACTGGAGACTGCTAGGAGTACCAGTAAAGCTGTAAATAGTATTTGTATGAGCAGGCATCGCTTATCACTTGTGATTATCATGATTATGAGGCTAGGCAGTAATACCTTTAAAATGATTTTAAGTTCAGTCCGTAAACCAATCTAAAAAATATAACATCCAGGGTCTACTGGGACAAGAAAACCTTTCTTCATTGGTTAGCATCCCTGTCCTAGATCGTAATCATCATCCTACCTTCCTTCTTGTCACCCTTCCCTTGAGTGAATGTGAGGTGGTAGTCAAGGTTGGGGAATGAAGGTGGGATAAACTTAGACACCACAGGGCTGAAAATAACAGCACCATGATTACATGATGATTTGTTTCTCGGGCAAGTGAGACATCCGCAATCATGACAACCTTACATCTTAAATACCATGCATGATTTAATGAGGGATGAGTGAAGCCACTGTCTGCTGAACTGAGATTAGTGAAAAGTTGAAAGGACTAGTAGTTTTCTCTCAAAATGAACATGACACAATATAATCTGTTGGATGTTTTCTAAATTATGCACATGATACAAATGGCACATTACGTACAAATTGGTCTAACATGCTTAATTCCTCAAAGTCATTATATTTTATACTGAAAATGCTGATTCGTGATGTGTTTTCCTGTAAAATATCAGCGGCACTTCCACTACATAGTCATCATGTGTTATAACTCGGATGACCCACACCATCGTCTAGAGGCAAGGGAGTTAACTGTCTATAAAAGTCCAGTTTCCACCCTTGCAAAACTTGGCTGGAATTATTGAGCTATATTTTGGCTGGACTAACAAGTCTATGCATAGTCCAATAAAAATCGTGTAACAAAATCAACATCCGGTTTGTGAATTGCCATGCAGATTTCGGTTAATTGCCGGATTTGCAAAGCATGCGTACTATGAACTCTGCATCAAGAGATATTTACCACATCTTTTCATGTTGTAATGTTGGCTTATGGTTAATATACAGAGGTAGTTTCAACATTAGGCCAAATGTGCAATGTGTGTAAAATGGTGGACACGTTCAAACAGACAAGCTGTAAGTTATAACTAATCATGTCCAATCTGATTCTGTCCATTTTGATTACCTTCCAATATGGGCCAAAGCCAGAACCCCGAGGAAAAAGAAATACACAGCTAGAAGTAAGTTTATGTACTCTTTGGAGAATAACTGCAAAACAAAAGAAAAGCAAGTTCACACGTCAAATTCAACTTACGACATGAAATGTTGAAACAATGAAAGAGATCAAGGACTGTATAACAACTATAATGAAGTACATAGGAGTGTACATAGCTTTCAATATTGTTCAACAATATTTGTTTCAACTACATGTATGTCTGTTCACATGATTATATCGACATTATATGAAATAATTCTGAAAATTTGCGAAAGGGAACATTTAGGATATATGTTACATGGTTTAACAATGATAATTGCTACAAAAGAAAGAGAGTGGTAAACATGGTCAATTAAAACCAAAGTTGTATTTCATGTATCTTAATCATGTTAATACCTGGAATACAATGTAGATTCCTAGCAGAGTGCAACTTGCGATGATTGGAAACATTGCTGCATCCTTACTGGACATGGTATCTGGCTTCTCACCAGACTCCTGAAATGAAATCTGTGAAAATGATCATCTGGTAATTAACATCATTAACCATGTTCCAGTTGAACATGGGTAACATATGGTTTCAGCATAACACCATTGTACAGACACTTAAGATTTCTATCCATCTCAAAACTATAACATTCCAAACATGAATATTTTGAAAACAAACATCATTACACACTGGATCATAAACATGATAAACAAAGCTTTATATCAATAAAAGCCTGTCCTCACTTGATTAGTGTGTTTGAAAACAAATCTTTCTCAATGTTTTTTGCATGTTTTGCAGGAGAATCACATATGGTAAGTTTCCTTATGGACATATAGTATACTGCTGACGAAAATATGTGACCCAAGATAAGTGAGTCAAAAGTCTTTTCAGTACTTCAAACAATTTTGAACTTGCATATTCTTGATTTGATAGACTAATTTCAAAATTTAATAAGCCCAATTCATTTCCAGATGTTAATAAACTGAAACATATGGATTCCACAAAACATGAGCATGGGTAAATTAAAGTAACGGTAAGACATTTTACAAACATTAACCTGCAAGATCTACATAGTAAAATTGATTTTAAAAACCTTAATCAATACATTAAGAAAAACCTCCATGTTGTCAACATGGTCGTGACAAAACTCCGGAAAGCATGGGAATACCTTTTGCTCCTTATGGTGTTTCACAGAACGGAAGGCACCAACAAAAATCGGGAAAATAGCCATCAGAAATAGGCTGGTGTATGCAACGGCCATACCCTCTGGTGTGGCCGGGATTTTGGCTGTTGCATTTGCAAGAGTATCATTATTTGTCTCATTGAGAACCGGCTGGACTGTCACGCTTTCGGCCATGTTGATTCTACGTCTGCAATCACCGTCATCATCTCGTAGCCCGAGATCTCACGTGACTTATGTTTTACCCATTCTTCCATTAAATTACATTTTTCGTGTATCACTATATCTTCAAAAATTGTGTAATATGACATTTTTTAGATATAATTTGAAAAAGATTCCAAAAAATGTGCGTCCCAGAATCCATCACCATTGTTTACGGAAGTCACGCTCACAATTAAACTGGTTCCACTGTTAGTACACGAGTGTAGGTCACGCTTTCAGAAGCTACACGTAATGTGTCTCACCAGTGAACATGTACTTCATCGTCAAGTTTTCGGCCTTCGCAAAGGTGTTGCTGATTGCAACAGTTGTTTCTGGGGGCAGAATTCGTGGTAATGTAACAGTCATGGAGAACGATCGTAATCAATCGACGCAAACTACATTTGAAAGAACCAGAACAGAACATGTCTTTGGGACACGCCCACTTTTAGCAGACGACGTCGTACAAGACAATGAAGATATGGACATAATTAACGTATCGAGGAATTTCTTCCGCTCCACTGGCGATATAAGTGAAAAGATGAACATTATAAAAAAATATAAACAGCTCGTTATTGATAGCATTAATATGAAAAAAGAGACAATTGTTGCAGAAAAAGACAAAGTATGTTGTCCCCCTTTATAGCATGCATGTTAATATTCCTTACAAAACTTGTCATTTATGTTGTCGTTTGTATTTTAGTTGTTGTCATCATCATCTTCATCTTCATCATCATCATCATCATCATCATCGCATTTCTTTCTGGCTATGCACACATTCCTTCTGACTTTTATATGATTAAGTAAAGATAATAGCTTCAGGCAACTCCAGTGTATGCATGATCAGGTCGTTTTATACTTGTATCTTAATAGTTTTTGCCAGGGCTGTGGGAAACAATTCCCATTCAGACATTTTGTACCTATCTCTTGATAATAAGCACTATATAGTTCTGCTGACTGTTTCAGTTCTTCATAACGGGACTCAGAAATTTTATGGCTGCAACTCATGCATTCGACCATCATTAACCTGAATGTGCTACTATTCAATTCCTTATATTTCATGAACATTAATGCCTGTTGTATCTTTTTCAAGAAATCCAGCAAACATTACATGGAGAAGGATGCAGTTCTTGATAAAATATGGAATATGTACACCAAAGGCTTTCTCGTCAATAACCTAAAAGGTATGTTATTCCCAGGATTTATCCAGGATTCTAAAACTAAGTGCCTTTGAGCAGGTCTTGATACATCCCTGTATGGCATACTAGTATATAGCAGTACAGTCTGTGCCAAAGGTTTTGAGTCTACAGCATACATTTTAGTGCCATTATTAGCTAAGATTATTAGACAGAACCTCATATTAATTACACAAGACTTTGGACTAGTGGACCAAGTTGGAAATTGGAACAACCTTCAGATGCCACTGTAATAAAACATGTTTTTTAAAAAAATACATGAGTACAAACAAGACAGGATGCATACTAGCGCTGTTACGATTCACTTGTGTATTCAGTGAATCGAACCCTATCCCTTCATGAATTTGAATTCGTTATTCGTGGTCACTAGAATCGAAAATTTACAAAAGAAATTAAAAAACTGCAACCATGAATATGCAGTCATGTGCATTTGCATACCGTGTACCTAAAAATATCCATAAGAACTTATTATATGCATAGATTTCTTAAAAAAGACAACATTCTTATGGATTGGATTTGACAGTAATGTGGTCACTGGTCATTGTGGCATTTGAGCAGATGCTAGTACTGGATAAGTGCAGTACATGAATGTATGCTATAATGATAATTAACACTGTCAACTAGGGATGTGGGGTTTTATCGGTATACCAGTATATTGCAATACAAATTCATCACGATACGTAACGCGATACGTTTTTGGCGTATCGGTTTTTCCCTCATTATTCAAACTGTGACTGACATGTATATGCCATGATGTATAGTCCTACCTTATTAAATCAAAACAAAGACAAAACAAATGCTTCATACTCTTGATTGTAGATAAAAATAATAGTACAATTTATTAAAATTGGTTCATAATTTTGACCAAATTGTTAACATTGCAGCTTTCATATTAATATTTGTCAAAGGGATATGCTTTTCTCTTTGTAGAAATTATTTCCCAATATATTGCAATAATATTGCAATATGTTTTTGAAATATTGCAATATATCGCAATACACTTTTTGGTTCAATTCCCAACCCTACTGTCAACATGGTCAAACCATGTGAAATCATTTATTTTGTTATCGTTTCACTGAATGTAAAAAATAATTTATCAACTGCTGACTTGATGTATTCGTGAATTAGTATTCGTATTCATTACCCTATATTCGTGATACGTATCGTATTCCACTCACAGTGTATTCATTTCAGCCTTAATGCATAATCAGAACTCAAATAATGTTATATCGCAAATGGAAATATAACCTGGGGGAATAATGTAAATATTTAATAAAAGTATACAGATATTCTTTTTACAAATAGATTTTGTGTGTGGGTTCGAGTTTAGGTTCGCCCTGATCATGTTTCTAGGTTTGTCAGCACCATACATATGCTTTTGGGTTTCACCAAAGTGGTAAGCGTCTGAGACCTGCATCACTTTGGGCTTTCCTCCCACATCAAGCTGACATGCAGTGATATAAGTGGAATAAGTGGCATTAACCAGATTTACTCACTCACTTTGTGAGTGTTAACAGTTGGCACAATTATATCATCTATCTCTTTAAGTATAAGTTCAAGATCATCAAAATCATTTTTGAAATTTTGCAAAAACTTGTTATGAGGAATATTTGAATAATCCATTATTTTGCTTTGGATGATATAACAATATGGGGCAGATACTCTCTCATTGTTCAGATCCGACAATGTCTGTGACGGGTGAGCCAGTGGATTACTGGGATGTTATGAAGGGGGAGGTTCTACCTGGCAGCATTCTTGAAATTGGTGGGTGCCAGGTGGCGCTGAAGGCTGCCAGACAAAACCAGAAAAGAACGTCCATTTCTGTTATCCTCAAACATGATGGTGGTAAGTAGACTGTGCCAAACTTACGATTCTATTGCTCACAACTTGTCTCTTTGTGTTATTTCCAGTAACTTTCATTGAACATAAATATCAACTGGTGAACTTACTTAACCAAACTTTTACCAAACTCAAACTTTGGCAGGTGACAAAAGTCAAAGGCAGTGGAAGAGTCATCACAATAATTTGACTTTCATACCTCATTCGAGGGCATGGGTGGCCCAGTTGTCTATGTCACTGCAATTTGCCTTGCAGAGTTGCGTCCCTTGGGCACACAAGAAACCTATGATTGTGGGTTTGAATCCTGGTTCGCGCTGATTAGTTTTTATGTTTGTCAGCACCATAATAGTGTTTCACCCAAATAGTAAATGTCTGTGACCTGCATCTCTTTGGGCTTTCCTCCCAAATTAAGCTGACACACCATGATATAACTGGAATACTGTTCAAAGTGGCATTAAACGAGGGGGGGTGGGGGTTTTGATTGGGGAAGTCCTAGGGTACTTCAGGTTTGCAGTTGTAGCATTGAATCTAGGTACTAAAACTTTTAACTTTTGACTTTACTCTCATGACAAAGGACCACTTGACATTCAAACTTATTTTTTGATGTTCACTTCAATTTGTGTACTTCAGTTGAGGGTGTACGTTGTTCATGTTCCAACAAGGATGTCCACAACCTGTATGAGGCCGCCTCCACTCCCTCCCTGACACAAGCCTGCATACAGGATCTGCACTCGGACTACAAGGTGAGAAGCAGCTGATAAGTCCAAGTGAGGCAAGACACGTACTGTAATTGTTTGATGATTCTGCCAACCCCAAAATATGGAAAGTGGTACATAAACATAATATGAAGCAGGGTTAGAAACTAACAGTTTTTGTCCACTAGTCCTTATAATGATAACATATAGCAAAACCCTTAAAACGGGCCAATTTCTACTAGTCCTTAGGATACTTTTACTATTTGGCAGTTTGATAAGGACTATAGGACTAGTGCCAATTTCTAATGCTGTGAAGGTCACTCTTTCTTATTCAGTCAAATGCAAATGTGGATGTTCACCACAAAGATTTTCCTACCAGAGGTGAACTGCAAGAAAGTAGCGAAAAGAAAGAGGCAATATTAAATAGCACAAGTTAGACACAGCAACAAATTTTGAAACCTGAAAAGATAATTCAAAATATCCTTATTGTCATTCTGGTTTGATTGTTTTCCCCATTTACCCGCCAGGTAAACAGACACAGAAATATCTGTAAACCATGAAATAAAGACTGGCCTTAAGCCAGCAAATGTTGGCTGTGGAGTCCAGGTTGTGGTTTCTTGTCCCATGAGTTCACAAGTCTGGTTTGATTCAGAACATGATGATAAACAATGAAGCTCTTCCCTGCTATTGTATGTGATGTATACACACCGCCAAAAGAAACGCGAACCATAGAAACATACAGAGAAGTATGTACGTTAAGAAGTGATGCTTCCAACCTGGACCACTTAATGACAAAACTAACAATCAGTCAAGTGTTACCACAGAGTCATTATTCTTCTCACAATATGCTGCATGTGATTTCCAAACTTTTCAGCTAATGCTGCACAAAACAAATGGTGCATCTCAAGTCATGAATCTACAATGTCACATATAATGCGTTCATGAGCGTCGGTTTATGCAACATACCAGTATGTTCATTTGTGCATCGAACCAATCTAATATTTCTTGAATATCAGTAATTCTTCATATATTAAGCAACATGTATGGTATTCGCGTTTCTTTTGTTGTTAGTATAGCTTATTAGTTTAAAATTTTCAGAGCCAGTGTTCACACAAACATATTAATGAACTATATTTCAAATTTTCCTCAGAGAAAAATCAGTTTTGGAGCCATGAAATTCTTTAATCCTGGTAAACTGAGGTAGAAAAGCACAGTTTAAAAATATAAACATAACTGGCTACTAAATTCAGTGTTTGAAATTAAGGGGAACTGAGGGTCCTTCAGGTTTGCTGCTATAGTATTGAATCTGGGGACCCCCGGAATCTGTAACTTTAACATTGAGATTATAACAAGGGTGCCAAGACGTTCATGCTTAGTTCTGAATGCTGCTAATTACTACTGCTCTCAGATTAGAATGTTGTATCTGACTGTATTATATCTGGAGTGTTTCAGATTTTGTTCAGCAACATAGTGCTGACGAACTTTACCTCTCTGAGCTACAACCTCCTACCTCACGAATATGTTGGGCTGCTTGCGATGGTCTTCTCAATGGCCAAGAAAATCTTCATCGCTGGCTTTTCACTATCAGAGTCACAGGTATGTACTGGAAGCTATTGTATCACTTGGGTGGCACATTTCCATTTCAAAACAATGATTTGTGTTTAGATTCATGCAATTATTTTCTTATTGTGAGACTGTTTCCAGTTAATTACAGACTTCACAACTTTGTTCTCAACAAAATCAGATGTTTTACTCCAATATGATACCTTTCTCCCCAAAGATCTCAGGCCCACTCCACAGAAGGTTGCATGAGATGAACTTGTAATCAGCCAATCAGTTGCGACCTCAAATCAGTTTTAAAACCCACACAGAATGCAAATATTTGATTGTAGTCTGTATTGGGCGTAGATGCCAAATCACTAAGAAATGAAAGGGTATATGAAATATCCACAACAATATTTGGTGATGCCTTTATCGTTTACATTCAGAACAGGCTGATTAACTTCATTATCAATTTACCGAAATCAGATATGCTGATCTGAAAGTTAGAAGTTGATTAGCCAGTTTTCTTGACCATCCATTAAAGAGTCCTCAGGTCTTCACTGACAGATCGTATAGGAGTAAAAGATCTGATTTTAATGAGACTGATAAACTGTATGTGTTATAATGAAGTTCCATTCACTGGCATTTATCTTTTCCCACATAACATACTTATCCAAACAACTTCATGGCAGATAATATTAAAATAACAATGAGCTACTCAAATATATTTTTGAACTGACTGATTTTGGTGAGCATAAATCAGAAACCATCCAATGAAATATTTGTTGTGAATATGCCTTACTGCCGTTGACCTCCATTCCTCTGTGTCGACAGGAGATGTATTTCACAAGTCAGTGGGGGACGCCGGGGGGGTTGTTCAAGGAGGCGTGTGGCCTGGGGGGGCTGGTGTGCGAGGTGGAGTCTGGGTGGGGCTATGATGGGTGGTCGGCAGACAGAGGGGTGCACCGTGTTACCGTCACCTGGGGTCGGAGGCCACTGCCGAGACACGTGTGCTTGAAGCTGTCACAGAGTAGAGTGGTGAGTATCTGGAATATAATGCTTGTTTCAATATCATTTTGAGATATATGGTTATATATGGTTCTGGGTTGTTGAGAAAATGAAACAGGAAAGAATTGTTCTCAGAAAGTACAGACATTATACACAGATTCTGGGGAAATATAAGGCATTGTCATTCTGATAACCAGGCTGACCGTAATTTATAATTGATGGTCATTACCCTATGTTTTTCCCAGTTGTATCCACTCTTCATGACAAAGCAAATAGCACACAAGAAACATATATTCCAAACAGTGCTCAAAATAAGAGGTATCCTGGGGTCCTTGAACACACAGTATTTGCATCTGAGTGTAATGATTTTAAATCATGCTATTTATAGCACATATGTACATGGTCACATGACCAATAGCAAGGCGCCTCGTTGTGTTAAGGAGAACATGGTGCTCTCAATGTTTGAATGCTGTGATGTCATTAAACATTGAAACTACTTCGATTCCAGAGTTCTCAATCATGCAAACAACGAAACATTACACTGAGGACACCCTAAATGTTTTGCCTTCATCACTACGATGATGACAAAGTCTCCTTGCAGGTTTAATCTCAAACACTGAAATTTGGATAACTCTACAGAAGTTCTTCAGCATTGTTGCAGGATGGTTTGGTTGTCTTTTAAGAACAGCCTTTCTATACCTACCCTATTTTTAAATTAAGTTAACTTCTTATTTCATTCAGGTTAGTTCATATAATCTGTGTATAAAGGTCTAGTTCCCACCCTTGCTAAACTAGGCTGGAATTATGGAGTTATATTTTGGCTGGACTAACGAACCTATGCATAGTCCATTCAAAATCATGTAACAGTCGCAGATTTTGGTCGATTGCAGAATCTGCAAAACATGTGTACCATCAAGTTAGTGTTAACAGATATTTTCCAAATCTTGTCATGTTTTTAATCAAGGTGCTCATGTGATCTGATGCACTTTAGTAATTAAGACCTGTTTCATTACAATATGGATCTCTACTATCGATCACATCGTCTTCATTGGGCGACACCTTTTTATTTGAAGCAAATGCGAGTGACATGAGAGATGTAATCTGATTGGTAATTAGGAGGGACAGAGAAGGGACATAACTTGTAATAGCCACTGGTGGGGCTACGATCGAGTCAAGAAATTCCTGCCTAGTTTGGCAAGGGTGGAAACTGGACGTTTGGTCAGTTACCTCCCTTGCCTTGGGAAGATGATGAATGCAGGGTTTCACATAACCAATGAAATCTTGGAGTCATCATGACTCACTGCCAATATAGTTGAATTAATTGAGCACAATTTAGATCAGTTCCTTGAGATGTACATGAGTTTAACTTATAGTCCACAAGATATTGATAACAAAAGCAATTGAACATTTCTTTGATTGTAAGACACTATAATGATAAATATTCATTTGCTGTTACAGTCCCTTCGATATTTTTGTTGGAACTAGTACAGACTGATACAAATGTAGTATTTGAGAAATATGAGACAAGTGGGAGTTGTTTATCATACAATCTATATCATATATATGACTCATCTCAAACATGATTTTGAGTATTTTATATGAAAATCGTGTCAAGTTGCCTTCATCATGTGAAACTCTGGAATGATTTGGAACGTTTTTATTATTATACCCTGTATGAAGCATCTCCTTTACATTCTTTTGTTTAATCTGTTTTAGCATTCAGTCTGATAGTGTTACAGACTTGCCCCTGTAGTTGTGTTTGATACTCTGATGGTTCTGTTGGTTTGGCTTATAGTGTTATTCATCCTACAATGCAACAAGCCCCAACATGACGCTCGTGTTTGGTGATGGCACAAACACAACGTCACCTCTGCATGCTAATGAGGTCCATCTCAAGTCTCTGTTGAGAATGGGTGAGATCACCACAGGAAATATTAACCCTGACCAATAAAACCCAGCCCCAGCACACCACCATTTGTCACGCTGAAAGCCTGGGTTTGATGTTGCTGTAACCATACTCCCTCACACCCTCACTCACTCACTCACTCACTATTGACTATAACCTCCACACCGGCTTACATTACATAGTACTACATTCCTGACAACTAACCATTGTCAAACATAATTCTAGGAACATCTACTGAATTTCAACAATGTAATACAATAGCAACATTGTTTAACAATTACTTACAATGCTACATAACACTATACATAGACTTTACTTCAGTGACATAATTATGTATTGCTGTTGTAAGCTTATGCAACACATTTGGTTAGGGCAGCACATGAACAGAAGAAAATTAAAAGTTAGATGGCTCTACATTTTAAGCAGAATTATTTAACATAATGTCTACAAATTGGTTTAAGCTTACTGAATAGGCTTGATCCAAGGGAGTAAAATATATTCACTGCCCAAAGAAACCTGTCAAATACCCAATGGGACTGATGCCATGAGTAAATACTCAATGGCCCAACAGAGTATCTTGAGCCCTGCATATGTTAGTGAGTATTCCAGACATGTGGTAAGAATATTTTGTCAAACCTGTCTGGAATGCTTATTTTTATATCAGCTTGTGTGGAGCATCATTCATAGTTGATGTTCTAGCTTATATGTATACCACTACAGGCAGAAATACTTCCAATGCAATGTTAAAGTCTAACTCACACTAATTCCAGCTTAGAACATACAATACAGCTTCATGGATATTCAATGATATCAGTGTACAGAGGAGAGAAAGATAACACTTAGTAATAAGAAGAATCGCAGCAAGCTTTTCAGGACTAGTTCTTATAGGTCACTGCTACAAGGCAGATTATTCTCTCTCTTAAAGGTTGAGACGAACATTTATTTTTTATCGCAACTCTTATATTTCAGGAAATCCACCATGTCCAGCAAAAATGTTCTTTTTGTGTAATAGATCTAAATATTTCTGTTATTTTCTGGAACAAATGGCTTTTGTTTTTTATAAATGTCCCAGACCCCTCCTAGAAATAAGTTTTTCAATGTGGTAATGTTTAATCTGTCGTCACTCACATCTTGACCTGTGTAGTTTTATATGTGTGTCCACTTCGGCGAATTATGTTTCATTAAAGTTACTGGAACAAGTGACTGTAGCATTGTAACACATTCCCATTGCCATCCAGGTTTAACAAAGGACACACGAGACAGGCTTTTTGTGAGGATGCTGCACATGCCCCACCAAGGTCAAAGGACACAGGACATGGTTGTCTCAGGGGACAAGTTGACGTCCATAAAACTCACACGCAGGAAAAAGCATCAGGTAAATGGATCAGTGATACAGTAAGTTTGGAAACAAATTTTATAGGAACCTCTGTGGGTAGTCCTGGCCTGGATAGTTCATCAACCTGTGATTGTCCAGATAGGAACCTCTGTGGGTAGCAATGACCAGGATAGTTCATCAACCTGTGATTGTCCAGATAGGAACCTCTGTGGGTAGTCCTGGCCTGGATAGTTCATCAACCTGTGATTGTCAAGATAGGAACCTCTGTGGGTAGCTCTGGCCAGGATAGTTCATCAACCTGTGATTGTCAAGATAGGAACCTCTGTGGGTAGCCCTGGCCAGGATAGTTCATCAACCTGTGATTGTCAAGATAGGAACCTCTGTGGGTAGCCCTGGGCAGGATAGTTCATCAACCTGTGATTGTCCAGATAGGAACCTCTGTGGGTAGTCCTGGGCAGGATAGTTCATCAAACCTGTGATTGTCAAGATAGGAACCTCTGTGGGTAGCCCTGGCCAGGATAGTTCATCAACCTGTGATTGTCCAGATAGGAACCTCTGTGGGTAGTCCTGGCCTGGATAGTTCATCAAACCTGTGATTGTCAAGATAGGAACCTCTGTGGGTAGCTCTGGCCAGGATAGTTCATCAACCTGTGATTGTCCAGATAGGAACCTCTGTGGGTAGTCCTGGCCTGGATAGTTCATCAAACCTGTGATTGTCAAGATAGGAACCTCTGTGGGTATTCCTGGCCTGGATAGTTCATCAAACCTGTGATTGTCAAGATAGGAACCTCTGTGGGTAGTCCTGGCCTGGATAGTTCATCAACCTGTGATTGTCCAGATAGGAACCTCTGTGGGTAGTCCTGGGCAGGATAGTTCATCAAACCTGTGATTGTCCAGATAGGAGCCTCTGTGGGTAGTCCTGGCCAGGATAGTTCATGGAACCTTGGACTGTGGGGAGCAAGTGGTCATGGATTAGTTGGTCACAATGTTAGTGAAGTGTGTGAAAAGTATTAGAATTTGTCACCATGGAAGACAATTGGTCGTCATGGAAGACAAGCACGAATACAGCTTTTGGAAAAGGGTGGTTGTACTTAAACTACAAAAATGTTAGTATAAATGTTGGGAAACAATTTGCATTTGTTAGCCAGAAATTAGATAATTAATTGTTATATTTGTAAATATGTCACCAAATGATTTAGCTGTATATTTTTCTACATGTCAACATAAGTAGTACACTTCAGAAAGGGGGTTGCAGGATCTGGATTCGTGTATGGAAGGGTGGGGTGACTGAGTTAAAATTAAATGTCATGTAAGAAATATTTCAGCTATAAACAAGAGCTCTGCTGTGGTTTGTTTGAGTTTGAGTGATGAATTAAGAGAATCTGTTGACCACCATTTCCAAATTAGGGTCCAACCATTCGATATTCTGGGATAGGCCTGGCATTTTGTATCAAGATATTTTTTCAGCCTCTGCTACAAAAACAGATATTTCTAATTAAAACTAAGAGCCTTTTTATAAAAAAAAGAAAAACACAACAATGTAATGTATGTGGAAGGCAATGTTGTTTTCTTTAACACTCATTACCAGGGTATTAATTTTTAAGAATTTTTTGGGACAATATATTTCGATAAAATCCTGTGTGCATCATAAACAGTCTTCTGTCATTTGTATGGAGTTTGTACAAACTGTCAGTACTTTTAAATGCAACATGTCTAAGTCTTACATGTTTTTTAGTTGGAAGACGAGACTGACCAAAAAAACAGTAAAAAGGAAATGACTTTTGACAATATATGTTGTGTCCAACTCTATTTTTCTATCAGGTGAAATGAAAAAACCCCACAAGAAATGGTGCATAATACCTGTGATAGTTTTTCTTTCATTTGTTGCAGTACTAATCTGGAAGTTAATGTTTAAAAAAAAGAAAAGATTTTCAACCAAGTACATTGAATTTTAGGCTAATATTTTCTTTTTACCTGGTAACCAACTTATAAAAAATATAAGGCCTTAATGTGAATATCTTTTCCAGGTCATAAAATCATCTCCAAACTTGGGAAATGTAAAGTCATTTCCTCAAGATGAAATAAAAGTTTTGACGTTGAGGCAAGGAAGCCGTGATTCCCACTCAGAAGACACGCCCACCAACTGGGACAGGGAGGAGGGAGGCATTGGGATGCAGTCTGTACAGTGGGGTAGGGGGTGGGACAGGGAGAGTAGTGATACCAACCACCACCAGGGGGAGCTGAGGGATGGCAGCCAATCAATGGACAGAGAAGTGAAGGGACCGGAGGATTCTGGGAGAAAACAAAATGACGATGATGGTTCTGAGAGAAAGGAACTGACAGATGAAGAGAAGCAAATTCATAAGGGACTGGATTATTTGCAAAGCAGAAATTCTGTATCTGACAAGGTGATTGTGAAGGAATCGGTTTCTAATATGTCTGCCACTGGCAAGAGTGTCCATGTTGTTCGAAATGATTCAGAAAAACATGAATCCAACGAAAAGACTGAGTTTTCAAGAGTTGATTCTAAGAATGTTTTGAAGATGCCAACAAGAATCGTTCAAAAACCTGGACACCTTGTTAAAAGATCATCCATTCTCAAATCATTCATTCGTCAGAAGCCTGTGTCTGGGTCAAATATACCCTCAAAATCTCAAAATGGATCACATTCAACCTCATTTACATCTAAACAGAACCTGAGGCTTAGAAGAAAAAGAAGTAAGAAGAGATTTCCACTAGACACTGGAAGTCAACTTGAACCAGAAAAACCGAAAACCGTACTGTTACATGACACGGGGAAACTACTAAATGTGTTGACAAACGGAGGCCGAGGTCGCAACAACTCCAGAGGATATGAAATGTCTCCAAATCAGGTATATCAAATTATATATCTCCACATTGGGTATTTGTATTGATATATCTCCACATTGTGCATGTGTATTGATATATCTCCACATGGGTATGTGCATTGATATATCTCCACATTGGGCATGTGTATTGATATATCTCTATATTGGGCATGTGTATTGATATATCTCCACATTGGGCATGTGTATTGATATATCTCCACATTGGGTATGTGTATTGATATATCTCCACATTGGGTGTGTGTATTGATATATCTCCACATTGGGCATGTGTATTGATATATCTCCACATCGGGCATGTGTATTGATATATCTCCACATTGGGTATGTGTATTGATATATCTCCACATTGGGTGTGTGTATTGATATATCTCCACATTGGGCATGTGTATTGATATATCACCACATTGTGCATGTGTATTGATATATCTCCACATTGTGCATGTGTATTGATATATCTCCACATTGGGCATGTGTATTGATATCACCACATTGGGCATGTGTATTGATATATCTCCACATTGGGTGTGTGTATTGATATATCTCCACATTGGGTATGTGTATTGATTTATCTCCACATTGGGCATGTGTATTGATATATCTCCACATTGGGTGTGTGTATTGATATATCTCCACATTGGGCATGTGTATTGATATCACCACATTGGGCATGTGTATTGATATATCTCCACATTGGGTATGTGTATTGATTTATCTCAACATTGGGTGTGTGTATTGATATATCTCCACATTGGGCATGTGTATTGATATATCTCCACATTGGGCATGTGTATTGATATCACCACATTGGGCATGTGTATTGATATATCTCCACATTGGGTGTGTGTATTGATATATCTCCACATTGTGCATGTGTATTGATATATCTCCACATTGGGCATGTGTATTGATATCACCACATTGGGCATGTGTATTGATATATCTCCACATTGGGTATGTGTATTGATATATCTCCACATTGGGTGTGTGTATTGATATATCTCCACATTGGGTATGTGTATTGATATATCTCCACATTGGGCATGTGTATTGATATCACCACATTGGGCATGTGTATTGATATATCTCCACATTGGGTATGTGTATTGATATATCTCCACATTTGGTGTGTGTATTGATATATCTCCACATTGGGTGTGTGTATTGATATATCTCCACATTGGGTATGTGTATTGATATATCTCCACATTGGGTTTGTGTATTGATATATCTCCACATTGGGTTTGTGTATTGATATATCTCCACATTGGGCATGTGTATTGATATATCTCCACATTGGGCATGTGTATTGATATATCTCCACATTGGGCATGTATATTGATATATCTCCACATTGGGCATGTATATTGATATATCTCCACATTGGGCATGTGTATTGATATATCTCCACATTGGGTATGTGTATTGATATATCTCCACATTGGGTATGTGTATTGATATATCTCCACATTGGGCATGTGTATTGATATCACCACATTGGGCATGTGTATTGATATATCTCCACATTGGGTATGTGTATTGATATATCTCCACATTGGGCATGTGTATTGATATATCTCCACATTGGGTGTGTGTATTGATATATCTCCACATTGGGTATGTGTATTGATATATCTCCACATTGGGTTTGTGTATTGATATATCTCCACATTGGGTTTGTGTATTGATATATCTCCACATTGGGCATGTGTATTGATATCACCACATTGGGCATGTGTATTGATATATCTCCACATTGTGCATGTATATTGATATATCTCCACATTGGGTGTGTGTATTGATATATCTCCACATTGGGTTTGTGTATTGATATATCTCCACATTGGGCATGTGTATTGATATATCTCTATATTGGGTATGTATATTGATATATCCCCACATTGGGCATGTATATTGATATATCCCCACATTGGGTGTGTGTGTTGATATATCTCCACATGGGTATGTGTATTGATATATCTCCACATTGGGTGTGTGTATTGATATATCTCCACATTGGGTTTGTGTATTGATATATCTCCACATTGGGTTTGTGTATTGATATATCTCCACATTGGGTTTGTGTATTGATATATCTCCACATTGGGTGTGTGTATTGATATATCTCCACATTGGGTTTGTGTATTGATATATCTCCACATTGGGTTTGTGTATTGATATATCTCCACATTGGGTGTGTGTATTGATATATCTCCACATTGGGTTTGTGTATTGATATATCTCCACATTGGGTATGTGTATTGATATATCCCCACATTGGGCATGTGTATTGATATATCCCCACATTGGGCATGTGTATTGATATATCACCACATTGGGCATGTGTATTGATATATCTCCACATTGGGCATGTGTATTGATATATCTCTATATTGGGTATGCGTATTGATATATCTCCACATTGTGCATGTGTATTGATATATCTCCACATTGGGCATGTGTATTGATATATCTTAACATTGGGTATGTGTACTGATATATATCACCACATTGGGCATGTGTATTGATATATCTTCACATTGGGCATGTGTATTGATATATCTCCACATTGGGCATGTGTATTGACATATATCCACATTGAACATGTGTATTGATACATCACCACATTGGGCATGTGTATTGATATATCTCCACACTGGGTATGTGTATTGATATATCTCCACATTGGGTTTGTGTATTGATATATCTCCACATTGGGCATGTGTATTGATATATCTCCACATTGGGTATGTGTATTGATATATCTCCACATTGGGTATGTGTATTGATATATCCCCACATTGGGCATGTGTATTGATATATCTCCACATTGGGTATGTGTATTGATATATCCCCACATTGGGCATGTGTATTGATATATATCTCCACATTGGGTTTGTGTATTGATATATCTCCACATCGGGCATGTGTATTGATATATCTCCACATTGGGCATGTGCATTGATATATCTCCACATTGGGCATGTGTATTGATATATCTCCACATTGGGTATGTGTACTGATATATATCACCACATTGGGCATGTATATTGATATATCTCCACATTGGGCATGTGTATTGATATATCTCCACATTGGGCATGTGTATTGATATATCTCCACATTGGGCATGTGTATTGATATATCTCCACATTGGGCATGTGTATTGATATATCTCCACATCGGGCATGTGTATTGATATATCTCCACATTGGGTATGTGTATTGATATATCTCCACATTGGGTATGTGTACTGATATATATCACCACATTGGGCATGTATATTGATATATCTCCACACTGGGTATGTGTATTGATATATCTCGACATTGGGCATGTATATTGATATATCTCCATACTGGGTATGTGTATAGATACTGGGTATATCTCTATATCGGGTAGATGTGATGGTATAACTTTCAACCTGTCCATAGCATGGTATATCTTCTGATACATATGATGGTATGTCTTTCAGCAAGTACATATGATTACGGCAGGTATTTAGAATGACACTTCTCCATATTTCTTTGCAGAGAAAGCTCCTGAGCTATTCGCCAGACTCGAGTTACAGCAGCAGAGGTAACACACATGCAGCATCAGTAGTTACAACCTCCAGCCCACCCCATCCTGCTGATTGCTGATAGGCGTGTGAGATCAGAGCCTCAACATCTTCCTAACTGTTCATCTAGCTCCTAGTATTGAAAAACAAACACCAAATACACAGTTTTTACACACAGAGCACATACAGAGCTAAAAGGGTTCTCCGTAGTGTATGATTATAACACAGCTTGCATTTGATTTCAAATCCCTGGATATCACAGGTGAACCCGTTTAGACCGAGGTATAACACGGGTTTACCTGAGTTGACCAATTTTAGCATGTGTTAACTGATTGACGTCAAATTACGGTTGACCAGGGTTTAACATACCTACTAAACTCCTGGGGTGCGGGACTCTAGTTAGCAGCCTGAAATTGACGTCATCATTATAGCTAATAGGTTTCATTTATTGATTCAGTCATGAACAGAAGCATTTTAATGAATACCATTAACTAGGTTTTTTAAAAAACAGAAGAAGAACAATATCATCAATAATATGCGAATCTTATTTTGCACCGTGATAAAACTAATACTGTTAGAAGTGGTATAAAATCTCATCTTAAACCTTGATATAACTGTAGTTTTGTGAGAAGTGGTATGAACCTTACATTGCACCATGTAACTGTAATATTGTTAAGATCCCTTCTAATATCGTAACCACTACGTTATTAGTTAAAGTTTAAGTGTTTTTAAGTATAAATGCATTGTTTTTCCCGTCTAGATGCCTACAAACACTACACACGGCCCAGGCCTTCACCAGCTGCCAACACACATGTGGTAATTATAGAGTCAGAGGAATCTGTACCAACATTCATTGCAAACTGTATTATACACAGTAGAATCACTGCCTCAGGGAATTTATTGAAAAATATTTACAATATAAGAAGACTTTGTATGAGTTTTAAGCAGACCCCTACATGCACTATTTAGATCGATTATTACTTTTCATGAAGTTGTTCTTATGAATTGATCAGACAAGAGACATAATAATCTTAACATTAATATTTTCTGGAAACTATCCATGTTGAACACACCATATTGCCAGCTTCAGTAATGTTGATGGGAGATGGGGGGTTTCTTATTGAGATGGACAGGGATCAAAAATGGATTTCCAGCAAAGCAGGCAATGAACGAGTTAAAGTTAAAGTTAAACAAGGACCCCAGTACCTTATGCTTGTTAAAGCAGGGCTGCTGACTTGGTTGATGCATGTCATTGTATCCCAATTTTGTGGATCTATGCTCATGATATCAATCACTGGATTGTTTACAGACCAACGTCATATAGCTTGAATATTGCTAAGTGCTGTGTTAAACAACAAACAAACAAAACAGAGCTGACTAATATGGCATGGGGTGACCTGGCTCAGTGACCTGACTGTTTTTGTGTGATTGACCCCATGGCATGTTGCTCATGCTTTCAATCATTGGTTTGCCTGGTCCAGACATGACATAGCTTCAACACTGCTGATTGCTGCATAGAGTCACATTCACTCACTCACTCTACCACTAGCAGATAAGCCAGAGTCATCCAATGAGCATTTTTATATGAAGATTATGTATTTTTTTCTTGGATTTTTTAAATTATTAATATAGCAACCAGAATGGAGTTTCAAACAACCTATGGTAACCGAGGAGATGGTGTACGACGGTCAATGGAAGGCTGTGAAGTCCTATATATCAGATGTTGGCATCCTTGACATCAACTTTAGCGTCTTCATATATGGTAAGTAGACTCGAGTTTCTAAAAATAGAATGGGAAATCCCACAAACCTAAGCCAATCATATGTCTCTCTTTGTTGGAACCTCCTACCATAGCTAAAAAAAGTTAAAGATTGATAAGATTTATATGATTAATACCTTTTTCTATGTACCTGAAAAAAAACAACTTCGACCTCAGACTTTAATGTCAGTCAGTACTTGGTTTTTTAAGTCCATAAAAACAGGTATTGACCTCATATAAAATCTGTAATTGTATAGTATCACGGCATTAGTCTGTCGTGTTGCAACTGATATTTCTGTCATGTATGAAGTTTTATTTCTTCATTGACAATGATTTTATATGTTTATCTGTTTTCAACTGTTCCACAAACTAATGTTAACATTTAGCCATTATAAACTAAAATGCTGATATTGAGAGTTGTATTGTTGAAGGTAGAAAGCCTGAGAGTTTGATCGGTGGGAAGGTGGCCATGCTGTACCCCCAAAGCAGGGTGGTGACGGTCATCCCTCCGGCACATGCCACACTGGTGGAGTCTCACAGGTGAGCAGACTACCGTATATCGCTGTGTATAAGGCGAGTTTTTCGTACCTAAAATGAGGGGGCTAAGAAGGGGGGTCGTCTTATACACGGAGTCGAAGATCTCACATTTTTTTCCACTGGCGATGTCAACCGGCCAGCCCGATAGCCAGCCCAGCATTTGACAATAAAACTTTGCATTTCATCCTAAATAACTGATCCAATAACTATTTCCATACATTAACATGATTTGTATCTCTTTTCCTTGAATAAAGTTTAATAATTTCTGCAAATAAAGTTGAAATGACCCTCACCTCGATGCAGATTGTCAAACCACCTGACACGGTAAAAAAATCAACATCCGTGAGCAGAGAGCCGGAAGTACCGGTAAGCATTTGCATATTGCACATGTGACCTAACATGTGATAACCGGTGAAGCTGAAATCAATTCCCGCTGTTTTTACAGTTGTATTAACAAGTGTTGGAGACGGTGTGTACAATATTGGAAGTACCGGTAATTTATCCATATTTTTCGTGATGTATGATATATATCTTTGTTTTCAGGTGTAAAAGGAATGAAGGTTGTATTGATGAGCTTGTATGAAATAATCGTCAATATTTACCATTTGTGTTTCAGGAAATTCATCAGCTCACTACCTCATGAAAACAGTCTTGTGTTCTGTCAGGACTTATCACCTGCTCTTGTCAAAGACATGTATACAATGCCAGAAATGTTCAAATTCCAGGTCAGTTATGTCAAAGAAAAATGGCTTGTAGTGATATCTGTCTCTTGTGTCATGGTATTCATAGATTTTGTGCAGTTTTCCAGGAGAGAATACCGTAAGTGCTTTGTTCTAAGCACCCCCTGACCAACTTATAGACCTATCTGTAAGTAATCTTTATAAGCGCCCTTACTAACGTCCCGCATCAGGTTATAAAACCAGGTGAACCAATCTGATCTCATCATTGTGACATGGAGGTATGATAAAGTATTTTATCAAGATCATGTGGATCAATCAGATCTCATTGTCCTGACATGAACCGCCATCATAAAGCTGGAATATGCAGCGTTAAACAACAAACAAACAAACATTCTGACGTGGAGGTATGATAAGTACCTATATTACCTGGGTCCTACTTTCTGTACAGGTGCTGGGACTGGATGTATTCCATCACATGTTGGCACTGGGTGATACATACCTATATTACCTGGGTCCTTCTCTCTGTACAGGTGCTGGGACTGGATGTATTCCATCACATGTTGGCACTGGGTGATACATACCTGTATTACCTGGGTCCTTCTCTCTGTACAGGTGCTGGGACTGGATGTATTCCATCACATGTTGGCACTGGGTGATACATACCTATATTACCTGGGTCAGATTCTCACAATGGCAGAGACAACTTTCCTGGAGATTCCCCATTTTGACCAGCTCACCGTTGCCCAAGCTGTCTTCAGTGACAGAACATCACCCGTTCCAGCACAGGTTAGCAAGGTTATTATACATTGTAATCAGGGGCGGATCCAGTATATTTGAAAGGGAGGGGTCCAAAGTATCAAAATCCTGTCTCTAGATAATTTTACTGCTTTCAACAGACTACATTTGGTGTTATTTACTATGGAGACATAAACATTAGATCAGTATAATGTATCCATGTGGGACATCAAACCAGGGCTTTGGCATGACAAGGCAAATGCTTTAACCTCTGTGCTACAAAACCGGGTCCTTAATTCTTGGAAGAACATTCTAGATGTAGATTAGTCATGAAAACTGGTTCAGTAGTCATGATAATTTAATTGAACATACATTTGTTGACATTCTCATATATCACTGTGGCTTGAAGGCTTTTGGTGGCAATGACAAACAATGGAACTTGATTTAACCAAGTCACTTTATAGCTACATACTAGTAAACATAATAAAACATTCAGCGTTTTAAGTAAAATTTTATTAATATAAATACCCTGGACCTGGGCAGGCTCTCTACATCTTGCGAATCAGAAACTTTCCACAAAATGTCTGTATGGTTGCTTATGGGTCCAGGGTATTTATCATAAAATGGTGGGTATATTATATTCTAAGAAATACCTATGAAACAATTTATAAGGGAAGTCAACCCTATTTTCTCCAATCCCTAGGGGCTGATAGTGGATGCGCTAGCCCTTGTAGGAGCGGAGGCGGAGAGTCTGCAGATCCTCAGGGTGTTGATTCAGGAGGAGGTCCATAGTCTCATCATCAGGATCAGACTCAGATCCATGCAAAGGAAGGTGGGTTTCCCTACAGTAGGGGCTCAGTGCAGGATCTGGGATACCCAACAGTGATTATGTGAGGGATCTGGGATCCCCAACAGTGCTTCTGTGAGGGATCTGAGATTCCCCAACAGTAGTGGTTCTGTGAGGGATCTGGGATTCCCCAACAGCAGTGGTTCTGTGGTAGATCTGGGATTCCCCAACAGCAGTGGTTCTGTGGTAGATCTGGGATTCCCCAACAGCAGTGGTTCTGTGAGGGATCTGGGATTCCCCAACAGCAGTGGTTCTGTGAGGGATCTGGGATTCCCCAACAGCAGTGGTTCTGTGAGGGATCTGGGATTCCCCAACAGCAGTGGTTCTGTGAGGGATCTGGGATTCCCCAAGAGCAGTGGTTCTGTGGGAGATCTGGGATTCCCCAACAGCAGTGGTTCTGTGGTAGATCTGGGATTCCCCAACAGCAGTGGTTCTGTGAGGGATCTGGGATTCCCCAACAGCAGTGGTTCTGTGAGGGATCTGGGATTCCCCAACAGCAGTGGTTCTGTGAGGGATCTGGGATTCCCCAACAGCAGTGGTTCTGTGAGGGATCTGGGATTCCCCAACAGCAGTGGTTCTGTGAGGGATCTGGGATTCCCCAACAGTAGTGGTTCTGTGAGGGATCTGGGATTCCCCAACAGCAGTGGTTCTGTGGTAGATCTGGGATTCCCCAACAGCAGTGGTTCTGTGAGGGATCTGGGATTCCCCAACATCAGTGGTTCTGTGGTAGATCTGGGATTCCCCAACAGCAGTGGTTCTGTGGTAGATCTGGGATTCCCCAACAGCAGTGGTTCTGTGGTAGATCTGGGATTCCCCAACAGCAGTGGTTCTGTGGTAGATCTGGGATTCCCCAACAGCAGTGGTTCTGTGAGGGATCTGGGATTCCCCAACAGCAGTGGTTCTGTGAGGGATCTGGGATTCCCCAAGAGCAGTGGTTCTGTGGGAGATCTGGGATTCCCCAACAGCAGTGGTTCTGTGAGGGATCTGGGATTCCCCAACAGCAGTGGTTCTGTGAGGGATCTGGGATTCCCCAACAGCAGTGGTTCTGTGAGGGATCTGGGATTCCCCAAGAGCAGTGGTTCTGTGAGGGATCTGGGATTCCCCAACAGCAGTGGTTCTGTGAGGGATCTGGGATTCCCCAACAGCAGTGGTTCTGTGAGGGATCTGGGATTCCCCAACAGCAGTGGTTCTGTGAGGGATCTGGGATTCCCCAACAGTAGTGGTTCTGTGAGGGATCTGGGATTCCCCAACAGCAGTGGTTCTGTGGTAGATCTGGGATTCCCCAACAGCAGTGGTTCTGTGAGGGATCTGGGATTCCCCAACAGCAGTGGTTCTGTGAGGGATCTGGGATTCCCCAACAGCAGTGGTTCTGTGAGGGATCTGGGATTCCCCAACAGCAGTGGTTCTGTGAGGGATCTGGGATTCCCCAACAGCAGTGATTCTGTGAGGGATCTGGGATTCCCCAACAGTAGTGGTTCTGTGAGGGATCTGGGATTCCCCAACAGCAGTGGTTCTGTGGTAGATCTGGGATTCCCCAACAGCAGTGGTTCTGTGAGGGATCTGGGATTCCCCAACAGCAGTGGTTCTGTGAGGGATCTGGGATTCCCTAACAGTGGTTATGTGGTAGATCTGGGATTCCCCAACAGCAGTGGTTCTGTGTGGGATCTGGGTTTCCCTAACAGTGGTTCTGTGGTAGATCTGGGATTCCCCAACAGCAGTGGTTCTGTGAGGGATCTGGGTTTCCCTAACAGTGGTTCTGTGGTAGATCTGGGATTCCCCAACAGCAGTGGTTCTGTGTGGGATCTGGGTTTCCCTAACAGTGGTTCTGTGGTAGATCTGGGATTCCCCAACAGCAGTGGTTCTGTGTGGGATCTGGGATTCCCCAACAGCAGTGGTTCTGTGTGGGATCTGGGATTCCCCAACAGCAGTGGTTCTGTGTGGGATCTGGGTTTCCCTAACAGTGGTTCTGTGGTAGATCTGGGATTCCCCAACAGCAGTGGTTCTGTGTGGGATCTGGGTTTCCCTAACAGTGGTTCTGTGTGGGATCTGGGATTCCCCAACAGCAGTGGTTCTGTGTGGGATCTGGGTTTCCCTAACAGTGGTTCTGTGGGAGATCTGGGATTTTCCAACAGCAGTGGTTCGGTGAGGGATCTGGGATTCCCCAACAGCAGTGGTTCTGTGGTAGATCTTGGATTCCCCTACACTGGCTCAGTTGTAGATCTGGGATTCCCCTGCAGTGGCTCAGTGGTAGATCTGGGATTCCTCTACAGTGGCTCTGTGAGGGATCCGGGATTCCCCTACAGTGGCTCAGTCGTAGATCTGAGATACCCTATAGTGGCTCAGTCGTAGATCTGGGATTCCCCTACAGTGGCTCAGTGAGGGATCCAGGACTCCCCTACAGTGGCTCAGTTGAAGATCTGCGATTCCCCTACAGTGGCTCATTGGTAGATCTGGGATTCCCCAACAGCAGTGGCTCAGTGGTAGATCTGGGATTCCCCTACAGTGGCTCAGTGGTAGATCTGCGATTCCCCAACAGCAGTGGCTGAGTGGTAGATCTGGGATTCCCCTACAGTGGCTCAGTGGTAGATCTGGGATTCCCCTACAGTGGCTCAGTGGTAGATCTGGGATTCCCCTACAGTGGCTCAGTGAGGGATCCAGGATTCCCCTACAGTGGCTCAGTGGTAGATCTGCGATTCCCCAACAGCAGTGGCTCAGTGGTAGATCTGGGATTCCCCTACAGTGGCTCAGTGAGGGATCCAGGATTCCTCTACAGCAGTCCTATTTGTAAGAGGTTATATAATGGATGGGGCGGTCAGACTGGGTTACTTGGTTGTGTATCATTGCACCCCAGCCCCAATAATTCACTCCAAGGGCTTCAGACCAAGCTGTATATTTCAGGTGGAGGTCGGGTGTGACCAGACTCCTGGCACCCTCACCCTGCTCCCAGATGGCGCTGTGTCTCTGCACATGGAGGCTATCGATACATTCTACACAGTCTCACGTACCAAAGTTTCTGTCTGCTTGGATCTACTTCTTAGACTGGATCCACAACCACAGGAAAGGTATGCTTCTAAATAGTCATCTACTGTCCATATGCTGGTATGCATCCTTTGTCACTTCACCTAAATAGTAAGCGTTTGTCGTGTCATGGACAAGATTGTTGTCTGCCCATTCTCTAGCCAGAACTTGAAACTCTCCAAATCACTGTCACACTTCCAGGACATGTTCTGCATGTTCATGGTCACAACATTAACTGGTTATTTTAAAAATTTAAATGCAGCAAATTTTATGTCAAAATTTTCTCTTTCCATATTGGAGGATGTTCATAACATGAAGTAAACGTTCTCTGAAATCAAATTTTTCAAATCAAATTAATCTCAAGATTTTTCAGCTTCTCCCAATTATCAAAAATATGTGAGTGATATCTCAAAGTGGGTAGGCTTGATTGTAAAATGGAGTTGATGTAGTGCTTAGATATACACCACCCTAGGTGAAAAGCAAGAGATGGGTATGGTGCTCACCCATTATCTTAAGATCATCTCACACCAAAGGGATGCAACTCTGCACAGCAAATTATGGCAACTTAGAATTTTACATGACTGGGCCATCTTTATCAAGAACCGGTATACTGAATTATTCAGAGAACCTATGAAATGAAACTCAATGAAATATTATTTTTTATTACCTTTTACAGCACCTCATTATAAAGTCAAGTTTTATACCGCTGTATGACGGTGATCTGCTTTACCTCTATACTATGCTCATGGTTGGTGGATGTAAGGTATAACACCTACCAGAGCAAAAACCATAAGCATAAATTATTATTTAAATATTTTAATTATTTTTTTATTTGTCCAATCAAAATGGTAAGCAATATTTTTTATTTTGACATACACAAATTAATGGGACAAAAACAAATAATAAAATATATAATGTGTGGTCTTGTTACTGTTGTAAAATATTGTTACATGTACATTTGACAGAGCCTTGTTGTTCCAAAAGTACTTGAAGCTCTCCATCTTCCCCGACATGTGCCCCGCCCACCTGGTGTGGGGTGGCCATCAGCTGATGTACCAGCCTGTCATGGAGGAGGTGAAACCAGTGCTGCTCCACACACAGGGGGGGACAAGGGAGTCTGACATGACACAGGTACTGTGTAGCACTGGGGGTAGATTCATCCGTCTTATTGACCCCACGAAACAATCACCCCCAATCTCATTTAAATCCGATCTTAGTTTTCGGTACCGCTAAACAAAGATCTGAGGACATCCCATAATGGGTCACGTCAGAGCGACCTTTCGCAAACTTTGACCGACCAATGAAATGACTGACAAGCAATCGACATAAGCCAATCAGAAGGCAGCTTTCTCGAGGTTTGCGACACAAGTTTCAAACTGGCGAATGTGCTTCGAAACATATTTTGACGTATTCTCGATTATTAAAATTAAAACTGATAAAAGAACATTCCGGAATGGCTTATAGATGGCCTAGATTGTATGGATATAATTTTAAAAAACGCCACTGTCGTTCGGAATACCCTCTGTTAATTTTTTTGATGAGAAAACACATTCCGTCCGTCACTTTCATGATCTGGTAAGCAACGCTCTGATTGGTTGGATGAAAGGTTGTTCTGACGTGACCCGTAATGGGATGTCCTCAGATCTTTGTTTAGCGATAGCGAGAACTAAGATCTGAATTTAATGAGATTGCAATCACCCCCCATGCACTTCCATCCTCCTCCGCTGCTCAGCTCCAGCAACCAATACCCTTTTCTGCTCTGAAATTACTTGAGGGTTCTTCAATCCTTGAGGGTATTTGTTTTTAAATTTCTTTTTTTTTAACCTTATATATAACTGTATTTCAGGGACTATGTGTTGAGCACACAGCAGGCTGGAGCCACTGTCCAGGGGAGATAACTCTGTCAGTAATAACATACTGGTCTGGGTACAAACAGACCTGTTTATTATGGCCCAAGCTCGTCCTAAAATCCAATACTACTACTACATACTGCCCGGGTTAGGGAGTGTTAAAATATGAAGGCAGTCTCTTGATTTTGTGAATTATTGGAGATTATGGGGTGGTATCAATCTGGCATCCGTATCAATCAATTTCCTTGAGCAAGGAATGTTTGTTTAAATTTACTGAACCTGATTTGAAGGCTACTTGAAGTGAATTTAAATACAAAAATATTTTTCATGTTTTGACATTTGTGACCACCCATGTTAAATCTGGTTGCCAGGGGCCTTACAAAACATCTGCCTTGTCAAATGACAAATGAACAGCTAAATGTCTTGCAGTACACCAACTCATTTATTACAGGCATGGTGCCGAAGTTTTGGTTGTGTAATAAAATCCCACTGATGTTCAGGGTTAAGTGAACTTCATGGCTAAATGCAAGAGATTTAGCTTCTGATATTCAAATCTATGAGGTTTCATCCTGACCTGCCTCTCTACAAAATCATAGGTAGATCCAGAGGGGGGTCCAGACCCCCTTTTGAAAAACATGTAATACGTTGTGGGCACTAAAATTATCAAGAGAGAGGATTTTGATATTTTTTACCCCTTCCTTTTATAAATCCTGGATCCGCCCTTGAAAATACTGTACTACATACAATGAAAACCTTTCTTTCCTTACTTAATGAAATACACCCTGAGTGTAGTCCTACCCAGCATTCATGCTCAGGTGAATCAACCCCATTCAATGTAAACATATTTCTTAAAGTCTTTTTTTTTTAAAATGGAGGAAAATCATATTGGTAATTGATTGAAGCCATGTTTGTTATGATTGCATGGGTGTGGTTCACAAATTGAAAAAGTATTTCTCCATCTCTAGAGAACAACAACCCTGCTGGTCCAGGAGATGGAGAGAGGGTCCTTCTCATTCCTGGATTACAACAGCAAAGGTATGTAAAGTGAGTGCATGGAATCTTGACCCATCAGATGTCGGCTTTCAAAAATGAATTCATTTCTTTACCATATGACTCCCTGAAATGTTTATTTTTGACAAAAAAACACACACAGAATATGTATGTTCCCTAGAGAGAAAACTGTGCGATGGCAAATTACCTACCCAACGTCTATAGTGTGGCCATTATTATTCTCCATTCGGAACTGCTAAGTTACATTCATTTTGAGATACAGAAATCAAACATGCTGGTCTGAATGCTTTGCTTTCTCACACCAAGTATTTAGACACCTCCACACGGAATGGGTGGTTGAATGTCCAAATAGTATCACTTCATGTGGGGGTTGTCAGTTCCAAGTGGAGAGAAGTAACAGATCTGATTCTTACATTACATCTTAAGTTGTATATCATTGTATCAGACAACATCGGAGTTCAGCTGGCACCGCAGTACCCCAACAGCACGTTCGTGAGCCTGGTGTCGGCGGCCGATACTGCAGCTACCCTCCTCCAGGAGGTACTGGAACAGAACATCACCAACATGGTGGTGAACGTCATGCCCCTGGACACTACACTGGTGACAAAACTCATGAAGTGCCCCGACTTTCTGCGCTACCAATATCTAGGTGAGCGGTGTTCTGTTCTGACCCCTTATGCCAAGTCATTAGAAAGATCTTTTGTGTCATTAGTACTAAATATGATACTGGTACACATCACTTGGGGGGGAAACAAGTCCTGTCCATTGTGTTGAGTTGTGTTGTGTTGTGTTGAGTTGTGTTGTGTTGAGTTATGTTTTGTTGTGTTGTGATGAGTTGTGTTATGTTGTGCTGAGCTATGTAGTGTTGTGTTGAGTTGTGTTATTATGTTGTGTTGAGTTATGTTTTGTTGTGTTGTGATGAGTCATGTTGAGTTATGTAGTGTTGTGTTGAGTTATGTAGTATTGTGTTGAGTTATGTAGCGTTGAGCTGTGTTGAGTTATGTTATGTTGTGTTGTGTTGAGTTTTGTTGTGTTGTGATCAGTCATGTTGAGTTATGTTGTGTTGAGTTATGTAGTGTTATGTTGAGTTTTGTTGTGTTGTGTTGAGTCATGTTGTGTTGTGTTGAGTTATGTAGTGTTGTGTTGAGTTATATAGTGTTATGTTGAGTTATGTTTTGTTGTGTTGAGTTATGTTTTGTTGTGTTGAGTTATGTTGTGTGTGTTGTGTTGAGTTTTGTTGTGTTGTGATGAGTCATGTTGAGTTGTGTTGAGTTATGTTGTGTTGTGTTGAGGACAACTCAACACTTACTTGTGCATGCTGCCCCCGACACAACATTTGACCCGGTTTGTTGTTGTGTTGTCCCATGAGAATCCAATGTTGTCCATTTGTTCCCAGTCTTGTAGTTTGATATTTTCATGGCAGGTTATGATGAGATCCTTGGGCTGATGAACAGAGTGATGCGACCCAGCTTTGATCTCCTGATTGGACAGGTGATAGCTACAGGTGTGACGTCCTTCATACAGGTGCCATCTGGCAAGGTAATACCTGCATAACTGTGTACTTGCTCTGTCCTGCACACAAGGATAAAGGGGTGGTGGAGTAGGCTGGTGGCTAAAGTGTTTGCTTGTTACTCCAAAGGTGCAGGTTCCCTTCCCAATATGTGAAGCCATGTTTGATGTCCCCAGTCATGATCTTGCCGGAATATTGCAACATCAATATAACATGTCACTCATACAGGTATGCACCTTCCTTAGGTAAGGGAGTTTACTGGCCGTAAAAAGTCCAGTTTCAACCCTTGCCGAACTAAGCTGGAATTCAAGAGTTAAATTTTGGCTGGAATCTATGCATAGTCCAATCAATATCACACAATGAACAAGACATCCAGTTAGTAAACATTGATTTCAACATGCAGATTTCAACCGCAGGATTTGCAAAGCAAGTGTACAGTCGTCAACTGGGCATCAACAGATATTTCCCAAATCTTTTCATTTTTTTAATCAAGGTGCTCAAATGATTTGATGCACTTGGCGAGGTACCGAGACCCGTTTTATTACAACATAGATCTTGATTATCTATCAGATTGTCTTGACTTGGGAACACCATTTTGTTTGAAGCAATTGCAAGTGATATAAGAGGTAGAATTTAATTTTTCAATAGGCGGGACAAAGAAGGGACATAGCCACTGGTGGCACTACAATCGCGCCTGGAAATTCCAGCCTAGTTCGGCAAGGGACTTTTGGAGTCTTTGGACCTATTGGCAGGGGACTTTTGTAGTCTTTGGACCTATTGGCAAGGGACTTTTGTAGTCTTTGGACCTATTGGCAAGGGACTTTTGTAGTCTTTGGACCTATTGGCAAGGGACTTTTGTAGTCTTTGGACCTATTGGCAGGGGACTTTTGTAGTCTTTGGACCTATTGGCAGGGGACTTTTGTAGTCTTTGGACCTATTGGCAAGGGACTTTTGTAGTCTTTGGACCTATTGGCAAGGGACTTTTGTAGTCTTTGGACCCATTGGCAAGGGACTTTTGTAGTCTTTGGACCTATTGGCAGGGGACTTTTGTAGTCTTTGGACCTATTGGCAAGGGACTTTTGTAGTCTTTGGACCTATTGGCAAGGGACTTTTGTAGTCTTTGGACCCATTGGCAAGGGACTTTTGTAGTCTTTGGACCTATTGGCAAGGGACTTTTGTAGTCAGTTCACATTCTTGCTTCAGAAAAGGTGACAGGTATGAGTCAAGTAAACAATGTAAATATAGTCTATTTCTTTCAGGCCAGAGGAAGGAGGAATCTCTTTTGGAACTAAATTCTCTAGTTTCACTAGTTCATGTGACTATCACATTACACAAATCTTTCAAATTGGCCAGTATGTTGTACAAACTAGATGCAAGTGATGAGCTGGTATGCAGATTACAGCGAAATCATGCAACATCACTACTTTACTGCTACCAAAGGCGTTATGTAGGTGATGGAATAAGCCGGCTTAACCCAAATGAAAAGAGGACTTTATCATATGGGAAAAGCAAACATTTTAGGGTGAGATTTTGTTTCAGATTCTGTCCCTTGCAGCGGCAACGTTTTACCGGGAGGAATTCCTGCACCAAGATCAGCAGGAGACGGGCAACAACCTTTCTGTGAGGCACAAATAAATACAGAACTTATTCTGAGTAGATCTTGAAGATTGTATGCAAGAGGGACAGGGCCGACTCTGTGGTGATATAGGTAGAGAATCTGCATGGAGAGCAGAAGGTCTGTGGATCATTCCCTGGCCACTCCATGTCAAAACATGTTAAAAGATGGTACTTGTTGTTACCATGCCTGGCACTTGGCATAAAGGGGCTAAAACAAGGACTGGTCGGCTCGGAGTCAGTATACTGTGTCTGAGTGGGGTATTCATGTTAAACTTCAGCTTGGTATCTCTGTGGGCTAGCACTATAAAACTGGCATTAGGGTCATTGGATCTGTAAACCAAGGAATGGCACAGGCAAATGCCTGAGGTCAGAACCTTTTCTAAACATGGTTTAGATATCTAAATATAACATCATTTATAATAATAATAATAATAGACCATTTATGTTGCTCATATTTCCACACCACACAGGGGCATGCTCAAAGCCCTATTATTTCCCCAGTCACTGGATCAGTGTGCACTCAACAATCATTCTCAGCTCCCTGGGGAGTATACAACCCAAGCTGCCTGTTAGGCGCTAGAAGGTTAACAACCACATTGCCATCACATCCTACCGGGTACCCATTCATGTCTGTGTGAACAGAGGCACATTTAGATGAAGTCACTTGCCCTAGGAGACACCACATGTGCTGCATGTGCTGGAGCATGGGGCAGGAGCAAAGCCCTAGAAACTTTCAGTCAAGCTGCTGAAATGCGGTCACCCATCCAAGAACTCTCTGCAACCGACGTTGCCTAGCTTCAACTGATTTGTATTTTAGGAAGATTTTTTTTGCCCCATATGCAGACGATTTGAATGTACCTGGTGATCAGTGCCTTTGTGCTAATTTGGTGTATATTGTTCACCTCCAAATCACATCATCAACTTATCTGGAGCTTGTTATTTAAAAACAGTAATGAAAAGTGTAATGACAGACACGTTTTACTATATTTGCTCCCTATTGTTGTTTCAGCACCTGTTCCATGCAGAACATCATCCAGTAACACAGTTCCACAATGTGGAGAACCAGTTTCTGTTCCAGGTGAGAGTCACATATCGCAAAGAAATCATTGATAGTGTATATCACACTTGCATTGGTGTGAGGGGGGTGGTGGGGGGATAGTGTGGAGGGGGTTGGTGAGGGGGATAGTGTGGTGTGTGGAAGGGGTTGGGGGTTGGTGAGGGGGATAGTGTGGAGGGGGATAGTGTGGTGTGTGGAAGGGGTTGGGGGTTGGTGAGGGGGATAGTGTGGTGTGTGGAGGGGGTTGGGGGTTGGTGAGGGGGATAGTGTGGTGTGTGGAAGGGGTTGGGGGTTGGTGAGGGGGATAGTGTGGAGGGGGTTGGTGAGGGGGATAGTGTGGTGTGTGGAAGGGGTTGGGGGTTGGTGAGGGGGAAAATGTGGAGGGGGTTGGTGAGGGGGATAGTGTGGTGTGTGGAAAGGGTTGGTGAGGGGGATAGTGTGGTGTGTGGAAGGGGTTGGTGAGGGGATAGTGTGGAGGGGGTTGGTGAGGGGGATAGTGTGGTGTGTGGAAGGGGTTGGTGAGGGGATAGGGTGGTGTGTGCAGGGGGTTGGGGGTTGGTGAGGGGGATAGTGTGGTGTGTGGAAGGGGTTGGGGGTTGGTGAGGGGGATAGTGTGGAGGGGGTTGGTGAGGGGGATAGTGTGGTGTGTGGAAGGGGTTGGTGAGGGGGATAGGGTGGAGGGGGTTGGTGAGGGGGATAGTGTGGTGTGTGGAAGGGGTTGGTGAGGGGGATAGTGTGGTGTGTGGAAGGGGTTGGTGAGGGGGATAGGGTGGAAGGGGTTGGGGGTTGGTGAGGGGGATAGTGTGGAGGGGGTTGGTGAGGGGGATAGTGTGGTGTGTGGAAGGGGTTGGTGAGGGGGATAGTGTGGAGGGGGTTGGGGTGTTAATGAGGGGGATAGTGTGGTGTGCGGAGGGGGTTGGGTGTTGGGGGGGATAGTGTGGGATGTGGAGGGGGTGGGTGAGAGGATAGTGTGGAGGGGGTGGCGGGGGGGTTGGGTAGTGTGGAGGGGGTTGGGGGTGGTTGGAGGGGGGGAGATAGTGTGGAGGGGTTTGGGGATAGTGGAGGGGGTTGGTATGGGGGGTTGGTGGGGAGGATAGTGTGGTGTGTGGAGGGGGTGGGGGATAGTGTGGGGTGGAGGGGGATATTGTGGAGGGGGTTGGGGATGGGTAGTGTTGTGTGTGTGTGGGTGGGGGGGGGGGGGGGGGGTTGTTGGTGAGGGGGTTGGTGAGGGGGATAGTGCTGTGTGTGGAAGGTGGTGTAGTGTGTGGAGGGTGAGGGGTGAAGTGTTTCTCTGGAGATGGTGATGAGGGGGATAGTGTGGTGTGTAGGTGATCAGGGTAGTGCTGGTGGAGATGGTGTGGTGCTGAGGAGGGGTGGAGGAAGGGAAGTATGTGGCTTGTGAGGAGCTGCTAGTGAGAGTGGTGGAATACGGATTAAGGTTGAAACATTGTTTATTCTACTTAAGAAGACCCCCATTTATTACCTATCATGTATATACCGGTGCAGATGTGATGACACACAAGTTGAGGAGTTATATTTCTGTTAAAATGATGAGAATGTAAAAAATGTTATATTTGGGATAACTCTTAGTTTAAAGTACTTTAGTAGTACAGATTCTCGTACTTTTTTGGGTTGAGTCCTATCAGGGATTCGAACCTACACTGCCAGAGTGAGGCACCTAATCGCAAGCACACAACGTCAGCAATCTAACCCACTCAGCCACCGAGGCTTCCACACATACTTTGTGTACCCTTAAATGGCACTGTGTGTTCATAGCTTTCGGCCCTGGGAGCCGTGACTATGTACACTTGTCAGTGGGGTACACAAATTAGGTGATCCAGACTAGTGTTATCCCAAATAAAACATTTGTTACATTTGACCACTTTCTAAATGGCATTATGTGTTCATGATTAGGCTGATTCCTGACACGGAGTTAAGCCAAATATCCAGTTTGCTCATGTCAGACAAAACTGCAAAACTGTGTGTTACATAATAATTTTCTGAGGAGGGACCGACCAACACAAAACAATAGACTACCCCCTGCTCACCACCCTCACCCCTAAACACCAGACTACGCGGTCTCACCACCCTCACCCCCAAACACAAGACTACCCCCCTCCCAAACACCCTCAACCCCAAACACAAGACTACCCCCTCCCTATTACACCACCCCAAACACCAGACTACCCCCCCCCCCCCAACACCCTCACCCCCAAACACCAGACTACCCCCTCCCTATCACACCACCCCAAACACCAGACTACCCCCCTCCCCAACACCCTCCCCCCCAAACACCAGACTACCCCCTCCCCCCCAAACACTAGACTACCCCCTCACAACCACCCCACCACCAAACACCAGACTACCCCCTCCCTATCACACCACCCCAAACACCAAACTACCCCCTCCCCACCACCCCAACCCCAAACACAAGACTACCACCTCCCTGTCACACCACCCCAAACACCACATTCCCCCCCCCCCCTACTGGTGAAGCTGAATGAATGCATATTTTCAAAATATCTGAATAGTCATATGGGTATGTAATATACATTTCATATAGACATTATTTTAGATAAGAAGTTATATAAAAATATTTCAAATTTCCAACATAGGTACTAAATATGCTGATGTGTCAAACCTGGTTTGTTTATTTCACCGTGATAATCCTTCAGATCAAAGCTCTCCTCATGTCAACAACATTCATACAAAGCACAAACACATTCATGTCAAAGCAGGAATTGTCTCACAGTCAAAATCATTCTCATCAAACAGGTCTTTCCATATCACAACCTTCCACCCCTCAATAACACATAGCCTCTACCAATATTGGTAGAGTCCACTGGAGAACAAGTCCCAACCACGTCTGCGATTGAGTATTTCCAATACCAATCAGCGATTGATCTTTGATGACCTATCAATATTGGTGATCAGTCGACTGAGGCATGTCAGGACCACGACCAGGCTGAGTGTCAGAGTGAGGCAGCCTCACTCTGGCTCCCAGATCATGTTGAAGCTCGGCGAGAACTTGTTCCAGACCGTCCCTGCAGAAACCTGCTCCAAGATGATCAATATTGGTTGATTTGTTATTGATTTTGTTCGATACCTAATTCCCAGGCTTTGCCAACTTGTTTGGACAAAGTTGCCGGACAAGTTCTGTGTGCGGGTTGTAGAGGAACAGGTGCTTGTTCTGGCAGAGGTTGGGACTTGCAGAACGGGTTTATTACTGATATCAACTACAGCTGTACTGAGTCAATGTTGTGGGAGACATGTCATGTTTATAGAACACATCACAGTTATTGTTGTTGCACAAGGAATGTGTCACTTGTTTGTCTGGTTACTATTGACACAGAAAAAAACATTTACATCTACGACAAGGACTTAACTGATTTAGATTTGACAGTAAGATAGAAGGTGATTTCCAGGGAGAGGTATTAGATGATTTTCAGGGGGAGTTTTTCCCCTCTTTGTTGTGATTTAAACTAAAGTGTTAATCTCTGTTTAGAAATGAAATTTGATATATTGAGTGATTACAAAGATAGTCATTATACTGATCATATTAATTAAAGGTCAAAATCATGTGAGCAAAGGAATAATGGTGGTTACAACAAAACTTTTTTTTAAATTAAAAAATGCATTTAATAACAAATATAGTAACAACAACAACAACAATTATTATTGTTGTTGTTGTTGTTGTTGTAATTATAATGATAATGATAATTATATAAAAAAACCAATAGTAATAATGATACAAAATTTGTGCTTCCCCAGGGTATCTATTATTTTTTGTTTTACGACACATATACACACAGCTTAAGTTTACAGTGATTGTGGTCCTCCCTTTGTGTTTGAATAACCTCATTATAGCTATCCTGTATGGACATATTGACCCATTACACTGTACACACAACCTCTGCATTGTAGCTAGTGGAATAGTCCTTTGTTGTGGGTTATTTACCTTGTAACCCCTGGCAACCAGGTACACCAGCTGATTCAGGAATGCTGTACAGCAGCCAGATAATGAACTCACCCAACCCTAGCAGTGTTGTCGGAGCTTGTCGTCATTGGCCTGGTCCACACTAGACATTTAGCTGCTTCAAGTGGCTGGCTTTGTGAAACATGAGCTGGCTCGTTCAAGTCAATGAGTGGACTCCGTAGGGTTGAGCATCGGTACCCTCTATTCAATGGAGGAGTCTCTGTTGTATTGAGTAAATTAACTGTCTGGGTTAACTAGTTTTTATTAAATTAATGGGAATGGATGGATGAATGAATAAAGAGAGATAGTTAGATGAATAGACATTTATATAATGCAGATTGACAAGATGATTTGTATTGATTAACATAACTGACTCTGTGTACATATTACACAATGTTAAAATTAACTGATTAAGTATCAATCAATCAATCAATCAATCAATCATGAGAGTATCTTTTTGTTATTCAATATCATTCTTTAGCATTATGTAACAGAACAATGCACTTATTTGAGACTCAAGTTAGTGTTTGAGATCATCTGAAAATCAAAACAGCCTTTCATGGAGCGTGAAACTATTGACACACGTTTTTTCTTGTACTTGATCATAATACCGCCAGTGTGTAGGAGAGGCAACGTTCCTTCAAGGGTCACAAGAGAAAAGTGGCATAAACTTGTACATAGCATTACTACGCTATGACACTGTTGGAATATGTAGAGTGTATTTTAAGCAGCAATGTGTGAGTGAATATTGCTTACATCAGCAGTATTGTAGTTATTTACAGCCAGTGTTTTGTTTTTATTAAATGGTAAAATAGAATCTTTAGGATTAAATTTGATTTTTTTTATATCTCATGCTAACTCTTATGTCAATCGAACAATCATTGATCAGAACAACAATCAGGCAACCAATCAAAATAAAGAAAAAAATATCTCCAACTGGAGATATATACACAAATATCGTACGGTGTATATCTGGTGTAAAATCCAGTATTGGATGTTACATATATATCCACATAACAGATGACATCCTGATCCCAAGTGAATGTAGCATCTTGCTTTACAGAGTGCCAAGGCTGATGTTGACATTGAGGTAGCTGCAAAGATCCTCTCACCACAGTTGCTGTCGGATGGAGCTCAGTTGCCATGGAAACTGGTGAGAGTTGACATCAAGCGACTGAAGTTGAAGGTGAGTGTGGACAGAGGTGGGCAAAGGATCACTACAGTCATCCTCCATGATGCAGGAAAAATATCCTGGACTCACGTTGTTTTTATAAACGAGGCTACGGCGGTAATAGAGTAGAGATATAATACCCTCGATAATTGAGGATGGACTACCACATGTCACTTGTTTGCTTGGTTTCTTTTATGTCAATCTCATTAAATAGAGAATCTCACCCCTCGTGTCTTTTGATATCAAATATATCAGCACGAGTTGATAAAAGTGGGAAAACTCCGAGGCTTGCCGAGGATTTTTTCCACTTTTATCAACGAGTGTTGATATATTTGATTTCAAAAGACACGAGGGTGAGATTTTATTTATCATCCAACATCATTCTTCCAATTTTTAGACAGTAATAAGCAGTGTCTAAGTGTGAAAAATACTGCTGACAGCTTCAGTAGCAGAGCCATTAGTGATGTCATTTGATTGTGACGTCATGGTAACCAATGACGTCACAATGGTCTGCAAAGCATTGTGATGCAATTTCATTGCAGCGATATCTACAGTGTAGATATCGCTTGATCTCACCCAAGTGATATCTCCTGTGGGAGCCAGTTTTGGATGATAAAATCTGATCTAGTTCAGGCTACCGCTAAACAAACCTGATTTTAATGAGATTGCATTTATGTTTCTAAATATGCTTGCAGAAGAAATATATGTAATTTTTTATTATTGATTTTACTGGTCATTAAATATTTCAAAACATTTCTCCTATTACTTGTGAGTGAGAATGCAATGCAAAAGATACCATACATTTTATAATGCTCATTGTGATAACTGCTTTGTTTTGAAAATGGGGCAGCAATGATGTTTGAGGTCTTGTCTCTTGCTCTTTGACCTTTAAATTCAACCTTTATTGGGTTGTGCCAACTTGAAATGGTGGCATGGATGGCACAGGCATATAGCTGGCACTGTATTAGAAGCAGTTTTTGGATTGAGGGTAATTTATGTACACAGTTGGTGTTTTTGTGCAAATTGCACAAGGTACAGAGTTGTGTCCCTTATCTGTGAATATGCATGGACTGTGCAGAGTTGTGTCTCTTATCTATAAGCACGCATGGACTGTGCAGAGTCGTGTCCCTTATCTGTAAGCAAGCACAGCCTGTGCAGAGTTGTGTCCCTTATCTGAAAGCAAGCACAGTCTGTGCAGAGTTATGTCCCTTATATGTCCCCATCCATAGACTGCAAAACTCTGTCTGGCTTAATTATCATAAAGGAATAACCTTGCACTTTAAACAATGGAAGAGTGCACTTATTGTAGCCATCACTAGGCGACGGAGAATGGTGTGTAGATAGCTTGTATTCTTCAGGTGGATCACCACTTTGACTACAACCTGGACGGCCACTCCAGGAAGTACACGCTGCACTGCATCGGCCACAACAGCTCCAGCTACACTGTCTACTTAGTCCGCAACAACGACGGCTTCAAAATACCATATGGCACTGTCAATGGTTTGTATTTGTCTGTTTTATATGCTCAAAATCAATTGTAGATAATATTAATACCTTTATAATATGTTACTTACAGATTTGCATTTGTGCTTCTGACCACAGATGCATAATTTTTAAGTGAAGGTCCAAGGTCTATTTCATTGGTTAACAGATTGTTTGGGATGAATAATCTTGGCCGCTGGTGGGAACAAACATATGTATTTGTCAAGAAGTTATTTGTTATTTATAATTTAGATCAGGTTTATAAATACTCTTCATTAGACAGATCCCCAGCTGCTGCTGTCATCAGCTCCTTGTCCTGTTATTTGTCGGGTTTATTGTTGTCGCAGTCATCATGGGGCAGAATTTCTGCAGTTTAGTGGGAAACTGGGATTTAAATTTTACTTATCGCCACTCTCCATTATACCCAAGGCTACAGGTGATGGAACAGTTGATGTATCACAGGTGTCCCTGGTCTGTTGGCAACACACTGACGTCCATGCTTCACAATAAAACATTTTACATTTGAAAGCATACACTGCACATAGGTAGCATGACTCTAGGTTAAAGACTCAGTTTGTTTTTCTCCTAATTTGAACAAACAAACCAAACATGTGTTTGGATAAATGTGGCTATAAATAATACAATAATAAGCAGTAGTTAGTAACTGATTCCCAGTCAGGGTTGAAATATTTACACAAAGGATAAATGTAGCTAGGACTGACTCCAGGGATGTTAACAAGTGTTGATAGGAATGAGGAGGGGTGGGGTGTGACTGATTGCAATCTCACACCACACTCACAGACACACACCACACACACAGACACTCAACACAGACACACCACACACATAGACACTCAACACAGACACACCACACACACACAGAAACACACCTTGCACACAGACACACACAGACACACCACACACACAGACACACCACACACACAGACACACTAGACACACTACACACACATGCTTACACACAGACACTCAACACAGACACACCACACACATAGACACTCAACACAGACACACCACACACACACAGAAACACACCTTGCACACAGACACACACCATGTACACAGACACACACAGACACACCACACACACAGACACACTACACACACATGCTTACACACAGACATTCAACACAGACACACCACACACACACAGAAACACACCATGCACACATACCCACACCATGCACACAGACACACACAGACACACTACACACACATACTTACACACAGACACACACACACACATGCTCTCTCTCTCTCTCTCTCTCTCTCTCTCTCTCTCAGACACACACACACACTACACACACATGCTCTCTCTCTCTCTCTCTCTCTCTCTCTCTCTCTCTCTCAGACACACTACACACACATGCTCTCTCTCTCTATCTCTCTCTCTCTCTCTCTCTCTCTCTCTCTCTCTCTCACACACACACACACATTGAAGGTATATCTGTGTGACATCCCCTGGATCTGTTCAATTTCAGCCGTGTCCCTGATTGCTCTGTTGAGGATGGGTCTTGTGTCTCCCATCAAGGAGAAGTTTTACTCGGAGTTTCTCCAGCTGCCTCTATATGAAGACATGGCGCCGTGGAATATTGGTAAGACAGACACAGATGACTGGCTCCACTTGATATCAGGATGAAACATGCTATTAGTTAGGGTGTCCTCTGTAACAGGAAATGGGATTTAACATCACGTTCAAGATTATGTCACTTAAATAGCAACATGAATGCACAAGTGTGTGGCTGCTTGTACAAGTCTGGACTGATGTCGGTTTTATAGCGGTAGCCAACTGAATTATCACGCCACAGTTTAACATGGATATCCTGCTCAGACTCCAGTGAGTGAGTGAGTGAGTTTGGTTTAACGCCGCTTTTAACAGTATTCCAGTTATATCACGGCATGTCAGCTTAATGTGGGAGGAAAGCCCGAAGTGATGCAGGTCTCAGACGTTTACCACTTCGGTGAAACCCACGAGCACGGGTATGGTGCTGACAAACCTAGAAACATAATCGGGGCGAACCGGGATTCGAACCCACAATCATAGGTTTCTGGTGTGCCCAAGGGACGCAATTCTGCACAGCGAATTGCGACGCCTAAGACGACTGGGCCACCTGTGCCCCCGCTCAGACTCCAAGCCAGCCAGTCCTTGTTTACCCATGAATGCCGAGCTCCAGGCAGGGCAGTCTGAAAGAGGAAATTGAGATCAGTCGTCTCATTCATCATGAACCAACCACATCTTAATCACCTAAAAATGGAAAGGTTTTCTTACAAATGTGGGCCTTTGACAAATAGTCATATCCTTTAAAAAATGTCTGTGAAGGTGTATGTTGTTTGACACCTGAATCAGCAATATTCCAGCAGTATCAATAAATGATTCTTGCACAGGCAACTCAATTATAACAATATTATGACATGTCAAAAACACCTTGACTTGCTATTTGCCTTGCAGGAAAAATTATTGCCCCAAATAACTGAAAAGTTGCTGATGTTGCATTCATCAATATTCACCTATTCACTCCCTTGCTTGACTCTGTTGCAGTGTTTAGGGCAGGAAGGCTTGAATACATTGACTATGACAGCCGAGATCTCACCTTCAACAAGATGTCCTCAGCAGCGTACCAGGTGGGCAGACAACTCCTGGTTCATACACATCTGTACCTGTCAAATATAACGTCTTTCCAAGGCAGTGATCACCATTTCAAGGCTAAAGGCATGATAAAAAATTACCTTAGCCTGATTTTAAACAATCTTTCAACTAATTCACAAGGGACAGATCACTGGTAGTTTAGAGTTGGAAGTAGGTTATTATTAGGTTACATTACCCATTCATTTTCTGTTTGAGAAAATGTAAAAAAATGTGGGTTTCCTGACAACAAGAGGAGAGATCAGCTCTGTTACTCTGTTACTGGAATGACATTTGTAACTTCAGGATGCCACCTTAAGTTATTGGCAACAATGGGTTCATATGATGTCATGTTACTGTGGACCTTTTCAAAGACAATATAAGCAATGCAAGATCTATAATGAACTAGCCAATGCAGAGTAAGAATTACTGAAAATGACATCACCTATATTCATGCCCCTGTGGGTTACATTTCTAAAGATAGGGGGGCGGTCGGGTAGCCTAGTGGTTAAAGCGTTCGCTCGTCACGCCGAAGACCCGGGTTCGATTCCCGACATGGGTACAATGTGTGAAGCCCATTTCTGGTGTCCCCCGGCCTGGTATTGCTTGAATATTGCTAAAAGCGGCGTAAAACCATACTCACTCACTCACTCTAAAGATAGGTTTGGTTTATGCACACTTGGCCACTTGTTGACAGCGTGAATGGTGTTTTATGCTGATGTCAGCAGTATTTCAACTAGATGATTGCAGCCTGTGACATGGTTGAGTCTGGACCAGGCAAACCAGTGGATGACAGCGTGAGCATTGCTCTGGGTATGTGTAGGATAAAGCATGACTCCAAGGTTATGCATCAGGATGTGACTGCCTCCGTGGTCTAGTGGTACAGCGTCCGCTGAAGGTCCAGGGTTCAATCCCCAGCCGCTAAGGGGCTAAAACAAGGACTTGTCGGCTCAGAGTCAACATACTGTGCCTGAGTAGGGTTTTCATGTTAAACTGCAGTGGGCTGGCACTATAAAATCGGCATCAGTCCGGAAACTCTAACAAGGAGCCACACACACATGAAATAATCTTTGACACGACGTTAAACCCCCGACTTTCACCTCACCTCACCTTGGGGATCTAAGACACGAGGAGCGAGGAAAGACATTTCTGACCCCAACTGCCAAGGGTTTACATCCCCAAGCACCTGGGAGGAGTCATGCTTTATTGCCTGGTCCAGACTCAACCTCAAAAGAGGCTGCAATCATCCAGCTGAAATACTGCTGGCATCCACATAAGACACCATTCACTCCATCACCAAGACAGCTGCATGCTTCAGTAATGTTGCCCATAGAGACACGGATGAAAACATGGGGAGGTGACCGCAAAATATGATACAGTCCTAAGCCGAATCTCTATCAATGTCCCCAGCATCCTCGTCTCCCCACACTCACTGCCCTTTTCACGTTGAACTTTCAGATCATGGCAATGTTGATGAATTTCAAGAGGACAGTGGATGATTTTGGACATTGCAAGTCAGATGCAAAGTAAGGATTGTTTCGAATCAAGTTCAAACATATTTCAAAATGTGAAGTTAAATGACTTACATTACCACGCGCATAGGATGAAGATTTTATGACACTTCAGTCAGCAAATTTCCCAGCCAAAGATGCCAAAGCAGCTGTAAATTTGTCATGATTTTACGACACTTCATTCATTCGTGTTCTTCTGTCAGAAAATGATGGTTTCTTTTGCCTTATCTTCAGTCAGATACATTTGATTTATATTTTACTCAGCTTCTTCCACAACCTGTGTTTCAGGACGCCCTATGGCTTTAACCTCGTCTCCAGGTGTGTCGGAAGTGACTTCAAGGGGCCTTGCACTGTGAGTCGCATTCAACCAATGAAAGGATGGTCCGTTGTGTAAACAGTGACACAGGTCAACATCTGATGAACATCTCTTTCCAGTTATTGAATACTCTCTGACCTGCATTCCCCGTGGGGGTGATCAGTTTGATGATGTTTTGTAATGATTATGTGAACCCTGCCTGTTACCAGGACACCAAGTACCCAGTGCCGTGTGGCGACCATACCTGTAGGGCAACATACATAGACTGTCTGCAGGCTCTCCAGGCACTCGAGCAGGGGCGCAGCAAGGGTGAGTGTAGGGCAATATACATAGACTGTCTGCAGGCCCTCCAGGCACTCGGGCAGGGGCGCAGCAAGGGTGAGTGTAGGGCAATATACATAGACTGTCTGCAGGCCCTCCAGGCACTCGAGCAGGGGCGCAGCACGGGTGAGTGTAGGGCAGCATACATAGACTGTCTGCAGGCTCTCCAGGCACTCCAGCAGGGGCGCAGCACGGGTGAGTGTAGGGCAGCATACATAGACTGTCTGCAGGCCCTCCAGGCACTCGAGCAGGGGCGCAGCACGGGTGAGTGTAGGGCAGCATACATAGACTGTCTGCAGGCTCTCCAGGCACTCAAGCAGGGGCGCAGCACGGGTGAGTGTAGGGCAGCATACATAGACTGTCTGCAGGCTCTCCAGGCACTCAAGCAGGGGCGCAGCACGGGTGAGTGTAGGGCAGCATACATAGACTGTCTGCAGGCTCTCCAGGCACTCAAGCAGGGGCGCAGCACGGGTGAGTGTAGGGCAGTATACATAGACTGTCTGCAGGCCCTCCAGGCACTCGAGCAGGGGCGCAGCACGGGTGAGTGTAGGGCAGCATACATAGACTGTCTGCAGGCTCTCCTGGCACTCAAGCAGGGGCGCAGCACGGGTGAGTGTAGGGCAGTATACATAGACTGTCTGCAGGCCCTCCAGGCACTCGAGCAGGGGCGCAGCACGGGTGAGTGTAGGGCAGCATACATAGACTGTCTGCAGGCTGTCCAGGCACTCGAGCAGGGGCGCAGCACGGGTGAGTGTAGGGCAGCATACATAGACTGTCTGCAGGCTGTCCAGGCACTCGAGCAGGGGCGCAGCACGGGTGAGTGAGTGTAGGAATTAAGACTTTGAACAGTATTTCAACTGCATGTTAACCCAATAGTGAGTGAGGGAATGAATGAGGAATGTGATGCGGCCTTTGTCCAGTATTTCTGTTATATTGAGGCTCAGTGTAAGAGAATATTCGTTCCTGAATGTGGAATATTTCCTGATGGTACAATGGGCCATTGCACCCAGACGTATTGCACCTTTTACTGATACAATTATTTTTCTTTGCTTTAGGTCTCAAACAAGAATCTGCAAAAAGACAAAAAGTAGAGGACACAGAATCTATGCAATGGGCAAGTTCAAATCATATGGATGTCCAGTAATCCAACCATTACCCAATCTAATGAAGATTGTGATTGTAATCAAGTAACGCAAGCATAAATATGTTTGATATGCTTTGTTAAATGTTTTATTATTAAAAACATGAGGCTTATGCATACATTTTGTGATACCCAGGAGAAATAAAGGATATCTTTTGTTGCAGAGGTTTGATGAGAAGGGTCCGTCTGTATAGGAAGAAGGATCACTCAGACTGGTCCAGCCTTGACAAGACTAACAAACTGTAGAGTGAGTGAGTGAGAGTGAGTGAGTGAGTGAGTGAGTGTGGCTTTTCGCTGTTTAAGCAGTATTCCAGTAATATCACGGTGGGGACAACAGATATGGGCTTTACAAGTTGTACCCATGGGGGTGAATCTAACCCAGACCTTCGACATGACAAGCAAACCCTACCGCCCCACAAAGTACAGAGACCTGGGCCAACTGGGCGATCTTAGCACTAAGATGATCGTAACTCCCACACTCTAACATAGACTTACGATAGTTGTAGTGCTAAGATCCATGTGCATGTGGGCCCTGTGATCAAACATAAACAGTGTGAACGAGTTCTGTAAGTCAGTCTTCATCCTACGCGCAAAAATCACAAGGGTAGGGGAGCACAGTCACCATGGTTAAATCTGTTTGTATTTATTTACATTTTACACCTTGTTTTATACAGGAAGACAATGGGTCCAAGTGCGTTCTAAGATAACCATCCCATCCTTCAATATACTCAGTGTGTATCTGACTCACTAGACTAAAATATAGACGATGAAAAAATGTAATCTTGTACTCCATAATAATTTTCTCACATCAAATAAACGTCCTTTGGTTCCAATGCTGATGATCTAGATTGGTTTTGATATCAAGTCCAATGCAGATATTCCAGTCATGGCACGGGACTTCCGACACATCTCGGGGTTTGTTTACACGAGTGTACTGTGGAAGTCTGTACAAGATTATTTCAGCCCTTTGTTTGCCTTTGTTTGTTTAGCTGACAAAAATTAGGGATTTTTCTAGGATTACAATTTTAAGTGCTCTTTGTAGGCAATTTCCCTGCATAACAACTTTATTAGATTTGCCAGACTGTCTCCATGGTAGTGCACCCCCTAGACCACCTCTGTGGTGGATCATCTCCTCGGAGAACAGACGGTTGGGGGTTCGATCCCTTGCCGCATCATACCAAAAGTTGTTAAGAGATGGTACTTGTTACCCTGACTGGTGTTTGGCAAAAAGGGTCAGCTCGGTGTCAGTACAAGCAGCCAGTGTGCAGTAAGTGCAATAATGTTAAACGTAACATTAAGCCCCATTTCACCTCACCTCACCTCACCTTACCTCACCTCACCTCACCATGTGATAAGTAATGGCTACCTTCCTCATTGTGGGGATAGATAGTGAATCAGACATCGGAATGATCACCCATAAAACAGCATCAAACAACATCTTTTAAACCGAGTGTGTATGTGTATGTGTATGTGTATGTGTATGTGTATGTGAAAATCACTACTGATATGAATGTATAGAATGCTCAAGTTTGTATCCATATCTAAAACGTTGTACATATATTTATCATTTATTATGACTAATAAATGGATTTATGAACATGTGTCATCACTGGATGGTTACTTGTAAGCTCGAACTTGTTCGTTATTGATGTCGAACTGATGTAGGAACAAGTGGATCGCCCATCCCGTGGTGGGGTGAGTGTGCTACCTGTTTGTTGTTTTATGCTGCACTCAGCAATATTCCAGCTATATGTCAGAGGCCTGTAAACAACCAACTCTGGGCTAGTCAAGCCAGTTGTCCATATTGTGAGCACCAGCCAATTCTCTGGGTCTGACCGCCCCATCCAATCCAGTCTCCTGTTAGTGGACAAGCAACAGGCTGCTTGTGACCTGTTCTGACCTGGGTGTGTGCAAGTTCACAGGAAAGAAAACCTGGTTGATTGTTGGCTACTGATGAGGGGTGTGCTTCTTGATTACCCCTCATGTGTCTCCCCCAGGCAGACAAGGAATCTTCAGGTTTACTCTGAACCAGAATTGAGTGGTGCTTTCAAGAGTACTCAGCTATATCACAATGTGTAAGCCTAATGTGGGAGGAAAGTTCGGAGTAGGTCTAAGAAACATTGGTGCTGATAAACTTAGACTTAACATAGGAAAACGGGATTCCTTCACACCCATGGGATGCAGTGGCCTTCATCAAGTAAGACATGGACCATCACTTTTTGAGTGAGTGAATGCGGGGTATTGGCATAGTCAGCAAAATTACAACTACCATAAACGTTATAAGCTCACTGGGTGATAAGAAACTTAACAAAATGGTTCGTTTATTAAAACCATACACAAGTTAAATTTGTTGTCAGCAATTGAGCTGTAGTGAACAGACTTCATTCAAACATTGATGACACTAAAACCTTTTTTGATGATAGTTAACAGGCATTTGTATACCCCTTGTAGACTGTTGTGTTTTCTGTAAGAAAATATGGATGGTCATGTTTTGTTTGTTTCTTGTTTAACGCTGCACTCAGCTGTATTCCAGCTAAATGACGGCGTTCTTTAAATAATCGAGTCTGGACCAGACATTCGGGTGATTGACATCATGGGCATTGATCTACGCAATTGGGATACAATGACATGCATGAACCAAGTCAGCAAGCCTGCCCACCCGATCCTGTCAGTCAACTCTTACGACAAGCTTACCGGTAGTCGCCTGTTACGGCAAGCATGGGTTGCTGAAGACCTATTCTACCCCGGATCTTAACAGGTTGACTGTCATGTAAGTACGGGACTCATATGAAGGTTCCTTACAGATCCGTCGAGAGGTTGGACTTTTACAGTCAGTTGACTTCCTTGCCTCGGGAAGATGCTCCAAGGCACGCCTCTCCATGGAGATCCAGCAGAGACCCAGCTGATATTAATCCACGAATGTGGTGTATGGATCATGATGGACATAGTTTCATCATCCTACACATGCATTTCAATGAAAGTGAGAAGGCAAGATTATTCTCCTGACTATTATGCTTTATTTATGTTTCATAAATCGTCTTGTTTCATACCAAAACAGTATTACAAATGAACTTCATTGTTTCAAGTTACAAAATTTATGACTAATAATAAAGACATAACTGGTAAGTAAAGAATCATATAGTCATTCAAAACACCAAGTTGATATACAAGCAGTTCATTCTTGTTTCCTAAATATACTTTACACAAAGGTTATTGTAAAGAATGCCTGATGACAAACAAAGGTTAATACAGGTATATAGATTTCACTGAGTATGTAATAACTACAGGTATTTCATCAGGTTATCAAGTAAAAAAACAAAATATCACAATACTTCAGGCGTCAGATCATCACAAGGTCAAGGTCATACATGTTCAAACTGGAAAAAAAGACCACATGAGAGGTAGAAAGTCTAAGTGCAACAGAGGGAGAGAGAATTGACAACCACGTTGCAGCTCATACAAAAAATAGACTGGCTGGTATCTGGCTTACATTAAGTTTTTTTAAATCACTTTCAGTCAAAAACTAGTTAGTCTAATATTGGTAAACCAATCTGACAAAGATTTATACATGATAAATATTGTTTCTGCAATTTCAGGGTTTTTACAAGACACAAAATACTGCTTCTTCTGTGCATACAGATTTAGAGTGAGTGAGTGAGTTTACGCTGCTTTTAGCAATATTCCAGCAATATCACGGTGGGGCACACCAGAAATGGGCTTCAAACATTGTAACCATTTAAGGAATCAAACCGGGTCTTTAGCGTGATGAGCAAACACTTTAACCATTAGGCTACCCCATCAATGTCCTTGCAAAGAATTCTCGCTAGGACCTGTCAAAACACTGCATTGGAGTTTCATTAAATCATGACAGTACCAACTATACAAGACTTTCACCCTTCTTAAAATATACATCAACTCATTTTATGACAATTTAACATAAAACATTCATTACCGGTATGTTGCTTAGCAACAGAAAATTTCCAGTTGCAAAATGTAATAAACATGATGCATCAATACATATTTTTACAATTAATATTTATTTGAGGTAAATGAGAAAATGCCGTTGAATTCACTTTAGAACTGGCATAAGTCTTGATGGGAAAGAGTTCCACCCTCACAACTGAACAGACAGTAGGGCTAGAGCTTTGACGTACTCTTGTAGATTTGCTAAACTGACAATCAGCTCCTGCGGATACAGTCACATTATCAGTGATTGTGCTTTACATCACAAAAATCTTAAAATGCAACGTAACCCAATGTTACAGCAACAGTGAGGAGTGGAGAGGAGTTCAGTTGTATCGACAGGTCAGCTCATTGCGAGAGTAATTTTCAAGGTTTTTGTTTGTTTTGGTGAACATGGTCAACAGATAAATTTTAAAAACAGTTTCCAAAAACCACCCAATTCAGCATCAAATGTCAAATTCAATATCATCTTAAAGTCGTAAAGATATAACGAGGTTATATCAGGCGAGAGAAGCTCTATCTAAGGCCTATTTTCTCCAAGGCAGGGTTATTTAATGTGAACAGTGAATTTCTCAATGAGTTTTTGAGATTGTCCAGATTTCTCCTGTACAGGAGTGTAGTTGATTGCTTCATGAGTGGAGGTGGCTGTGCTGTGTTTAGAACTCCGGGCTGCTCTCTGGCTGGCTGGTGGGGTGCCGGAGTGTAGTTGATTGCTTCATGAGTGGAGGTGGCTGTGCTGTGTTTAGAACTCCGGGCTGCTCTCTGGCTGACTGGTGGGGTGCCGGAGAGTAGTTGATTGCTTCATGAGTGGAGGTGGCTGTGCTGTGTTTAGAACTCCGGGCTGCTCTCTGGCTGACTGGTGGGGTGCCGGAGAGTAGTTGATTGCTTCATGAGTGGAGGTGGCTGTGCTGTGTTTAGAACTCCGGGCTGCTCTCTGGCTGACTGGTGGGGTGCCAGAGTGTAGTGGATTGCTTCATGAGTGGAGGTGGCTGTGCTGTGTTTAGAACTCCGGGCTGCTCTCTGGCTGACTGGTGGGGTGCCGGAGAGTAGTTGATTGCTTCATGAGTGGAGGTGGCTGTGCTGTGTTTAGAACTCCGGGCTGCTCTCTGGCTGACTGGTGGGGTGCCGGAGAGTAGTTGATTGCTTCATGAGTGGAGGTGGCTGTGCTGTGTTTAGAACTCCGGGCTGCTCTCTGGCTGACTGGTGGGGTGCCGGAGAGTAGTTGATTGCTTCATGAGTGGAGGTGGCTGTGCTGTGTTTAGAACTCCGGGCTGCTCTCTGGCTGACTGGTGGGGTGCCGGAGTGTAGTTGATTGCTTCATGAGTGGAGGTGGCTGTGCTGTGTGTAGAACTCCGGGCTGCTCTCTGGCTGACTGGTGGGGTGCCGGAGTGTAGTTGATTGCTTCATGAGTGGAGGTGGCTGTGCTGTGTTTAGAACTCCGGGCTGCTCTCTGGCTGGCTGGTGGGGTGCCGGAGTGTAGTTGATTGCTTCATGAGTGGAGGTGGCTGTGCTGTGTTTAGAACTCCGGGCTGCTCTCTGGCTGACTGGTGGGGTGCCGGAGTGTGCTGTGTTTAGAACTCCGGGCTGCTCTCTGGCTGGCTGGTGGGGTGCCGGAGTGTAGTTGATTGCTTCATGAGTGGAGGTGGCTGTGCTGTGTTTAGAACTCCGGGCTGCTCTCTGGCTGACTGGTGGGGTGCCGGAGTGTAGTTGATTGCTTCATGAGTGGAGGTGGCTGTGCTGTGTTTAGAACTCCCGGCTGCTCTCTCGCTGACTGGTGGGGTGCCGGAGTGTAGTTGATTGCTTCATGAGTGGAGGTGGCTGTGCTGTGTTTAGAACTCCCGGCTGCTCTCTGGCTGACTGGTGGGGTGCCGGAGAGTAGTTGATTGCTTCATGAGTGGAGGTGGCTGTGCTGTGTTTAGAACTCCGGGCTGCTCTCTGGCTGACTGGTGGGGTGCCGGAGTGTGCTGTGTTTAGAACTCCGGGCTGCTCTCTGGCTGACTGGTGGGGTGCCGGAGTGTAGTTGATTGCTTCATGAGTGGAGGTGGCTGTGCTGTGTTTAGAACTCCGGGCTGCTCTCTCGCTGGCTGGTGGGGTGCCGGAGTGTAGTTGATTGCTTCATGAGTGGAGGTGGCTGTGCTGTGTTTAGAACTCCGGGCTGCCCTCTCGCTGACTGGTGGGGTGCCGGAGTGTAGTTGATTGCTTCATGAGTGGAGGTGGCTGTGCTGTGTTTAGAACTCCGGGCTGCTCTCTCGCTGACTGGTGGGGTGCCGGAGTGTAGTTGATTGCTTCATGAGTGGAGGTGGCTGTGCTGTGTTTAGAACTCCGGGCTGCTCTCTCGCTGACTGGTGGGGTGCAGGATGTATTTGTCATATGGAAACAACCTCTGCTCCATCACACAATCTGGAGGCAAACGATGGACATTCTTATAGCAGCTAATAAGCTGTTTGAATGGAATGGCCAGTTCGTATTTAAGCTTTTGCTCAATAATACACTGGCTTCTTTTTAAGAATTAACTTCAATAAATTTGTTTGGCTTTAATGGAGGTATAAACATAAAAACCTGTGTGTTCACTGATTTACCCTAAGTGTGCTCACAGTATTTACTTTTATACCTCCATAAACACAAAACATATAAAAGTCAATATTTATAAATAAACATAAACAATAATAACATCAATTATTTAATCAACACACAAAAAAACGTATGAAACCGGAGATATCATTCAGAGAAAATATGCAACACAAGGCCCGAACATTCTATTATTAGCAAATCAGGAAACTTAGGAAACTCTCCTAGTAGGCGTGCCACTATATACAGTGACACCTTGTGAACTCAAAATGCTTGTGACAATCAATTACTTGTTATCATGGTTTTAAAAGTGAGTGAGTGAGTGTGTGTGGTTTTAAGCCGCTTTTAGCCATATTCCGGCAATATCACGGTGGGGCACACCAGAAATGGGATTCACACATTGTAACCATTTAAGGAATCAAACCGGGTCTTTAGCGTGATGAGCAAACACTTTAACCATTAGCCTACCCCATCAATGTCCTTGCAAAAACAATTCTCGCTAGGACCTGTCAAAACACTGCATTAGAGTTTCATTAAATCATCACCGCTTTTAGCAATATTCCAGCAATATCACGGTGGGCCCACACGAGAAATGTGCTTAAAACATGATACCCATGTTTGGAATCAAACCCAGGCCTTCAGCGTGACGAGTGAACACTTTGGCCACCAGGCTACCCCACCGCCCACACAGTTTTAACACAATCAAGTGGGCAAAATGTAGCATATTATGTGATCTTCACAAGATGATGATTAAAGAGCACATTGCATGTATTAGTTTCATGATCACAGTAAATGCATATTTCTATTTCCAACAGCTGGTTCTTCTATAAAGTAATTAACATGTTTTATAAGGCTAAGGGCACTGGTGCTTCAGACGATCCAGGGTTTTAAATTAGGCCAAACGATGAAAAAGAAATGTTGCTTATTGTCTTCAGACACTAAGCGGTTCAATTCTGCTTTTTTCAGTTCCAAACTCAGCCATTCCTAATTTTCTACAATTTAGATTTTAGTCTTCAATAAGAGTTATCTTTCCTTTACTGTGTGACAACCATGTGGTATACATTCACAATAGCCCAGAGATCATATAGCTTTCTTGTACTTTCAACATTTTCCTGATGGCACCTGGAATTAAATATTTCTCTCTTTTAGTGTCCCTGGCTGTGTTCTTTCATTCTGTTTGAAAACAAGGCCAGGTCGACAAGGATGTGACTGAAATAAGAAGCCTGGTCATTGGTCAATCTGGAAGTGATGAGAAACATTGTATTATATTTGTGGCCTTAGTGCTGCTGCATGTCAACATCATCTCACCCAGTATCCAGAGGGGCTTGATGCTCTTCCTGCCGGGGTAGGGCTCGGGGCCGATGTACACACTGCACCGAGACACGGAACTCGTCACCTGCAACAGGAAACATTGAAATAGTGTGGCACTCGTGCTCCATAGTGAAGTGTATGTTATAACTACGGACTATGTAGACACTCTACCACCTTACCAATATCAGAATTATCTCCCCTTTAGTCTCTCACGCCAAAGAAGCCCTGTTTTCACGAATAACCCACATGTTGAACCCATGAAGTGTATCTTGTTACAAAGTACGAGAACACAACACACAGGTACCAGGGAACTTCACCAGACCATAACATCACTCAAATCCAAAGATACCTGTCCCCCACACAGGGTGAGGAGGTTTTACCAGGGAGCCCCTAGGGGGCACGTATTTACTGTAGACAGTCAGGCACACATTTACTGTAGACAGTCAGGCACATACCTGTCCCCCACACAGATTGAGGAGGTTGATCAGGGAGCCCCTAGGGGGCACGTATTTACTGTAGACAGTCAGGCACACATTTACTGTAGACAGTCAGGCACATACCTGTCCCCCACACAGATTGAGGAGGTTGATGAGGGAGCCCCTAGGGGGCACGTATTTACTGTAGACAGTCAGGCACATATTTACTGTGGACAGTCAGGCACATATTTACTGTAGACAGTCAGGCACATACCTGTCCCCCACACAGGGTGAGGAGGTTGATCAGGGAGCCCCTAGGGGGCACGTATTTACTGTAGACAGTCAGGCACACATTTACTGTAGACAGTCAGGCACATACCTGTCCCCAACACAGATTGAGGAGGTTGATCAGGGAGCCCCTAGGGGGCACGTATTTACTGTAGACAGTCAGGCACACATTTACTGTAGACAGTCAGGCACATACCTGTCCCCCACACAGGGTGAGGAGTTTGATCAGGGAGCCCCTAGGGGGCACACATTTACTGTAGACAGTCAGGCACACATTTACTGTAGACAGTCAGGCACATACCTGTCCCCAACACAGAGTGAGGAGGTTGACCAGGGAGCCTCTAGGGGGCACACATTTACTGTAGACAGTCAGGCACATACCTGTCCCCCACACAGGGCGAGGAGGTTGAACAGGGAGCCCCTAGGGGGCACGTATTTACTGTAGACAGTCAGGCACATACCTGTCCCCCAACACAGTTTGAGGAGGTTGATCAGGGAGCCCCTAGGGGGCACGTATTTACTGTAGACAGTCAGGCACACATTTACTGTAGACAGTCAGGCACATACCTGTCCCCCACACAGATTGAGGAGGTTGATCAGGGAGCCCCTAGGGGGCACGTATTTACTGTAGACAGTCAGGCACACATTTACTGTAGACAGTCAGGCACATACCTGTCCCCCACACAGATTGAGGAGGTTGATGAGGGAGCCCCTAGGGGGCACGTATTTACTGTAGACAGTCAGGCACATATTTACTGTGGACAGTCAGGCACACATTTACTGTAGACAGTCAGGCACATACCTGTCCCCCACACAGGGTGAGGAGGTTGATCAGGGAGCCCCTAGGAGGCACGTATTTACTGTAGACAGTCAGGCACACATTTACTGTAGACAGTCAGGCACATACCTGTCCCCCACACAGATTGAGGAGGTTGATCAGGGAGCCCCTAGGGGGCACGTATTTACTGTAGACAGTCAGGCACACATTTACTGTAGACAGTCAGGCACACATTTACTGTAGACAGTCAGGCACACATTTACTGTAGACAGTCAAGCACATACCTGTCCCCCACACAGAGTGAGGAGGTTGACCAGGGAGCCTCTAGGGGGCACACATTTACTGTAGACAGTCAGGCACAAACCTGTCCCCCACACAGGGTGAGGAGGTTGAACAGGGAGCCCCTAGGGGGCACGTATTTACTGTAGACAATCAGGCACATACCTGTCCCCCACACAGTTTGAGGAGGTTGATCAGGGAGCCCCTAGAGGGCACGTATTTACTGTAGACAGTCAGGCACACATTTACTGTAGACAGTCAGGCACATACCTGTCCCCAACACAGGGTGAGGAGGTTGATGAGGGAGCCCCTAGGGGGCACACATTTACTGTAGACAGTCAGGCACACATTTATTGTAGACAGTCAGGCACATACCTGTCCCCAACACAGGGTGAGGAGGTTGATCAGGGAGCCCCTAGGGGGCATGTATTTACTGTAGACAGTCAGGCACACATTTATTGTAGACAGTCAGGCACATACCTGTCCCCAACACAGGGTGAGGAGGTTGATCAGGGAGCCCCTAGGGGGCACGTATTTACTGTAGACAGTCAGGCACATACCTGTCCCCCACACAGAGTGAGGAGGTTGATCAGGGAGCCCTAGGGGGCACACATTTACTGTAGACAGTCAGGCACATACCTGTCCCCCACACAGGGTGAGGAGGTTGACCAGGGAGCCCCTTGGGGGCAAACATTTACTGCTGACAAACATCAGTCCACAGCTACTGAAAAAGGTCTGTTTGTACTCATCTCCCAGGGACTGACGTTCCTGTCTAGCCACCTAGAAAGAGTGAAAGAATGAGTGAGTGAGCGAGCTGGGTCTAACCTCATTAAGAACGTGAAAGGGAGCAAACATTATAAGCATACTTTCGTACGCATGGTGGAAAGAGTAATCATTAGACTCTATAGTTATCTATTACCATGATTAGACATGTAAAAGGGAGAAATCATTACACGTTTACAGCTACACACCTTGGCCCGGGGGAACTTAGCGCAGCATTCATACGGTTCCTCATCCACCCAGTGCCCCGCCTCCACAGACTTGAACACCTTCAACAGTCAAACTTCACATTGCAAAGACAGCCAAACTTTACATTGCAAAGACAGCCAAACTTTACATTGCAAAGACAGCCAAACTTTACATTGCAAAGACAGTCAAACTTTACATTGCAAAGACAGCCAAACTTCACATTGCAAAGACAGCCAAACTTCACATTGCAAAGACAGCTAAACTCCACATTGCAAAGACAGCCAAACTTTACATTGCAAAGACAGTCAAACTTTACATTGCAAAGACAGTCAAACTTTACATTGCAAAGACAGCCAAACTTTACATTGCAAAGACAGTCAAACTTTACATTGCAAAGACAGCCTAACTTTACATTGCAAAGACAGCCAAACTTTACATTGCAAAGACAGTCAAACTTTACATTGCAAAGACAGTCAAACTTTACATTGCAAAGACAGCCAAACTTTACATTGCAAAGACAGTCAAACTTTACATTGCAAAGACAGCCAAACTTTATAAAGCAAAGACAGCTAAACTTAACATTGCAAAGACAGCTAAACTTTACATTGCAAAGACAGCCAAACTTTACATTGCAAAGACAGCCAAACTTTACATTGCAAAGACAGCCAAACTTTACATTGCAAAGACAGCTAAAATTTACATTGCAAAGACAGCCAAACTTTACATTGCAAAGACAGCCAAACTTTACATTGCAAAGACAGCCAAACTTTACATTGCAAAGACAGCCTAACTTTACATTGCAAAGACAGCCAAACATCGGTAAACGATAGGGCTGGGACGATACACCAACTGTGCGATCCAATACGTATCACGATATCTTGTTCACGATCCGATACATATCACGATTCTTGTATGTGCTCTTATCTGTGGTGCATAAGCCATGTTTTTCATAGACAGGATGGCACACTGACGATTTACAGCTGGCAGTGTCAAGTATGGCGCAATGGATAAAAATATTTACTTCTTCACCACTAAATTTCACTACTAATTAGTGTTTGGTGTAACAGCCAAAGTAAACATTTAACGTATCGATATTTTCTACTTAGTGTGTAACTGTGATCGATACTTGTATCGGGAAGTAAAATAACCCAATCGGCCGATGTATCAGTGTATCATCCCACCACTAGGAAACAGTGTGACACACTAACCAACAGGCCCTAGTTATGGCATAGTTTCATTGACATCTTACAAATCCAGTTTCAGATGGCCATTGGTCACCAGTCATAGACCAATAAAATTTCAATTTGAGATATAGTTTGTGTAACTAGTCAGACTTTGACCAATGGAAATGCTAAGCAAGGTGTCACACATTTCATAATTTCATAATTAAAAAGTCAATAGTAAGGATTAGTCCTTAGAGAATCGATTTTACAAAACAGTGCACAGCCCTCAAAAATCATAACTGAAATTCTGAGCAGTGCATGTCTTTGCATCATATTTTCTACAGCAAACGCTGTCACGAGCTCTACTAACTTAATCAAGTGCATTTCTTATCGCAAAGTTCATTGGCCAGATTGTATATATCTCATCCAATCACGAAAGGCACTGCGTTCATTTGCTGTTATTGTTCGTCTGCTATTTTTGTTGATTTTTGTGAGCACATGACTTAGCACACACAAAAAATGCAGGATGCCGCTGAAGAAATGGCCACTAAAGGTGGGTTAAAATCAGGGGATACTCTGAACATGTTTGTGTCAAGGTCAGCTGTTGATGAAACAAAGTCAATTCTTGAAGAAGTAACTTCTTCTGGAGCACTAGACTGCTGAGGAAAAACAGAAAAGATTTTAGTTCAGTCTGATTAAAGGCTGTCAAACAGCATGTTGTGATTTGTTTATTTGCCTTATTGACTTTGGCCACTGACTTATTACATTTCTTGGTCCAAGTCCTTGAGCTGTATGTTCGATGATGTTGTTTACATGATTTAAGTCTAGAATCCACACAGGTTAACTCATGGTAAAGGGTACAATGTTTGTGAATCCTGCTCTACCCACCCACTCCTTGTGGAGAAGCCAGCAGCCTCGAGCAATGGCTGCCAGAACGTTGAGAGTGCGTCTGGCTTCCCCGTACACGACATGGGTGGTCGTCTCACAGACGTCGTCCTGCATCAGGAAACCTCCGAGATTCTTGATCACCGAGATGATGGTCTCCTGCTCACTGAAACAGACATAGCGTCACAGTGATCGAGATTGTGGGAGTCTTGGGTCCTCGAGGTCAGCTCCTGTTGTATTGGAATCTAGCGACCCTGACTGTGTAAGTAGGGTCATAATAATGGTTATGACATTTTCTTAGGACCGCTTGAAGTACTTCGACGCTTAATTTTGAACACAGTCAAAGTTTCCTTTGCTTGTTTGATCATGTTGTTTGTTTGTTTCCTAAATTCTCACTCAGAAGTATCCTGCCTTTATGAAAGCTGTTTGTAAAAATTATGTCTGGGTCGGACAAACTTGTGATTGATATCATGAACAACTTGTCATGCTGTCAGTATATGGTCTAGAACTTAACCACTTTCATTTTACGTGTCTTTTTATTTCCATGGTGGCAAAATGAAAATAGGAAATTTCATTTAGCATTTGAGCTGTTGAAAAAGCCCTGATCCACTGCTGACCAATCTTGTGAAGGTTGACCCCACAAATCACACATACAATCCAATGACACACAAAATATTTCTCTTTAATACATAAAGAAATACTAGCAGGAAGACAAGGTAACCATTATCTCAAGCTATCCTTGAATGATTTCACCATCACCCTTTCACCCATACCACCCCTATACACACCCACACCACCAAACACCCAAACATACACTCACACCCCACATCCCTACACACACAACCACACCACCAAACATACTCACACACCCCCACACACACTCACATCCCCCCCCCCCCCCCCCCCACACACACAACCACACCCCACACTACACATAACCACACCTCCTCACACACACTACTACATACCCACACACACATCACATCACTACACACACAGAATTCAAAAATTGACACACACACACACACACACACACCCCCCCTTCACTCATCTGCGCTCTAAGGAAACACTAAGCAGATACACTAAATTATGTAGATCTTTTATAGCATGTGTACTTCCAAAATAACATGAACTGTCGAAGTTCTTTTGGTATGAATTTATTATTAATCTGTAACAACATTTGCATATAAGACGAAGGAGGAGAAGGAAAAGAGGTAGATCATAACTGACACTTTCCATGAACATTTAAAAAGGAAATCAAGCAGGGCTCACTAACACCCCTGACCTCAACGCCAACATACCTCTTAGGTTCAAAACATGACAAAAATAATAGTTTTTCAGAAAATACACATATCAAAATGAAACTTAGCCCTGAATCTCTTCTATTAGTCATACAAATGTTAATAATTCAAAGTAAAAAACAATGAAAAATAGCTGTATTTTTTTCAGAAAATCCAAATATTGAAAACAAACTTGGCACTGTGTAGTAGTTGTCTTGTAATAGGTCGCATACAAAAATGTCTTTGGACGGACGGAATTTCCTGGTATAACTATATACCCCAGCCCTTTCACATCGGGGTAGAATAAAATCAAGTACATGCAGCAGGGGTAGAAACTAACATATTTAGTCCACTAGTCCTTATAATGATAACATATAGCAAACCCCTTAAAAATGGCAAATTTCTACTTGTCCTTATGACACCTTAACTATTGGCCAGTCAGGCAGGGACGACAGGACTAGTGCCAATTTCTAACGCTGTGCAGTAACAATGGTAAATGGTAAGAACTAACCATGCTAACATGCAATGAAGTAAGATAACAAAACACTCAAAAAGGATGTATTGGAGATTAGAAGACAAAAGCCTGGTAGCAGTTTAGTTAAAACTAAAAACTTTCAAAAAGTCTCTATTTGAGATTAAGAAACCGAACACTGTTAGCAGTTAAGTTAATACAGTTCTTGGTTCATTTGCTCTTGGCTCATATTGGTGTAATGTTCCACAAGAACAATCCTCTTCTAGAACACAGTCAGTGACATCGTTACACGCTGGCCCTTGAGCAAGGTCTTCACCAAGAGAACCATATGGAATGTTGTACATCAGGACATCAGAGCGCCATGGCAGATGACAGATGATTAGTGTGACCTTAATTCCTTAGCCAGGCATTTTATTCTTAGAGCAGTTCTTGTAACCATGGTAACATGTGTACCACATGCATTAAGTGAAAGTGATCGGACCATCCTATTTGTGCTAGGTGCAGATGTACTCACTGTGTGTGTAGACTGGTCATGACGATGGTAGGACGATTTCGACCAGTCAGGGAGGACGCAGGCAGGCAGGTAGATGTGTCATTAGCAAACGAGTTGGCCCTCCTGAGCTTTATCTGTGTGGGCAAGGGTCCATCACTTACACCAGAGGTATCGTTTATACTCGTCTCCGTAGCTTCATCGTCCCCATTCTCGCTGGATGACTGACACAATGAGGACCGACCTCGTCTTGGTTTTCTGTCATATTTTGGTTTCTGCCTACTGTGGTTATCACTTTCACAAATACTGTTGAGCACTGAGTTTCCCTTCCTAAACCGTGGTTTACCCACAGAGAACTCGTCTATGCTGGGTCTAGGAGCAGCAAGTCCCATCATGGCTGCTGTGCTATCAAACATGGTTGACATAGACGCTCCCAACACCCCTGATTTGTCCGACTCACAGATGGTGTGTTCAGTTCTCGTGGTGTCCGAGTTACACACATCACTTGTAGCAGTACGAGACACACATCCCCTCACAGACCTCCGCCTCTGAACCCCAGTCTCCGCCTTGTGCACATCCCCATTACATCGCGTCTTCTTTGTCGTCTGTCTGTCAGTGTCTGTAGTGTCGCTATGCTCGTCCACTTTCCGCTTCTGTCCCCTGCGTGATGGCCCCGATCCTGGCTCTTCCTTTGTCCTCCTTCTTCCCCCCTTTACAGGGCCAGACCCTGGCCCTTCCATTGTCCTCCGTCTTCCCCCCTTCACAGGCCCCGACCCTGGCTCTTCCTTTGTCCTCCCTCTTCCCCCCTTTACAGGGCCAGACCCTGGCCCTTCCATTGTCCTCCCTCTGCCCCCCTTCACAGGCCCTGATCCTTGTTCCTTGTTTGCCTCCCTACCCACAGGTTCTTCCATCGATTGTGTCTTTCGCTCTCGGACCCCCGGATTCAGCGCAGGGGAGACTAGGCTCGGTCTCACTACACTGGAGCTGTGTGTGGGTTCCATCAGAAAAGATGGTTTGACTGGTTCTGTTAGTAATTTCTTCTTCCTCCGACCGTTGAGACCAGCATCCCCTGGAATATTGGATGCTGGTGCAGGAGGGAGGGGATCTTCCTCTTCATCCCGCTGACACTCTCCTGCTGGGGAGGGAAGTCAATACATGTTAATGAAGTTCCTGTCAAACATACAACACAAGCCAAATGAACATAAAGAAAGTAAAAGAATCACGCATTGTCATCAACATTTACCATGGTTACTGTGGCTTGTGATGTTATCCAAATCCTTTTCAGATTTACCAGTGGTCGATATCACAAGCAACATGGGATGCAATCTCATTAAAATCAGATCTTAGTTTTCGCTACCGCTTAACAAAGATCTGAGGACATCCCATTACGGGTCACGTTAGAACGACCTTTCGCGAATTTTGACCAACCAATGAAATTACCGACAAGAAAACGACATTAGCGAGAAGGCAGCTTTCTCGAGCTTTACGACACTAGTTTCAAACTGGCGACTACGCTTCGAAACATATTTTGACGTATTCTCGATTAAAAAAATTAAAACTGATAAGAATATTCTGGAATGGCTTATAGATGGCCTAGATTGTATGGATATAATCATAAAAACTGTCGTTCGGAATACCCCGTGTTAAATATTTCGTGGTTGCAGGATGAGAAAACACATTCCGACTGTCTCTTTCATGATCTGGTAAGTGACACTCTGATTGGTTGGATGAAAGGTCGTTCTGACGTGACCCTTAATGGGATGTCCTCAGATCTTTGTTTCGCGACAGCGAGAACTAAGATCTGATTTTATTGAGATTGCATGGGATGTGGCCAGGTGTTACAACTTGACTAAGAGCCAGGTTTAAACTGACAGTTTCCAGATGGCATCGTCATTTCATTACCCATACTCAGTAGCCATTGTGTCCCACAATCCCCAGTTTATTACATATGGGGTAACGATTCTGCTTTGGAATTCCATCAAGGAGATGTCCATAACATAATATTACGGATGATAGTGGGTAAACAAAACTTAAATCTACTTGATAAAAGCCACATTCATCTATATTATCAAGAAATTATATTCAGAAATCTAGCTATCTCAGTATCTGATTGTCCAGTTGCCGTCTTGTAAAAAGCAGGGCTCGACTTTAAGCATGTTAAGGAGCTTGATTAAACTTGCACCAGGTTCATGGTGAGATGAAAACCTAGTTGCACTGGACAAAACCAGGTTGCACCCAGGTTCCGTTAATACATCAAAGTTGAAACATCGGCTGGTCTGCTGCCAGTGTCACATAAATTAATAATGTACTGCTGTAAATCTTTGCAGGTACATGTGTATATGATCACAGTTTGCTGTGAAGCCCAAGAAAGCAAGACAAATTACACATGACACAGGGATTAGTGATGTAGTATGGTTAATATACTTCAGAGGTATGGAGTGTGTTCAAAGATGAATGTTTTGTGGTCCAGTAAGGATTAGTTAGACACAAATTTTGAAAATTTTGGACCTACACTTGGTGCATGTAGACATAAATATTTGGTTGCATTTTTAAATAATAGGTTGCACTGGTGCATGTTTTATATAGCTAAAAGTCAAGTCAGCTGGCCTGCTTGAACAGACATCATGACGTCATAGCGTGTGACATGACGTCACTTGCTTGTCATGTCACAGCTTGAGTCACCACACTGAGACTTCAACAAAGGCTCAAGATAGAACTTACTGTCACACATAAACATTTCACCGAAAATATATCAACATATTAACTGGTATTGATATATTCATTCCATGTTTCAATAGCGGGGTGTCCCGGTTTAACAAGCTTGAACGTTTGCATACACCTTGGCATACAACACCATTCACCTCGTATAATCCTGTATAATCCGTATACTCAACTAGTGACTTTTGTAACCCGTAATCCTATGGTGAGATTCCACATCAGTCTGTAAATTATCTAACCTAGACCAGAAATGTATTTGACTGAGTGTATGAGCACTGATCCATGCCATCAGGTCACGATGACCTGCAATCTACCGAGTCACAGTGACTGAAGGCATGAGCACTGATCCATGCCATCAGGTCACGATGACCTGCAATCAGCCTAGTCACAGTGACTGAAAGCATGAGCACTGATCCATGCCATCAGGTCACGATGACCTGCAATCAGCCGAGTCACAGTGACTGAAAGCATGAGCACTGATCCATGCCATCAGGTCGCGATGACCTGCAATCAGCCGAGTCACAGTGACTGAAGGCATGAGCACTGATCCATGCCATCAGGTCACGATGACCTGCAATCAGCCGAGTCACATTGACCGAAAGCATGAGCACTGATCCATGCCATCAGGTCACGATGACCTGCAATCAGCCGAGTCACAGTGACTGAAAGCATGAGCACTGATCCATACCATCAAGTCACGATGACCTCCAGTCACCCGAGACACAGTGACTGAAAGCATGAGCACTGATCCATGCCATCAGGTCACGATGACCTGCAATCAGCCGAGACACAGTGACTGAAAGCATGAGCACTGATCCATACCATCAAGTCACGATGACCTGCAATCAGCCGAGTCACATTGACTGAAAGCATGAGCACTGATCCATGCCATCAGGTCACGATGACCTCCAGTCACCCGAGACACAGTGACTGAAAGCATGAGCACTGATCCATGCCATCAAGTCACGATGACCTGCAATCAGCCGAGACACAGTGACTGAAAGCATGAGCACTGATCCATGCCATCAAGTCACGATGACCTGCAATCAGCCGAGTCACAGTGACTGAAAGCATGAGCACTGATCCATGCCATCAGGTCGCGATGACCTGCAATCAACCGAGTCACATTGACTGAAAGCATGAGCACTGATCCATGCCATCAGAGTACGATGACCTGCAATCATCCGAGTCACAGTGACTGAAAGCATGAGCACTGATCCATGCCATCAGGTCACGATGACCTGCAGTCACCCGAGACACAGTGACTGAAAGCATGAGCACTGATCCATGCCATCAGGGCACGATGACCTGCAATCAACCGAGTCACATTGACTGAAAGCATGAGCACTGATCCATGCCATCAGGTCGCGATGACCTGCAATCAACCGAGTCACATTGACAGGGCATAATGAAAGTAAAAAAAATGTCCAAGTTGGACAAGTCGGCTTTTAAGAAAAGTGTGGGATAATGGACATAGTCTATTGTGGGATGCCCACAAGGTTTCTGCGTTACTGTGGTTAGACAACTACTGCCAGCATCACTGTGTCGACTCACTGAACAGTTTCCTGATGAGGGGCTCGGTGTCATCAGTTGGTCTAGCCAAGGGAGAGAAGGTGGTTCCTGCAACACAAACCAGTGAAGGTGTCATGATTCACTTACGATTCACCTCCCAACTTGTATTGTTTATTTACCACCAAAATAACAAAGCCATATTGATTCATTGAATAAAAGCCCTCCAATGTGATATTAACCATCCACAAAGATTATATAACATCTATATTTATCACACATGAACCCAGAAGTACTAAACGCATTGCAAAAAAGTCTTGTTGTGGAATGAACAACTGTCTTCAAATTGCTCACATTAACTAGCCAATTGTTTGTATATAGATTATTTTAAAAAACACTAGTATAGTGACAACTGCTGTTGATTGTTTTGCTTGACATGCTGGATAATGCCTTCACATTGTAACACACTTGAAGTGCAGGTGAACATTAATCACAGGCTGATCTCCACAAGTATGTTCAACTTCCAGCTTATTAACACAGCTTGCTATTTGAATATTTGTTTGTTTGATGTTTAAGGCTGCCCACGTTTGTTTTTACATTCAGTGGAATAAAACAAATAGTAAGTAATAATCTACTTTCATTATACATGTATTCAGACAGCAGAATCATAAAACCAATTTTTTTTATCACAAATCGGTTTTTTAACTCATTCTGATCAGTGATGGCCAAGTTGATGGTTTAACCACCGAATGTTTACCGTTTAGTTTGGCCAGTTTCAGCTGCCTGAGTTTCTCCCTCATGCTGGGCGGGGTGTCTGGGATGGTGAGGGACACGGGCGTTGTCCACCGGCTGTTGCTGGCCTGGTAGCTCGGAGACTGAGAATCACAACACATTAACATCTTACATTAGCTCGGAGACTGAGAATCACAACACATTAACATCTTACATTAGCTCGGAGACTGAGCATCACAACACATTAACATCTTACATTAGCTCGGAGACTGAGAATCACAACACATTAACATCTTACATTAGCTCGGAGACTGAGCATCACAACACATTAACATCTTACATTAGCTCGGAGACTGAGAATCACAACACATTAACATCTTACATTAGCTTGGAGACTGAGAATCACAACACATTAACATCTTACATTAGCTCAGAGACTGAGAATCACAACACATTAACATCTTACATTAGCTCTGAGACTGAGAATCACAACACATTAACATCTTACATTAGCTCTGAGACTGAGAATCACAACACATTAACATCTTACATTAGCTCGGAGACTGAGAATCACAACACATTAACATCTTACATTAGCTCGGAGACTGAGAATCACAACACATTAACATCTTACATTAGCTCGGAGACTGAGAATCACAACACATTAACATCTTACATAAGCTCGGAGACTGAGAATCACAACACATTAACATCTTACATTAGCTCGGAGACTGAGAATCACAACACATTAACATCTTACATTAGCTTGGAGACTGAGAATCACAACACATTGACATCTCACATTAGCTCGGAGACTGAGAATCACAACACATCAACATCTTACATTAGCTGGGAGACTGAGAATCACAACACATTAACATCTTACATTAGCTTGGAGACTGAGAATCACAACACATTAACATCTTACATTAGCTCAGAGACTGAGAATCACAACACATTAACATCTTACATTAGCTTGGAGACTGAGAATCACAACACATTAACATCTTACATTAGCTCAGAGACTGAGAATCACAACACATTAACATCTTCCATTAGCTCGGAGACTGAGAATCACAACACATTAACATCTTACATAAGCTTGGAGACTGAGAATCACAACACATTAACATCTTACATAAGCTTGGAGACTGAGAATCACAACACATTAACATCTTACATAAGCTTGGAGACTGAGAATCACAACACATTAACATCTTACATTAGCTTGGAGACTGAGAATCACAACACATTAACATCTTACATTAGCTCAGAGACTGAGAATCACAACACATTAACATCTTACATTAGCTCTGAGACTGAGAATCACAACACATTAACATCTTACATTAGCTCTGAGACTGAGAATCACAACACATTAACATCTAACATTAGCTCTGAGACTGAGAATCACAACACATTAACATCTTACATTAGCTCGGAGACTGAGAATCACAACACATTAACATCTTACATTAGCTCGGAGACTGAGAATCACAACACATTAACATCTTACATAAGCTCGGAGACTGAGAATCACAACACATTAACATCTTACATTAGCTTGGAGACTGAGAATCACAACACATTAACATCTTACATAAGCTCGGAGACTGAGAATCACAACACATTAACATCTTACATTAGCTTGGAGACTGAGAATCACAACACATTAACATCTTACATAAGCTCGGAGACTGAGAATCACAACACATTAACATCTTACATTAGCTTGGAGACTGAGAATCACAACACATTAACATCTTACATTAGCTTGGAGACTGACAATCACAACACATTAACATCTTACTGTAGCTCGGAGACTGAGAATCACAACACATTGACATCTTACATTAGCTCTGAGACTGAGAATCACAACACATTGACATCTTACATTAGCTCTGAGACTGAGAATCACAACACATTAACATCTTACATTAGCTCGGAGACTGAGAATCACAACACATTAACATCTTACATTAGCTCAGAGACTGAGAATCACAACACATTGACATCTTACATTAGCTTGGAGACTGAGAATCACAACACATTAACATCTTACATTAGCTCGGAGACTGAGAATCACAACACATTAACATCTTCCATTAGCTCGGAGACTGAGAATCACAACACATTAACATCTTACATAAGCTTGGAGACTGAGAATCACAACACATTAACATCTTACATAAGCTTGGAGACTGAGAATCACAACACATTAACATCTTACATAAGCTTGGAGACTGAGAATCACAACACATTAACATCTTACATTAGCTTGGAGACTGAGAATCACAACACATTAACATCTTACATTAGCTCAGAGACTGAGAATCACAACACATTAACATCTTACATTAGCTCTGAGACTGAGAATCACAACACATTAACATCTTACATTAGCTCTGAGACTGAGAATCACAACACATTAACATCTAACATTAGCTCTGAGACTGAGAATCACAACACATTAACATCTTACATTAGCTCGGAGACTGAGAATCACAACACATTAACATCTTACATTAGCTCGGAGACTGAGAATCACAACACATTAACATCTTACATAAGCTCGGAGACTGAGAATCACAACACATTAACATCTTACATTAGCTTGGAGACTGAGAATCACAACACATTAACATCTTACATAAGCTCGGAGACTGAGAATCACAACACATTAACATCTTACATTAGCTTGGAGACTGAGAATCACAACACATTAACATCTTACATAAGCTCGGAGACTGAGAATCACAACACATTAACATCTTACATTAGCTTGGAGACTGAGAATCACAACACATTAACATCTTACATTAGCTTGGAGACTGACAATCACAACACATTAACATCTTACTGTAGCTCGGAGACTGAGAATCACAACACATTGACATCTTACATTAGCTCTGAGACTGAGAATCACAACACATTGACATCTTACATTAGCTCTGAGACTGAGAATCACAACACATTAACATCTTACATTAGCTCGGAGACTGAGAATCACAACACATTAACATCTTACATTAGCTCAGAGACTGAGAATCACAACACATTGACATCTTACATTAGCTTGGAGACTGAGAATCACAACACATTAACATCTTACATTAGCTCGGAGACTGAGAATCACAACACATTAACATCTTACATTAGCTCGGAGACTGAGAATCACAACACATTAACATCTTACATTAGCTCAGAGACTGAGAATCACAACACATTGACATCTTACATTAGCTTGGAGACTGAGAATCACAACACATTAACATCTTACATTAGCTCGGAGACTGAGAATCACAACACATTAACATCTTACATTAGCTTGGAGACTGAGAATCACAACACATTGACATCTTACATTAGCACGGAGACTGAGCATCACAACACATTAACATCTTACTGTAGCTCGGAGACTGAGCATCACAACACATTGACATCTTACATTAGCACGGAGACTGAGCATCACAACACATTGACATCTTACATTAGCACGGAGACTGAGCATCACAACACATTGACATCTTACATTAGCACGGAGACTGAGCATCACAACACATTGACATCTTACATTAGCTTGGAGACTGAGCATCACAACACATTAACATCTTACATTAGCTCGGGGACTGAGAATCACAACACATCAACATCTTACATTAGCTTGGAGACTGAGAATCACAACACATTGACATCTTACTGTAGCTCGGGGACTGAGAATCACAACACATTGACATCTTACTGTAGCTCGGGGACTGAGAATCACAACACATTGACATCTTACATTAGCTTGGAGACTGAGAATCACAACACATTGACATCTGACTGTAGCTCGGGGACTGAGAATCACAACACATTGACATCTTACATTAGCTTGGAGACTGAGAATCACAACACATCAACATCTTACATTAGCTCGGAGACTGAGAATCACAACACATTGACATCTTACATTAGCACGGAGACTGAGAATCACAACACATTAACATCTTACATTAGCTGGGAGACTGAGAATCACAACACATTGACATCTTACATTAGCTCAGAGACTGAGAATCACAACACATTAACATCTTACATTAGCTGGGAGACTGAGAATCACAACACATTAACATCTTACATTAGGTCCGAGACTGAGAATCACAACACATTAACATCTTACATTAGGTCCGAGACTGAGAATCACAACACATTAACATCTTACATTAGGTCCGAGACTGAGAATCACAACACATTAACATCTTACATTAGGTCCGAGACTGAGAATCACAACACATTAACATCTTACATTAGCTCGGAGACTGAGAATCACAACACATTAACATCTTACATTAGGTCCGAGACTGAGAATCACAACACATTAACATCTTACATTAGCTCGGAGACTGAGAATCACAACACATTAACATCTTACATTAGCTCGGAGACTGAGAATCACAACACATTAACATCTTACATTAGCTTGGAGACTGAGAATCACAACACATTAACATCTTACATTAGCACGGAGACTGAGAATCACAACACATTGACATCTTACATTAGCACGGAGACTGAGAATCACAACACATTAACATCTTACATTAGGTCTGAGACTGAGAATCACAACACATTAACATCTCAGCATAGCTCAGAGACTGAGAATCACACAACACATTAATATCTCACCGTAGCTCGGAGACTGTTGTTTTTTGTTGTATTTTTAATGCCGCACTGAGTTATATATGATGGCGGTCTGTAAATAATCGAATCTGGACCAGACAATCCAGTGATTGACCTCATGAGCATCGAACTATGCATTTGTGATACAATGACATGCATCAACCATGTCAGCGAGCCTAACCACCACCTCTTACGACAAGCATGGGTCGCTAAAGACCAATTCTAACCTGGAATCTTCACTGGACTCGGAGACTGACAATCTCACAACACATTAACATCTCACATTAGTTTACAGTATATAGACACAGAGGCAAGGTGAAATGGGGTTTAATATTGTGTTCAAAGTTATTAAACTTTTATAGTGATGTTCATGCATGTGTGTGGCTGCTTGTACTAGTCCGGACTAACGCCACTTAGCCCACTGAGATGCCATTTTTACTTTTAACAGATTTTGGTTTGATGAAGCTGGGGATCAAACCAACAAGCCTGCACTCTCCAGGCAGATGCTCAATCACTAGGCCACGGAGGCAGTCATATGGACTGCTACTGCTCACCACTGATCGGGGTTGTGTTTCCTGCACGAGTATGGCCGGCGGCGTGAACTCCGGCGTCTCCTCCATGATCTGGAAGCGCCGCATGGTTGCCACTCTCTTCCTCCTCTTCTGACACCGCTCGGCGCTGCTGACAACATCCTCGTTGAAGTCGGACGGCTGCATCGACTTCATTTTCTGAACAGGAAAACCTCATTATGAATCTGTGGTATGATTCATCACTATCACAAGTAAAACATACTCCTTGCCGATTACACGCCAGATGACTACATCGTTGGTAGTCTATGCATGTGCCTTGGCAGCTACTGTAAGGTTTGTTGTGGTCTGTAAATAATCGAGTCTGGACCAGACAATCCAGTGATTGACATCATGAGCATTGATCTATGCAACTGGCATACAATAACAGGCATCAATCAAGTCAGCGAGTCTGACCACCCGATCCTGAGATTCACCTGAGACAAGCATGGGTTGCTGAAGACCAATTCTAACACAGATCTTTATGGCTCTACTGTAAGGTAACCATGGTAACAGTACAGTACTTCACCTACTTTCAGTGCATTGATCCTTTGGGTAATCCAGGTCAGAATAGATACCGAGTATCTCATGCATGTCAAAAGACTTTTTTAAAGAGCAGATGAAAATGGGAAAGGTCAAGCTATCACAATCAGTGACATTTCTGGTCATGGTGCCGGGATGGCGTGAAACATTGCTATCTGTCAAGACTCTAATATTTACTGTTCTATAAATAGAGCAAGAAGGTGGCCCCCTGCGCTCGTAGCTTATTTACAGGCATAACTGGAATGTCGGTGACGGTGGCGTAAAACAACATTTACTGACCTTGAGTCGAGGAAACAGGATTGGGGTGGAAGAGCTCTCCGGCAAGAGGGCAGGAAACAACTTCTCAGACACATGGTCATTGTTCTTCCTGCAACTGGAACAGCAACACACGCTATATGGATGTACACCCTGGTGATACTCACATAGTCCACACATATCAATCACTGACTTGTCTGGTCCAGACTTGATCACGTACACACATACAGCTGGAATACTGAGTGTAACGTTAAACAACAACAACAACCAACTCACCTGTCAACCCAGAGCACAGACACAAGGTGGATGTTCTTCTTGATGGCCTTGTCCCTGGTTCTCTTCAAGCCCTCTTTGTAAATAACGTGGGTAACATCGTCGGTGAACTTGTCAGCCACAACTGCCCCCAGTTGGCGCAGGGCAGACGAGATGGCATGACTCCGGTTGTCATTGCATGTCCGCACCTCTACGTAGGCAGTGACACCTGGTGGCAACATATACAAAAACATGATGCTCAAAAATGTAAAAGCAGAAAAACAAAGCACTATTTTTTGCATTGCTGTCCGCAGCCATGTGTACGAGTAACGAAAGTGTGCATTCAAACATTAAACTGTAACCATGGTAACATGCCTGTTACAACACATTCAAGAAACTCTTCGAAAAACCACAATATAAAATGTCCTAACTATATAAACTTATATATATACTTCTAGATACTTATAAAATTTGAGAACAAACTTTAGACATTTTGAAATACAATCAGTGAATGCCCAAGAAAATTAACCCATCTTAAATCCTGTCCACCTTCTGTGCTAATGCAAGTACTATGTAATTTGCAATAACTCCTTATGAAATACAATGTTATTTGTAAATGTGGGTAATGCTATGGTCATGATGAATATCCGCTGAATAGCTTTTTCACTTGTCCAATAACAGCAATTGGTTGGTTGTTGGTTTGTTGTTTAACGCCGCACTCAGCAATATTCCAGCTATATGATGCGGTCTGTCAATAATCGAGCCTGGACCAGACAATCCAGTGATTGACATCATGAGCATCGATCCACGTAATTGGGATCGATGACATGCATCCACCAAGTCAGCGAGCCTGACCACCCGATCCTGTTAGTCGCCTCTTACGACAAGCATAGTCGCCTTTTACGGCAAGCATGGGTTGCTGAAGACCTATTCTACCCCGGATCTTCATGCATGTCCTTATATGCCGAGAGATTTGATTCAAATACAGAGTGAGTGAGTATGGTTTTACGCCCCTTTTAGCAATATTCCAGCAATATCACCAGAAATGGGCTTCACATGATGTACCTATGTCGGGAATCGAACCCAGGTTTTAGGCATGACGCTTTAACCACTAGGCTAATTACAGAGCTTATAATGGTAATGCAAACACTTCTTACATAATAAACCAACAATTTCAGTGATCAGATTTATAGATGTTTGTTTGTTTGTTGTTTAACACCGCACTCAACAATATTCCAGCTATATGACGGCGGTCTGTAAATAATCGAATCTGGACCAGACAATCCCGTGTTTGACATCTTGAGCATCGATCTACATATTTAGGACACTATGACATGCATCAACCAAGTCAGCGAGTCTTTTACAGCAAACATGGGTTGCTGAAGACCTATTCTAAGTTATTCTAACCCGGATCTTCACGGGTGATTTATAGAAGTAATGGCTAGATTTAGGCACATGTATGGGGCTAGGGAAAGAATGAAATAAAGACATTTAAGATTGTTTGTTTGTTTTCTAAATGTGCAGTGAAAGTTATCCTCATGGAACCTCTTATCATGATTACATGTAGATTTTTTGTCAAAATCTGTTTTATTTAGTACTTTTGAAATTATTTTTTCCCGCAATGTCGACTAAACCTGTGAACCAATTATTTAAGAATCTTGCCTAATTTTTTTAGTAAATTTGATAAAAACATACAGAATAAAGCAGTATACAGCAATCACTACCCTTGAGCATGTTTAACACAACAGGGCTATGTTGCCCAGAGAAGAACAATCATCTCGAAGAAACCCCCCTCTCCTGGCTTCTAGTCTTGCTTGATAGGCATTACTTAGAAGTTGATGGATGACAAAGTAGATACACCTTCTTTAATCTTTATTAATACTGTAAAGGCGACATTTCGGTATTGATCCTTATACCATTGTGAAGCAAGACTGGGTCAACAGAGATCAAGGCTATTTCATCCCATCCGCCTAATATGAACTCATCAAGCAATAATCACCACACCTATGCAAACTTATCCTGTTTAATTGGCTTCATGTCGCACTGGCTTCCACCTCATGTGTTCTCTGTCCATGTTGTTACAGTAGTATCCCTCTGTTGTCATTACTTCACCTAGTCATGTTATCCCACTCATGTGTTCTCTGTCCATGTTGTTACAGTAGGATCCATCTGTTGTCACTACTTCACCTAGTCATGTTATCCCACTCATGTGTTCTCTGTCCATGTTGTTACAGTAGTATCCATCTGTTGTCATTACTTCACCTAGTCATGTTATCCCACTCATGTGTTCTATGTCCATGTTGTTACAGTAGGATCCATCTGTTGTCATTACTTCACCTAGTCATGTTATCCCACTCATGTGTTCTCTGTCCATGTTGTTACAGTAGGATCTATCTGTTGTCATTACTTCACCTAGTCATGTTATCCACCTCATGTGTTCTCTGTCCATGTTGTTACAGTAGTATCTATCTGTTGTCATTACTTCACCTAGTCATGTTATCCACCTCATGTGTTCTCTGTCCATGTTGTTACAGTAGGATCTATCTGTTGTCATTACTTCACCTAGTCATGTTATCCACCTCATGTGTTCTCTGTCAATGTTGTTACAGTAGGATCTATCTGTTGTCATTACTTCACCTAGTCATGTTATCCACCTCATGTGTTCTCTGTCCATGTTGTTACAGTAGTATCTATCTGTTGTCATTACTTCACCTAGTCATGTTATCCCACTCATGTGTTCTCTGTCCACGTTGTTACAGTAGTATCTATCTGTTGTCATTACTTCACCTAGTCATGTTATCCCACTCATGAGTTCTCTGTCCATGTTGTTACAGTAGTATCTATCTGTTGTCATTACTTCACCTAGTCATGTTATCCACCTCATGTGTTCTCTGTCCATGTTGTTACAGTAGGATCTATCTGTTGTCATTACTTCACCTAGTCATGTTATCCCACTCATGTGTTCTCTGTCCATGTTGTTACAGTAGTATCTATCTGTTGTCATTACTTCACCTAGTCATGTTATCCCACTCATGTGTTCTCTGTCCATGTTGTTACAGTAGTATCCATCTGTTGTCATTACTTCACCTAGTCATGTTATCCCACTCATGTGTTCTCTGTCCATGTTGTTACAGTAGTATCCATCTGTTGTCATTACTTCACCTAGTCATGTTATCCACCTCATGTGTTCTCTGTCCATGTTGTTACAGTAGGATCTATCTGTTGTCATTACTTCACCTAGTCATGTTATCCCACTCATGTGTTCTCTGTCCATGTTGTTACAGTAGTATCTATCTGTTGTCATTACTTCACCTAGTCATGTTATCCCACTCATGTGTTCTCTGTCCATGTTGTTACAGTAGGATCTATCTGTTGTCATTACTTCACCTAGTCATGTTATCCCACCCATGTGTTCTCTGTCCATGTTGTTACAGTAGTATCTATCTGTTGTCATTACTTCACCTAGTCATGTTATCCCACCCATGTGTTCTCTGTCCATGTTGTTACAGTAGTATCTATCTGTTGTCATTACTTCACCTAGTCATGTTATCCCACTCATGTGTTCTCTGTCCACGTTGTTACAGTAGGATCCATCTGTTGTCATTACTTCACCTAGTCATGTTATCCCACTCATGTGTTCTCTGTCCATGTTGTTACAGTAGTATCTATCTGTTGTCATTACTTCACCTAGTCATGTTATCCCACTCATGTGTTCTCTGTCCATGTTGTTACAGTAGTATCTATCTGTTGTCATTACTTCACCTAGTCATGTTATCCCACTCATGTGTTCTCTGTCCATGTTGTTACAGTAGGATCCATCTGTTGTCATTACTTCACCTAGTCATGTTATCCCACTCATGTGTTCTCTGTCCATGTTGTTACAGTAGTATCCATCTGTTGTCATTACTTCACCTAGTCATGTTATCCCACTCATGTGTTCTCTGTCCATGTTGTTACAGTAGTATCCCTCTGTTGTCATTACTTCACCTAGTCATGTTATCCCACTCATGTGTTCTCTGTCCATGTTGTTACAGTAGTATCTATCTGTTGTCATTACTTCACCTAGTCATGTTATCCCACTCATGTGTTCTCTGTCCATGTTGTTACAGTAGTATCCCTCTGTTGTCATTACTTCACCTAGTCATGTTATCCCACTCATGTGTTCTCTGTCCATGTTGTTACAGTAGTATCCATCTGTTGTCATTACTTCACCTAGTCATGTTATCCACCTCATGTGTTCTCTGTCCATGTTGTTACAGTAGGATCTATCTGTTGTCATTACTTCACCTAGTCATGTTATCCCACTCATGTGTTCTCTGTCCATGTTGTTACAGTAGTATCTATCTGTTGTCATTACTTCACCTAGTCATGTTATCCCACTCATGTGTTCTCTGTCCATGTTGTTACAGTAGGATCCATCTGTTGTCATTACTTCACCTAGTCATGTTATCCCACTCATGTGTTCTCTGTCCATGTTGTTACAGTAGGATCTATCTGTTGTCATTACTTCACCTAGTCATGTTATCCCACTCATGTGTTCTCTGTCCATGTTGTTACAGTAGGATCCATCTGTTGTCATTACTTCACCTAGTCATGTTATCCACCTCATGTGTTCTATGTCCATGTTGTTACAGTAGTATCTATCTGTTGTCATTACTTCACCTAGTCATGTTATCCCACTCATGTGTTCTCTGTCCATGTTGTTACAGTAGGATCCATCTGTTGTCATTACTTCACCTAGTCATGTTATCCCACTCATGTGTTCTCTGTCCATGTTGTTACAGTAGTATCCATCTGTTGTCATTACTTCACCTAGTCATGTTATCCCACTCATGTGTTCTCTGTCCATGTTGTTACAGTAGTATCCCTCTGTTGTCATTACTTCACCTAGTCATGTTATCCCACTCATGTGTTCTCTGTCCATGTTGTTACAGTAGTATCTATCTGTTGTCATTACTTCACCTAGTCATGTTATCCCACTCATGTGTTCTCTGTCCATGTTGTTACAGTAGGATCCATCTGTTGTCATTACTTCACCTTGTCATGCTATCCCACTCATGTGTTCTCTGTCCATGTTGTTACAGTAGGATCCTTCTGTTGTCATTACTTCACCTAGTCATGTTATCCCACTCATGTGTTCTATGTCCATGTTGTTACAGTAGTATCCCTCTGTTGTCATTACTTCACCTAGTCATGTTATCCCACTCATGTGTTCTCTGTCCATGTTGTTACAGTAGTATCCATCTGTTGTCATTACTTCACCTAGTCATGTTATCCCACTCATGTGTTCTCTGTCCATGTTGTTACAGTAGTATCTATCTGTTGTCATTACTTCACCTAGTCATGTTATCCACCTCATGTGTTCTATGTCCATGTTGTTACAGTAGTATCTATCTGTTGTCATTACTTCACCTAGTCATGTTATCCCACTCATGTGTTCTCTGTCCATGTTGTTACAGTAGTATCTATCTGTTGTCATTACTTCACCTAGTCATGTTATCCCACTCATGTGTTCTCTGTCCATGTTGTTACAGTAGTATCCATCTGTTGTCATTACTTCACCTAGTCATGTTATCCCACTCATGTGTTCTCTGTCCATGTTGTTACAGTAGGATCCTTCTGTTGTCATTACTTCACCTAGTCATGTTATCCCACTCATGTGTTCTCTGTCCATGTTGTTACAGTAGGATCCATCTGTTGTCATTACTTCACCTAGTCATGTTATCCCACTCATGTGTTCTCTGTCCATGTTGTTACAGTAGGATCCATCTGTTGTCATTACTTCACCTAGTCATGTTATCCCACTCATGTGTTCTCTGTCCATGTTGTTACAGTAGGATCCATCTGTTGTCATTACTTCACCTAGTCATGTTATCCCACTCATGTGTTCTCTGTCCATGTTGTTACAGTAGGATCCATCTGTTGTCATTACTTCACCTAGTCATGTTATCCCACTCATGTGTTCTCTGTCCATGTTGTTACAGTAGGATCCATCTGTTGTCATTACTTCACCTAGTCATGTTATCCCACTCATGTGTTCTCTGTCCATGTTGTTACAGTAGGATCCATCTGTTGTCATTACTTCACCTAGTCATGTTATCCCACTCATGTGTTCTCTGTCCATGTTGTTACAGTAGGATCCATCTGTTGTCATTACTTCACCTAGTCATGTTATCCCACTCATGTGTTCTCTGTCCATGTTGTTACAGTAGTATCTATCTGTTGTCATTACTTCACCTAGTCATGTTATCCCACTCATGTGTTCTCTGTCCATGTTGTTACAGTAGGATCCATCTGTTGTCATTACTTCACCTAGTCATGTTATCCCACTCATGTGTTCTCTGTCCATGTTGTTACAGTAGTATCCATCTGTTGTCATTACTTCACCTAGTCATGTTATCCCACTCATGTGTTCTCTGTCCATGTTGTTACAGTAGGATCCATCTGTTGTCATTACTTCACCTAGTCATGTTATCCCACTCATGTATGCAATTGTTGTAACTGTTAATCCTCAAGTCCTGCTTGACAACAGTATGAGGATCTATACCGAAACATTGCCTTTACAGTATTAAAGCAGTTATCCATAAATTGTGTGTACTTTGGATTCTAGTCTATGAAAACAACAGACATTCTTCCTTTAATGTTTTCACTGATTTGTTGTTAAAAAGGACAACTCAAATCTTAGCTTCACATACAGGATTACCGTATTCGACGTAATAAGCGCCCACGGCGATATTTGTTAATATATTGGCCAGTGAACAGTCCTAATTAGCACCCCTTCCGATTGATCAATGTACACAAGACTTATTTATTCGCGTATAATACGCACTCATGTGTTATGTGCACACCTAATTATGGGCAATTAAATTCTGGAAAAATATATCTGTCGTACATAAACATTTCAGGCTGTCAGCATAGACCACAAAATTTATCTTTTAACTCTGTTTGTTTTCCCACTAAAATAATATTCTAATAAGAGCCCCCTATTTCTAATTTTGAGAGCGCCCTGGGTGCCTATTACGTCGAATACGGTAGTCAGAGTACAGGGAAAGAGTGTTCACTGTTAACGAGATTCAGGTGCAAAAGATACTGTAAGTATTGTAAGAAGGTAAAGTAAAAGTGATCAAGTCCAGCATGCTTTGATATTTTAAACCCGGCAGGGATTCAAAATAAGTCCCCGGTACCTTACGCTGTGTTGGAAAATATGGGATCAGATCAATCTAATTAAAAGCATCTGATTTTTTCAACGATTGAACCAATACAAAATGTTGATGCTCAGGTATTGATTTTAAAAGATGGAACATATTGAAGCAGAGGTGGCTTGTTTTCGTGTGAGCAATAAATCAGTCAAATCAGCTGCTGTGTATAAAGAAATATTGCTGATTAAACAAAGGCTTCCTTCTTGCTGGCTGCACTATAATTTGGACTGTGTACCTTAGAATGTTACAGTATTTTGCTTGTTTAGCAGCTGAATCTCGTTAACAGTGAAAACACTTTCTCTGAACTCTGACTAATCCTTTATGTGGAGCTAAGATTTGAGTTATCCCTTCCAACAATGAATCAGTGGACACATTAAAGGAAGAATGTCCATTGTTTCATAGACTAGAAGCCAGCTGGGAAACATAGCCCTGTAGTGTTCAACATGTTCAAAGGGGGCGGTCAGGTAGCCTAGTGGTTAAAGCGTTCGTCATGCTGAAAACCCAGGTCCAATTCCCGACATGGGAACAATGTGTGAAGGTATAAAACTATACTCACTCACTCACTCATTATGTACAAGGATCATGATCGCTATGGGCATACTACTTTCCTTTTTGGGGGAAATTTAAACATTTCTATCCATGTCAATGCTCAGTGTCGGATCTGTCAATCTCATTAGAATCAGATCTTTGTTCATGCTACTGCTTACAAAGATCTGGAGATATCCCATTACAGGTCGCATTAGAACGACTTTTCACAAACTTGGACTACAAATGACACGAGTAAAAAGATGTCAACAATGGCCAGGCAGAAAGCAGCTTCCGCGAGCATTACAGCACTAGTTTCATGTGGCGACTCTCATTCTTCTTCTAGGCTAGGCTATGAAATATATTTACCCAAAAATTGAAACTTGAACAAAAGGATATTCTGGAATGACTATCAGATGGCCGAGATTGTATGGCAGTACTTCTCACGGGTAATTTAAAGTTTCTCCCATTGAAATGTTTATTTGTCTGTAGCAAGAGATAGACGAAGATTTTGACGGATTCTGTCGTAAATATCGTTTGGAATACCCCATATTAACCTGTTCAAGTTTGCATGATTAGAAAACACATTCCGATTGTCACTTTCCTGATCTGGTAGGCATCACTCTGATTGGTCAGATAAAAGATCATTCTCACTTGACCCGAAGTGTGATGTCCTCAGATCTTTGTTGAGAGGTGGCGAGAACTAAGATCTGTAATTTATAAGATTGCGGATCTGTTACCTCTACAAAGTGGCGTGTAGCAGTGTTCGAAATTAAGGGGATCCTTGGGTCCTTGAGGCTTGATGCTATAGTTTGAATTGGTACCCCTTAAACCTCATAACATTGGGGCTATGACACAGGGGTGAAACATAGCAAGGTCACGATATCATACGTACTATGATACATAGGCCACAATATATGTATCGCGATACACATATTTACATCGAATTGAGTGGAAACTGCAAGTTCATATGGAAACGCTAGCTGTAGACACATGTTTGTAGCAGCTATTTTTAGTTGTAAACTTGGAATGCTAATTACAACATATTTTGCAATATCTGACTGACAAAGTGAGTGAGTGAGTATAGTTTTACGCCGCTTTTAGCAATATTCCAGCAATATCATGGCGGGGGACACCAGAAATGGGCTTCACACATTGTACCCATGTCGGGAATCGAACCCAGGTCTTCGGCATGACGAGCGAACGCTTTAACCACTAGGCTACCCGACCGCCCCCTGACTGACAAAGATTGCTGGGGGTGTCTGGATGCACTGGTGCACCGATGTATCGTTCCACTCCTAGTATGACAAGGGCCCCCTGACTTCTATGCTTAATTTCAAAAACTGTTGAGTTCGTGCATTCACCAATCATAGTTGGATTGTTTCTGACAAGATGATAAAATATCAACATTACAAGAGACAGATAATCAGCCCACCTTTGAGGACATGTGTCGCTGGTGCAGAAGGGGTGCCGTCATCACTCAGCTCCGAGTCGAGAGTGCAGTCAGTTTCTCCTTCTCTCACACTCACATTCTCTATTGTAGAGATGCTGTTTACGTCAGAGTTGCTTTCACTTATAATAGATGAACGCTGGAACATACAAGGCATAATCATGTACTAGTCTGTGATTATACAAATGAGAACTTGTGTTTTGGCACTACTTTGAGTAGATATTATAGTTTACCTGGCCACAAGAAATATTTTACAAGACTCAGTCTTCTGACAAGCTGCAAAACACAGCTATGTCTATACTCTATAGCTGGTTTTGCAACGGCCTTCACAAGCTCAGCGAGAGTGCATTTCAAAGAATATTAATACCTCCTAATTGCAAAAATCATTTACCTACACCAAATGTTTTTTTCAAAAGCTATGTACTGATGAACCTGTTGTTGCACAACAGTCGAGTTTACTGCACGACTTGCAGTGTCTAAAACAGAAACAGCGGCTAAGACAGCAAACTTTTATCTGTATAAAATACACTTCAGTGGTAGAAACAAACATTTGTGTTCCACTAGTCGTTATAATAAGATAGCTAAACCATTAAAAATGGCAAATTTCTACTAGGCCTAGTCCTAATACCTATAGGGCACTTTGGCAAGAACTACAGGACTAGTGCCAATTTCTAATGCTGAACTTTCAATCAAAACATTTGGGTTTTTTGTTTGACACCGCACTCAGGAACATTCCAGCTATATGATGCTGATCTGCATGGGTTGCTGAAGATCAATTCTAACCAGGATCTTCACAAATCCAAAACATTTGGTAGATAAAGGGTTTGCATGGTATAGGAAATTGCGGGTACTATTACTACTAACAATTACGGCCAGTGCAAAGTGGTACAGGGTAACTGTTCAGTGCACGGATCAATGGCACAACATTTATCAACATCATTTGTTTTTTTATCAACTTTTTAACATACAAATCATCCTAGGAACATTTGCCTGTGCTTCCTTTGCAAGAGGATCGCCAAAAGTCCAGGTTTGAAAAGTAATCAGATCAACAATTAATCATTATGAATATCAGTGACTCATTCATGCAATCATTCATGAGACAACGAGACAAAAGACAATATGTTTGTAACAAGTTGTAAAAGCTGGTAAACATATCAGTTTGGATTCAGAGACATTGATCATGAACGATCACCCGATCTCGATCTTTACAGAGTTGTTTACAAATCGATATAAAATATTCTGAAGTTCAAAAATGACAACATAGTTTAATCAGTACCCGCGTCATTCTCATAGCTCCTGGAAATTATCATTTTAGGGTGACATCGGAGCTCTTCTCTCCACAGCGTGTTTGTTGACTTCAAATATGGCGCTGAAAAATGAACAAATAATTAGAGTAGCCTCCCTTGGATGTATTGCCACCCGCTAGAAGAATATGGAATCGGTTCGTAAGACAAGCAACATCATTGGTTGGTGTTAAGATATGACATTATACGACTCATATGCGGTTCTGTAGACGTATCTGAAACTATTAATCTCGATCTTTTAAAATTGGTCCATTTTTCGTTGAAGCAGAAAAACGCAATAAACAAACAATATGCACTTGCCCTTTTTATTTCCTTATTTGCCACGCCTGTTATCGTTACACATGTTACAATATTTAGTGAGAAATGTATTGAAATCATCTTTTGGCTGGTTTAGAAATATATTTATATATATAAAAGATAATAATTTCTCTTTCACACTGTTGTTTTGTTTCAACAATAATGTATGTACGTGAATGAAAACATGTGTTGGTCAGCACTCCAGTAGACATATTATCGATACAGTTTGCAGAACAACACACTATAGTTATATAATATACATATATTAATTATAGTATTATTTACCTCGACTAAGGTAGTAAAACATACATTTTACACAACGTAATCACATTGTAAAACATGTAACACTTATTAGCTACCACATCGATTTCTTTTAGTAAAACAATCATGGACAGATTCAGTAATCTTTAAAGTTAATGCATCTGGTAAATTTGAATTACTGTATTTATACTATATTCCTTATTATAGAACAAAAACAAGTTACATGGCTAAATTTTTTACAATGCAATAGATAATGAAGACAGTCTTCGTAGTCAAATCGACATTTACAAGTTGAAAGTTACATAGCTGTCATCATTAACGTCACTTTCCTGTTGACAATTCCCTAAACATTCCTAAAGAAAGCCCGTGCTGACGACTTCTTTGTCGATATATACAATTTAAACTTTATTTAATGTTAATATTCGCTGTATTGTTCTAGAATAAAACAACAACTACAAATATTCTATTGCTTGATAGATATTCATGTTTTCCTGTGAAAATAGTTTGATTCAGTATTTCGAATAATCTTGATCAAATGCACAGAAAGAAAATATCCAAATTACTTCGTTGAAGCGAGTCCCACAATAGAACGGTAACGCATATCGTGTATCAAAAAAGCTGAAGAAGATTCACTCAGCGGGTCAGATAGAAAACGCCTGGCGCCATGTAAACTTGAAGAACTGAATTTGTAAACTGAGGATTAAAACACCTATAGAAAAAAATTAAAACTCCCTGTTTGGGTTTGAGAGATTAGTCTTTGATACAAAAGCTGATAGGAGAAGATTAAGCCTTTAAACCGTATCTAAAGTCAATTAGAGCTCGCGACCCGCGTCGAAACATATATATTAGCATAAGGACAATGACCGTCTCGTGTAGTGCTATTGTCTTTATTTGTTTCGATGGCACCTTGGGAACGACTTTGACACCTGTGAATCTTGATATCGGGGTCACGGCAAAATTAACCCCCTTGAGTAATCGTTTATTGTCGTGATCGGTGTTTGCGGACAGGTAAATGGATGTTAGGATAGATTAAGTACATACAAAGTAGGCCCCCATGTAGACATCAAAGAAGCCGACACCACGACCGTGTTTTCCCATTTACTGAAGTTTATAATGAACCTCTTGGTGTAATTAAGATTTGGGTGTAAAAGATATATCCATTTTTTCTTTAATTTGAAACAATAACAATGAATAATATCATAAATATTGCTTCGCGAACAGTTATTTCCAAGATTAATAAAATAGGAATGTTTAGATAAAACATGCTGAAAAGTAAACAGGAATGCAGGGTTAGCAACTAACAGTTTTTGTCCACTAGTCCTTACAATGATAACATATAGCAAAACCCTTAAAGTTGGCCAATTTCTACTGGTCCTTAGAATACCTTTACTATTGGGCAGTTTGGTAAGGACTACAGGACTAGTGCCAGCTTCAAACGCTGGAATAAGAGAATGTTCGTAAAAAGGGCGGTCGGGTAGCCTAGTGGTTAAAGCGTTCGCTCGTCACGCCGAAGACCGGGTTCGATTCCCGACATGGGTACAATGTGTGAAGCCCATTTCTGGTGTCCCCCGCCGTGATATTGCTGGAATATTGCTAAAAGCGGCGTAAAACTATACACACTCACTCGTAAAAAAAATTCGAAAAACTTGCTACAAGAATGAGACATGTTATTAAAAAAAACAATAGTGTAACACCTTGTTCGGAAAGAAGACCCTACCATACCCAAATGTATGCTGTTTTTTCATACATTTATGAATTTTCAGGGTTATTACCGTGTTCAATTCAGTCATTTGCAGTTTGACTAACCATGAATATCAACTTTATTATTTTCATATTTTGCCATATTCTGATGTCAATCAATTCACAAAACTTCATGAACTTTTCTACAAATTAACAACAACAAAAATACCTGCTAAAAACATAACGTTTCGAGAATTGGAAGTGAAAGAATAACAGACAGTCGACCTATCAATTAAGATAGATCACTGTTTCTGTGCAAACAATCTTTTGTACAAAAAATGTTCTATCTGCCCGATTGTTCATTTTCACTTGTTCATTTATTGCACTGTTTGACTTGTGCGGTGTCTTTCAAACGTTTCGAGTAGTTTGTCTTTTAATCTGGGAGTTGTGACTGTCACGCATTTAGTCCTGTGACAACTTGTACCAGAGCGTCTGAGAGCAATAAGTGAAACAAGGAGCAGTCTTCATAGCTCTCCATTTGTGTTTCTTTACACCACAAAAGCAAATTAACCCGCCGTGAATATACGCAGCCAGTTTAAGGCAATTATTGCAATAATGTGTGTCGCCATACACTATTGTGATTACACTGTACTATTGTAAGGTTGGGTGTGATTCTAGCGGGCGCAGAACATTGTCGGACATTATTGCAACAAAAAAGTTATTATCAATGAAACGTTTTATGTCTTTTAACTTTATTCCCATCGTGTACACTATACAACAGCATCTGACAAAATATATACTTAATATTCTATTCACATACTTGTTACTTATATATGAAACTTGTTATGTGACAGCATCTTGTATCTTTAGAGAGATAAGTGATCATAAGCCATGCTTCTACTCTCTCTTTGTGCGACAGTGCTATTTTATTGTATATTGTAATAAATCAACACCAGCACTGCATAGCTCAATTCCTTGAGATTGGTTTAAATGAAAGTAAATATATTTTTTGCATAGCATTTTAACTACGGATTGACAACGAGGAAGAATTCGTCGCTTGTGCGTATTCTTCGAAATATACACATGTTCAAATGACACGGTATGAGAATCATAGTCGCGCTGAACAATGATTTAAAATTTGGAGAAAAAGTCGAAAAATCAGTCCTGAAATTCTTTGAAACACGTCATATGATTCATAGGTAGCATTTGTTAATTTAACTCTATAAAGTATTGATATATAACATACTGTTCTTTATCAATGACGCATAAGTATTCTACAAAAACTGTTATTCGTACAAATGATTATGTGACATCATTTGATGACCATTGCTGAAGTTATATATTATTTTTCAGTGAAAATAAATTGTCTAAAATTGACCTGTTTGACCCTAACAATGAGTGGACTTAGAGGTAAAAACAAAAATTGTCACTTTCCACTAATCCGCACGTATATCCCGTGGTTGTAACATATTGAACAATCATCCATGACGAAATCCTCGCGTTATGATTGGCTAACCTACAACCGTGACCTGTCAGTGGGGTCACCGTCACGTGCTTGCACGTGAGGTGCACGAGCGGCATGTTCAAGGGGTGGGTGTGGCCTAATAGCAACCAGCGGGAGAAGCCAGGTAGACGCATTGTTCTCCACTGGCATATAGGGCTCAGGGTCCAGGTTAGGGGAATCAAAGGCAAGTGCCCTCAGCTTGAGCAGCTAATGTCAGCCTGTCTCAGTGCATAATAACCAACCATCCACCATGCAGACTCAACAACCTCTTGAGAACCGCACGAACATGCAGCATCTTCAGACTACGGGTAAACTAGACATGGCAGACTACGGTGTCGAAGTGAACATGCCGGTGTACTTCGGCGGTGAACACATGGATCAGTTTCGCGGGATACATTTTCCCCAGCAAGTTGGAAAGGCGCTGGATTTCAAACAAATTGGATATTATACATCGGCTGACTTGTACAACGTTGGCGGTAGCAACCCTACCTCCATCGGCTCCAACCTCATCATCGACGAGGAATCTAGGGACTCTAAGCCTGATATCACGGCTCTTCCAAGTGAAGATAGCGACGATCTCCTCGCTAGCACCAACAGTCCAAGAGAAAGCACTAGCGAGGCAGACGCCGAAAACTCCCCACCTGCGGCAGACGACACCACGCCTGCACCAAAGAATTCCAGAAAGCGCAAGCGACCAATTCCTAAAGGTAAACAACATGTAATTCTTACAAATATTATTTGATTGTTGTGTTACCCCACACTCAACAATATTCCAGCTGTACCAGACAAACCAGTGGTTGATATTGTGAGCAACGTCGGTACAATAATACTCTGAATGAGTGAATGTGTGCAAACACACTACTATAATATCATGCGACAAGCACATTGCTCAAGTGCAAGTCGATTAGACGCTCGACGGGTAACGATAGTCCCATCCATTGGAAATTATACAAATATCTTTAAAGTAAAATAACTTAAATCAACCAATACATTTGCCATTATTAAAATGTAAGCAGGAATTGTTTTAATCATTCTATAATGGATTACTACTGTCAATTTTTTTATTTTTTTTAAAAAAGGTTTGGATGTTAAAAAAATATCCATTGGACATTTGTTTGATCATGTTTTGACGTGTCGCTTTTTTCTTCCAGGCAAGCCGCCCTACAGTTACATCGCTTTGATCAGCATGGCCATCGCTAACTCGGACGATCGGCGTCTGACGCTGCACGAGATCTACGGCTTCATCGAGGAGCGCTTCCCCTACTACCGCGACCACACCAACACCAAGGGCTGGAAGGGGTCCATCCGACACAACCTCGCCCTCAACGACTGCTTCATGAAGCTGCCGCGACAGCCCGGACAGAAGGGGCATCAGTGGGCTATCGACCCCAACTACGAGGACATGTTCGACCACGGCAGCTTCCTGCGACGTCGGTACCGCTACAAAGATGGAGTCCGACGTAAAGGCAGAAAACAGGTGAGATACGTCATATTATTATATAAGAGTATAAGTAGGCCTTGTGGGTATTGTACCCATGTGGTAATCAAACCTGGGTCTTCAGCGTGACAAACACTGGACTAACATTATATCGAGGCCTACCATTTTGATATATTAAACCAAATGTTATTACTACACGTTGTTAATATTTATGTATAATTGTAAGACCCATCCCAAATCTATCCCTTTTTGTAGTATTTTTAGAATTATGTTATTTTCCTATTGCTAAGTGAAATGTTCTTGACTTTTATTTTATGGTGGCGACGACAGTAAGAGAGTAAACTATTTGATGTTTTCATCACTATTTCAACCTTAAAACAGTTTTCATTGTCAATACATGTCATCACGTTTTCAGGACCTGGCCCCCAACGCTGTTGTCATGCCACCAGCGACACCATACGGCTTTGTTGACCCAACCCAATGTGTGAACGCTAGCACCCCCAACTGGAGCGTTCCCCGAGGTCACATGACCACCACGCCACCCTCGTCAACAACATCTACACCATCGCCTCTGTCTAACACAGGCGCACCCTCCCACGAGTCTGTATCCGGTGCGATATGGAACCCCTATCTTGCCGCCAGCCGTCAACAGTCCTCACCCCCGGAGACACTGTACGAAGCCAAATCTCCCGATCTGTCCTCCCCCTACCCAGCGTCGTGCTCAATATCCAGCTGCACCCCCTCCCCCGAGCCTTCACAGTGCCAAGCATCCTCAAGTCCATCGTCCTCACCACCCGAGGCTCACCAAACTCTACCCTTCGGCTACCAGACCCAGGCCATGGGAGTCCCCATGTGGAACAACCCTGCAGCCTACTCAGCGGTGGGACAGACGCCGCCTGGAATCGGCAACTACATGGACGCCTACAACATGAACGCCTACAGCATGCTGAATGGCGCTTACCCCTACATGCCTTACATGGTCCCCGGTGCTAACCCAAAACCCCTTTACTCCCAGCGATCTCACAGTGCTACAGACTCAACCAGTCAGGAGGCTTGGCCGTCATCCTCATAGTGCTAAACATTACATTGTTGTACAAAATAACGTATGCTTCTTCTGTATATGTGGTTAACATACGTGTTCTACGTGAAGTGTGCACTGTCCGCGTCAAGGTGTTCTTGTGATGTGTGTTCTGTCTATGTGTGAATCGTAATGGCTTCATGATGACGTATCGGTCAGAACTTGTTAATGTATTTTTTTTTAATCGATGGTTTTTTTTTAAGTTTGCTATTCGGACTCGGCGATTCGGGTACCACAAGCCACTATCTCTTTCTATGGCCAGTATTTATTATAATGTGTGCTTGGTGATAGATCCCAAGAAATTGTCTGGAATAATCCCGCTCTCATGGGGTAATGTTGGTAAATGTTATCCTTTACCATCTTAAACTAATATTGGAGCTGCTTCCCAAGACTAGACAAGAGAGGAGTGATTTGCTTTTAAGCATTTATTGTATTTTAATACATTATTTTAAAACCCGAATGATAACGTACGGACCGACATTGTTGTATATAAGTTGCCTATTATTAAAATAACATAATTTGAAACTTTGTATTTTCTTATTTTTTACTTGCAAACGTTAGCAAGGCCAGTATCCTGTTGTACAAAACAACCTGATCGCTAAGACTGCCCTAAGTCTATGTTAAGGTATCCATCACCTCATCCCCAAGGTCGATTTGTACGAATGAACCCTGGTCTTGCATTTATTTAACACATGGCCTAAATCTTGACTGAAACACCATCAACCTCATCAGATTACATGACACACATAGCTTAATATTGTTATTTCATGGTGCATTTGTACAAAGTGACCTTGGCATTGCAATGATCGTAACTCCCATACTCCCATATATAGCAAAGAATTCATAGCGCTGAGATCGCCTGTACATCAAGGCTCAGATCCGTTTTCCAAGATAAGGTTGATAAAAATTCATTATTTACAACCTCATATTTAATTTAGCGTTTTCGGCATTGGGAAGACAGTTTATTTTTTTATTGAGTGGTTGTAGCTACGTCAAACTTTACGACAAATACTGATACAAACTCAAAGTTTATTTTATTTAACACCCAAACGCGGCGATAACTGCAGGCCATACGTCGGACCCAGAGGCCGACCAGATCATAACAGTATGCTCTGATGAAAAAAAAGAAGCCAACCAGCTGATTTGACGGGCGCTTCACTGCATATCAGTTGATACATGACAACAGATCCTGTATAGCTTTTAATAATTTGATTACGTGATATGAATATTGAAACATAATGTTCATTTTAATGACGTGTCCAATGATTATGCTGTTTGCCCCCCTGTTCACATGTAAAAGACGTGAAATGATATAAAAGTTACTCACCGTTTTTGTTCGTTTGTTGTTGCAACATTCCATCTATATGGCGGCGGTCTGTAAATACTTGAGTCTGGACCAGACAATCCAGTGATTGACATGTGGATCGATTGGGATGCTGTGACATGCATCAATCAACCAAAACAGCGAACCTGACCACCCGATCCCGTTAGTCGCCTCTTACGGCAACCACGGGCTGCTGTTAAGCAATTAATCAGCAGCAGGATAGGAAAAGGTGTTGGTCGCTTGCTTGATGTTTGATTTATGTTTAACGTGACTCTCAGCAACATTCCAGCGATATGTTGAAGCGAAACGAAGAAATTCAGTTACAAATGTCCAAGTGTGTGTTCAGTGACAGTTTCTAAAATGCCGCTAAATACGTAGTTTCAAACAGTGTCTCGACCCACGAGCAATCCTCGTTTTAATGACAAGCGCCAGGCAGGGAAACAACAAGTACAACCCTTTAACGTGTTTTGGTCTGAAGCAGGCGGAGGCGATCGCCACTTCAACGGGTAATATGGTATGCCATACATGAAGACGAGAATGTAATCTTTAGATTTGTATTAATGAACTTTAAAATAAAGTCGCCCTTCTTCAAAGAATGTTTGACGATACATGAGCCCTTGTTTCTTCTAGTTTGACTGAAAATCTGGCTTCATTTCTGCGTTCTGGAAGGAAATGTCTCAAGAATGTTACACATATTCCCAATCTATTATCACAGAGTGAGTGAGTGAGCTTAAGGCCGCTTTGGGTATTTTCAGTTATCTCACGACGTGAGCTTGATGTGGGAGGAAAGCCCGAAGCGATGCAGGTCTTATACGTTCACTAGGCGTTCAACAAAGCCAGGCCGAACATGGATTCGAACCAACATGCATAGGTTTCTGGCACGCCTAAGGGCACAGGCACAGCACATTCTAGCGGAGTCTTTAGTCGAAAGCTAGGAAGGTCTTGGATCGGTGTTGTATGTCGAAAGCTAGGAAAGTCTTGGGTCGGTGTTGTGTGTCGAAACCTAGGAAGGTCTTGGGTCGGTGTTGTGTGTCGAAAGCTAGAAAGGTCTTGGGTCGGTGTTGTGTGTCCAAAGCTAGAAAGGTCTTGGGTCGGTGTTGTGTGTCGAAAGCTAAGAAAGTCTTGGATCGGTGTTGTATGTCGAAACCTAGGAAGGTCTTGGGTCGGTGTTATGTGTCACAAAGCTATTCACACAATCGGTTTCAGAGTTGCGCCCCTTCCCTCCTTGCACCATAATACACATTAATACATTCGGATGTTTTATAGTTATTTGGGAATACTAAGTGTAAACGTGTCACACTACTCTAAATATATCATATTTCAACAAAGTTTCACGATTACTCAACAAAAATTGACAAATAAAAAAATCCCTCCTTTAAAAAATCTGCATTTGCATTTTTGCTTTCGGCTTCCTCAATGCTGAGCATCCCTCAAGTCCAGCACACGTCAGCACCTGTGGAAGCTACCTGACTATCGCTGTATTGCTGTTTAGACTTACATAAAGACCAAACGTCAGCCAAACCCGAGAAGCTGACGGTTTCTCATCAAACACGAGGCAGCGCGCCGATTTCGATTTTCTATTAGTTATTGACCCAAAGGCAGCCTAAATGCAAAACTCCATGCACAGAGCTTACATATCCTCAATGCACCTGGTTGAACGCGAAATGACACCGTGGTTTCATGGCATTTCAGAAAAACAAATAAATAATTTTTCCCAATCACTGTTATAGCGAGATGAAGGGGAATATAGCTTGTGTGGTATTGAATAATCCACGACAGCCCAACAGGGGGTAATTGCACTATCACATAACGACATCAGTATCATGCATGTCACATGTCGTTATAATGTAGTTTGAAGGGCTTTTAACATAAGGCAGAAAATAATCAATAATGGAGCCCGTGGTCACAACAACTATTATTTAATTGTCGATGTTCTGTGCTCCTGCAGTAGTGGATTGGTACATATCCTATGTAGTGATAAATGTTGGTTGTTTTACGCCGCACTCAGCAATATTCCAGCTATATGACGGCGGTATGTCAATAATCGCGTCTTGAACAGACAATCCAGTGATTGATATCATGAGCATCGATCCACGCAATTGGGATCGATTACATGCTTTAACCAAGTCAGCGAGCCTGACCACCAGATCCCGAGTGATTAATGAGTTGGTTGTCGTACATGGTCAAATATATATACGCCTCGATGGGAATGCTGGGTTAAGCAAAACATCGTTAAATGGGATTCGAAAATCCCGGAACTCGCCTTGACTTTTCACTGCGCATGAACACAGTTCCTGACATCCATCATAATCCGACTTTGAACAACGCTGCACTCGGCATGCATGTAAACAAGAATATTGCATCTCGCCAGGGCTCACTAAATACAATGTTTATTCCTAATGCCGGATATTTACCATCCCCAAACACACTCTAACCTCTATATATGATAATGCGATAGTATTGGTGATCAAGCTTGAAACTCAATGTAAGAACTACAACGAGACGTCCTCACAATTATAATCAAGAAGTCTATTTTTTCACTAGCTACAGTATACTTTTTTCTGGTTTTCACCGCAGTTTTTTAAAGGTTTTTCAAATATCCATTTTGAAGTTATGTTTGTTTGTTGTTTAACGCCGCACTAAACAATATTCAAGCATTACGACAGCGGCCTGTAAATGTCGAGCTTGGACCAGACAAACCACTGATTGATATCACGAAGAACTATCCATGTTCGGTGACACACAATCAACCAAGGCATTGAGGCTGAACACCCGATTCATGCTTGGAGCCAAATCTAACTCGGAATCCCTGCGGAGAGAATGCAGTTTACAGTAGTTTTGTCAATGTGCGACAATGTAGGTCGACAGTTTGAATGGCGAGTAACTGAATGAGATAAAACAACAGCTAAATAGAATAGACACAGGCAACCCTCCTTTCTTTTCTTTAACTCATGACCATAAAATATTAGTCGGGTTATCCAAAGTTCGAGGTAGGCGAGGTGCCGATATGAGACCATAGTGCCCATTAGTGTCTGTTGGAACAATCGTCATAAAGGATGTACAAATGTATCGAGATCGTGAAGTTCAACATAGCGAAGTAGAAATAGTAGTGTAGAAATATACGTTGACGCGTACTGAAGGGCACCGAGGGCACGGCCTTTGCGATAACTGCCGCTATTCCCTGTGCAGAGTTACCCCCCTTCGGCGTGCCAGGAACCCCTCACAGCGATATGCCATACTATGGCTGCCACCAGCCAAAGCTCCCCACTGTGATAAATGGCTACAAACATGCTTGGAGTTGAACTCTCAACTGCCTGACCGTTGTCAGTGTTCGAAATACCTGCCTGCCCGACCGTCCGAGACGGGTTGATTTCAACTCGGGCTGTCAGATTTTCAAATCCCCCTGCCCGACGGTCGGGTTATATTTCATATGTGACAATATTCTAAATATTTCCCGATGATAAGCATTAATTCACATGTTAAGATGAATGATAAAATGTAACCAAAAAGAAACCCCGTTAGCTTATCCTGAGAAACATATGATTATAGTGGGCAGGCAGGTTTTGGTCAGGGCTGGCAAGTATTTCAGCTAGCCAGTCCAGTCCAGAGTTTCATACCCTGCCGTTGTGTTTTAAACATGTGATGACTGCCGTGACGCCAAATAGTCTTACCCCTGCTAAAGTATTTTCTTTGGTTGTCAATTTCGGTTTCATTACAACTATCATGTAATTGATAGAGTAAGAATGTAAGAGAGAAGTTGGTTGATTTTCCGATCTCGAACCAATCCGATCAAATAAACAAGGTAAATTCATCAGTCGTAAACCTTTTCCAAATTAACTTTGATGGCATTCCCAAAGACATAACAAAAGTACAATCTCATTAAAATCAGATCTAAGTTCTCACTAACCCTAAACAAAGAACTGAGGACATCTCATTACGGGTCACGTCAGAACGAACTTTCGAGAACTTTGACCGACCAATGGAATTACTGACAAGAAGTCGACATCAGCCAATTAGGAAGCAGCTTTCTCTAGGTTTATGGCACTCGTTTCAACCTGGCGACTTCCATTTCAGACCACGCTCGAAAAATATGTTGACACAGTTCTCGATTAAAATTTTGAAACCTGAACAAACGAACATTCCAGAATGTTTAATATATGGTTGCGATTTGATGGCAGTGCTTCCCACGTACTGTGCCACGCCTCCTCCGTTCAAATGTTTATCCCACGGAAGCGAGAGACGGAAGCGATGGATTTTTGACGGAATCAGTCGTACGCGCCGTACTGTCGTTCGGAATACCCCGTATTAACGTTTTCGAGGTTGCATGATTTGAATACACATTCCGACTGTCACTTTCATGATCTGGTTAGCGACGCTTTGATTGGTAGGATGAATGGACGTTCTGACGTGACCCGTAATGGGATGTCCTCAGATCTTTGTTTAGCGATAGCGAGAACTAAAATCTGATTTTAATGATATTGACAAAAGTATAAACGTTCCTACATATGGGTTAGAGGGCAACTTTCAGGATTCTTGTAATGGCCGCGCCCACACTGGTGGCAGCGATGTTACCGAGAGTGTAACGAAGGTGTCACGCGCTGGGAAGGAGCTTGTGCCAGGAACCTCTGATTATGTTTCCAGGTATGTCAGCACTATACCTGTGCTCGCGAGTTCCACCAAAACGGTAAATGTCTAAGACTTGCATCACTTGGGCCTTTCCTACCACACCAAGCTGACATGCCGTGGTATAACTGAAATACTGTTCGAAGCGGTGGTGAACCCAACTCACTCCCTAATTCAAGAAACATATATAACATCTGTGCATATATATGCCATACATTTCTTCACAATGGTAATGTACGAAAGCTCCCAGCTGCCATGGTTAAAACATAATATATCGTCCCCTCACCAGATCATAGCGTCTCCCGCGAGGCAACGCGATAGTATAGCATGGGAACGCTTTATTTATTGCGAATGAATGCGACAGTAAACGACGGAACACTATAGAAATATGTCTTATCATGCATGGCCCATATGGACTTCCGGATTATTGTTAAAAAAATAGGTCTTTTTTTTATATATCGATACAGAAATTGTTTTAGAAGAGTTAAGCATTTTTAACGGGACAGTGAACACAACCATCAGTTTCTGGTTCTGGCAGCGGATAGTTGGATAGTATTCATTACATATTCGAACAAAAGCATCACACTTGAGCACCAATAGAGTAAATATATCGAGTAACGGTTGTCAGTAATGGTTGTACTCTTCACAATCTCGGAGGCAAGGAATCACCGCATGTCGTGTAGAGAAGACGCTCAATAATTCAGCAGTCTCCAACACTGTCGATAAATGAGGATTTAACGAGGGTACGACAACATTCTCCACATTGTGAACGAACACGATGTCTATTATACATTCACGGGATTACGCGTTGACCGGAAATACAACTGTGACGTCACATGGGATTGTTAGTGGGTTTACATGACGTCACGCCATTGTTCCCGAGGACGAACTCACGAACTGATCGACACTGAACCAAACACGCTATCAATTCTAGAACGGCGACAGGCACGCAATGTGTCGTCTGCTGCGCGTGGCAGTAGGCAATGACTTCTAATTCGTCTCGATTGGGATAAACACTTTCTTGGACATGACTACAGATTTGTTTGAGGTAGTCAAACGAAACAGCATTCGGCAGGTGAGATTCTGTGAGCTAGGCAAATGTCTTCATATTTCTTCACAATCACTAGCCTTCATGTTTTGGGAAGTACTCGTTTGGACGGGATTTGGAAATATTTACTTTAACGTGAATCGCAATCAATAAGCAAGAAACGATTAATGTACATTGGTCATAATATACAATGATTTATCTCACACATTCTCCAGATTTTCTCCGAAGCAATAATTCACGTCTGTGTTTCTGCACAGTGCTGTTCTTGAAATTACCATATATTTTCATTGACACGCTTTGTCCGGAACAACGAACTACCTTTTAGTACACGACTGTGAAATTATTACATATTTGGCCCAATTGCGTTGCCAGTGATAGCCTTTTCCGAGAAACTAGAGTGAACGTGACTGTCTAGGTTTGAAAAGGATATTCACAGCTATGCTATTCCGTCCTCGCTACAATGCCAGGCGTCCACTGCACATAGTGCCACTACAATCTTAAAACAATATAATATAGAATAGTATTAGGATTTTCTTGTCAAATATAATCTCATCGAGTCGCCTAATATTTTCGCAGCCATGAGTGAACTCGGATATGTTATTTCAGGCAAGAAGACAAATGTTTCATTGTTTAAATGTATTTTGTTACGTTGTAATCTGAGATATCCTAGTCTGAAAACAGTCGCAGTTCCGGCAAGGAAAAAATATTGATTTATTTATTTTCAGATAGGTATAGCATATTTTTATCTCTAAATGCAACATACATATTTTTTTTAACAAATGGGGAATTCTTGAAGACTTGTTCTATGTTTGTCGTGGGGGCAGGGGGTTGGGAATGCTGAAAACCGCTTGGCTGCCTGGTCCGGAATAGGTCCATAACATGGTGGTTTAATTTAGCCGACTAGCGTTGGAGTTGGTGTTTACGAAACTGATAGTGTGACACCGTACCCAGATGCTGCGGTTCGTTGCTCATAATATCAATAACTTGTCTGTTTGGTGAAGACTCGATAATTTACGGGCAGTCGTGGGCTGGGGTTTATAAACGTAATAAATACACTGAGGGTCAAAAGAAACTACTTCTCAGTTGATGTTAGCATATGGTTGACTTTCAGTGTAAACTATCGTAAGTAAGCGATATCATATTAAAACAGGAACTGGACTGGCGAGTGATAACATTTAAAGAAAACGTCTACATGGTTTTACTTTTCTAGATATAATATGACTTTAAAAAATAAATTAGAGTGAGTGAGTGAGTATGGTTTTACGCCGCTTTTTAGCAATATTCCAGCAATAACACGGCGGGGGACACCAGAAATGGGCTTCACACATTGTACCCATGTCGGGAATCGAACCCGGGTCTTCGGCGTGACGAGCGAACGCTTTAACCACTAGGCTACCCGACCGCCCCAAATAAATTAGAAAGAAAGTTTTTCTGCTGATGGTCACCTAGACTTCTGGTCTTTGAAAATCAATATATTTGGGGGTTTTCGGCACACATTAACAACGTTTAAAAATGGTAGGAGTCATATGGTTGGTTGCAAGTGCATTTCTTGCCCCAGTCTTGCCCCAATCTATTCTAACACAAAATTGCGCAGCCACAAATTACTTTGTATAAACTATTTTAGGAATGAGTGATGGGTAAACAAGCCCTATCAATTTTCAATTACATAAAAAAAAAACAAGCTTGGTATACAAATGTACGTTCTTCTGAAACAGTTAATGTTTAATAAAATCCTAGAAAAATAGACTGCCTGAAGTGTTCCAAAATAATTGTTTGGTGGGACGTTTTGTAACAAATATGGAAGAAAAGAATGTCAGTCGTGAAACAATGAGTGAACAAAAGTGTTATTTTTTTGAATCAGTCAAGACTGTACCTAGTTGTTTACAAAGGACATGGGTTCGGGTATAAATAAGCCGACAAAACTTACAGTGAGAGACTCGACGCTTTAGTTTTTCACTGTAGCCCTGTGGTATAAATAGATCATCGATACGCACAGGAAGGTTTACTAGCTGGAATCATTATTCATCTTTTTCAAAATCCGAATTCCACCTAACCTTGAACGGGTTCGTAACATCAATAGTTCAATGTTGTGGCATCTGTATATACGATCGAAACATGACGAATGGTATTAGGTGAAGTGAGGTGAGGTGAAATGGGGTTTTACTTCGCGTCCAAGATTATTGCACTTATATAGCGACGTGCGTGCACGTGTGTGTGTGTGTGGCTGCTTGTACTCGTCAGGACTGATGCCGATTTATAGTGCTAGCCCACTGAGATAACATGCCGCAGTTTAACATGAATACCCCACTCAGACACAGAAAACTAACTCCGAGCCGACCAGTCCTTGTTTTTAGTCCTAAATGCCAATGTCACGGCGGGGGACACCAAAAATGGGCTTCACACATTGTACCCATGTGTGGAATCGAACCCGGATCTTCGGCGTGAAGAGCGAACGCTTTAACCACTAGGCTACCCGACCGCCCCCGGAGGCGGTTAAATGGTGTTAGATGTAAAGTGGTATACCCACTGCTTGCAAGGAACAACAGACACATGGGCTCTGTGACTGGGACTTGAGTCAACGGTTTGCTGTCGCCTTTTATACGAATGAATATTTAGTTTGACTTAAGCCACTTGACAATGAATTCCAGATAGTGAGTGAGTTGGGTTTAACGCCGCATGAACAGTATTCCAGTTATATCACGACGTGTCTGCTTAATGTTGGGGGAAAGCCCTATGTGATACAAGTCTGAGGCGTTTACAACTTTGGTGAAACCAACGAGCACGGTGCTTACCAACCTGGAAACATAATCGATGTGAACCCCCAATAATAGGTTCCTGGCGTGCCCAAGGTACTTAACTCTGCACAGTGAATTGCAACGCCTTAGACAACAGGGCCAGCCGTACCCCCGAATTCCAAACAAGATGGCAACAGTGTACGCCGGTTGTTCTTTTAAAAAGCGATCGCTCCTCACACAGAAGGTCCGGGTTCGATTCCCTACGTGTTTACAATGTGTTAATCCCATTTCTCGAGGCCCAGATAATGCTAAAACTTGCTACAAACGGCGCAAAACAAAAGTCCCTCACTACTGACTTCCTTGCGTCTCAGTGCATTGCCCCTTGAAGCTCAGCGAGCCTGATCAAAAGGATGTGACACTAAATATATCCACCCAATCAAAGTCATGATCAAATTAGTGATAAGAGAGATTGAGATGGTCACTTCCAAAACAAAGCTTTAGATTTTTATGTTTCTCACAGGTGAAGCTGGTTCTAGAGGCCGGATATGACGTCAACGCCCGGAACGAGCGCATGGAGACGCCTCTCATGGCGAGTGTAATGCACGTGCACGACCCAGACTGCAGATTTGGCGTCATTAAGCTCCTTCTGGCGTCCGGCGCCGACATCAATCTCCAAAACGGCCGTGGCCAGACGGTTATCATGTACGGTTGTATTCTGAACCAACTTGATACCGTCATGCAGCTTCTTCAGTTCGTAAGTAATGACGTCATTTATATATTACGCAATAACGAAAGACCACGCAAGGGTGGATCAAGCATTTTCAAAAGGGAGAGGCCCGGATCTGGCTGACTTTTGTACCTTATCTGTATTTAATTGTTTGATTGGCTGAACATTGATGTTTAAAGGTTCCACCAGGTGCGCGTTTATAAGGGTTAGGATGTGCGTTTGCTGTTCTATCGATAAAGCCTAAAATTCTGTTCTGTTAATCGAAATTATCTGTACCGTGTACGAATATGAGGGGAATATAAGCACATACTCACTCTGTAATTATATTTCATGTGGTTCCGATTTCGTAAAATTGGAGAAAACCTAGAAATAACTGGTTTTAGGGATTTTGCAAGAGAAAACTGGTTCCAGGCCATTATTGTTATTTTTATAGGACATCCTTCCATATTATTACCAAGTTCAAACTATATCTTTCGCTACATAAATGAGTAAGTTCTCGCTTTCAATGTGTCACGTAATACATAACCATATATTTCTAATACACACACACACACACACACACACACACACACACACACACACACACACACACACACACATATAGATATAGATATATAGATATATGTCATTATGTCGTTCAGATATATAGAGGATATTTCATGTGTCGAGTGATTTACCCCACTCATGAAGATATCTCCTTCCCCCCGTCACGGGATGCGAGAAACATGATATTTCACGAGGCAGATGAACATCCTATTTATATATATATACTTTTTGTGTAGTTGTCTACCGGAATATTAAATTACAGTGATCCCTCGCTACAACGCTACTTTCGGGGTCCAAATAATTGATGAAGAATTGATCGAGTATTAATCTTCGCTTTCAAAAATACATCGTATCCCTTCAGGTGAAAAAGCAGGTAGATCTATAACAAACTTGGTCAATAAAAGTATGAAATTTGATATAAAACATCACCAGACATGATGACTTACCATTTAAAATGTATTTCCTGCTCTCAAAGGCCATTTTTGTATGCAGAGATTAAGATTACTGTGTGTATTTTCTTGTAAACTAAGCCGGAAGTAGCAATCAGCTGTGCACACGTTTCCTCCCAATCTACCGGTGATTCAATTAAAACGTACCCAGTGATACCACTTTAAAGAAATCTGATGCAATATTCGGAAGAAATTGTATCTGATATTATTTTATAAGGGATAATATATTCCAACATCGTGTTATTTTAGTTGCAGCTTCTACCATATATACTTAAAATAATAAGAACCACAAGCGTAGCACTTTGGTACAGATTGTATGTAGGATATTTTTTGACGTATGGAACGATTTTGACCAGTCACCGTAGGTTAGCTTAACCATAAGAACAAGATGATGGTGAGGGGTTGCAAATGGCAGAGTATGGTAGTAAACTGATTTAGGAGTAATCTTCAAATGATGGGATGGCTTTTAAGTATTTATAATAATTTCCATTTGAAATCCAATCCCCATCTGGTAAGATCTTTCAAGGTAGTTTCTACCTGGGCTCGTACCCAATCTACTGCAGTGACCCACTTTGTGGGTCCTTTAATTACACACGGTGCGATGAACCGAAGTTACAAGTAGGTGTTTGACATTCTGGATCAAGACATTATGATGACTAGTAGTTGCATGTTTATGATATGCACAGGTAAAGACATTTTTCAATAATTTATTTCCCGACCCGGTTTGGAAGGCTTATGCTAGACCCGGTTTCGATTCCCGACATGGGTACAATATGTGAAGCCCATGTCTGGTGTCCCCCGCCGTGATATTGCTGGAATATTGCTAAAAGCGGCGTAAAACCATACTCACTCACCCGTTCTCCATGTACCAAGAAATGTGCGGTTGAATTTCTGTACAGACAAGTACATTCACAGTTTTATATGCCTACGTTTCACAGCCATATAGAAATAGGTATTGTCAGTACATCAAAATACCTGTGAACATCCGGGTTAGAGTTGGTCTTCAGCAACTGCTTGCCGTAAGAAGCGACTAACCATCTTCCCGAGGCAAGGGAGTAAACAGTTTATAAAAGTCCAGTTTCCACCCTTTTTGCCGAACTAGGCTTGAATTATGAAGTTATATTTTGGCTGGACTAACGAGTCTATGCATAGTCCAATCAAAATCGCGCAACGACATCAACATCAGGTTCGTAAACCGCGTGCGGATTTCGCTCGATTGTAGGATTTGCAACGTAAATCAACATCAACGGCGTCAACAGGTATTTCCAAATAGTTTCATGTTTTTAATCAAGGTTCTTGAGTGATTTGATGCACTTCGCGAAGTAAGACCCGTTTTATTACAATACAGATTTTGATTATCCATCAGATCGTCTTGACTTGGCGCCGCCATTTTGTTTGAAGCAAATACAAGTGATATGACAAGTGGAATCTGATTGGTCAGTAGGAGGGACACAGATGGGACATACCTCATAAAAGCCACTGGCTGCGCTACAATCGAGCCCAGAAATTCCAGCCAAGTTGATTTTTACAGTCAGTTAACTCCTTTGCCGCGGGAAGATGCCGACTAACGGGATCGGGTGGTCGGGCTCGCTGACTTGTTTGATGTATGTCATCGTATCCCTGTTGCGCAGAACGATGCTGATGTAGTCAATCATATTTGTTCCACACTCGATTGTTTACAGACCGTCGTCAAATAGTTGGAATATTGTCGAGTGCAGCGATACACAACATACAAACAAATACACCAAAAACGTTAAGTAAACAGTCTAAAAGGATACTGGAATTTCTGGATCTGTTGAGAAGGCAGAACATACCTTTAGATGCGCTCTGTTAAGGGTTTTATGTCCGACTTAAAATGTCCAAGCTTAAGATCGTATAATTACCTATAATTTTGAGTTTAGTTCCTCCAAAGTGGAATGATAATTAACTGCTCTTAGATGGACCGCTTCTCAAAATAAGTTTAGTTTTATTGTTAGTTTTATTCAGGTTCTCATCTAATTTCCAGGAATTGTATTCAATACTAAATAAATCTGCAGTATCTTGGAGTCGGCAAAAGGTACAGTGTCACATTCACGAGGATTATGAAATCTCAACATCACTGCACATGTAGATTATGCATATCACCTATGGTAACGCTCATGCAACCTTTTTCAAAAAGGAAGTTTTCAAGATCATTATGAACAAGCAAAAAACAAACAGAACTGAAGCGGAGGTATATTTTCTCTTTGGCGTACGCCCTACAGCATATTCCCTATTGAGGAAACATGTTCACTGACAAACATGATCTTGTAAACTGAGGGGCAAAAGAAAGTATACTGAGTTAGTTCCCTATGTAATTGAAAATTATAAGAACTGTTCAAGTCTTTGAAAGGCATTTGGAAGTGAAACACATAAGGAAGAGAATTTATGGATGTCAACTTCTTTATTATGAGGAACACAAAGTTTCGGAGAAAATGCTTACTCCTTCATCAAAGTTGTGTTCTTCATAATAAAGAAGTTGACATCCATAAATTATCCTCCTTAAAAGAACTGTTGTTATGTCATGTCTATTTAACCATCGCTCATTCCTGAAACAGTTTGTAAAAAGTAATCTGTGGCTGGGACATTTTGTGTGAACAATAATTGGTTCACTGTGGTAAAAAATGAATTGACAACCACATGACTCCTACCATGTTTGAAATGTAAATTTGTGCCGAAGAAAGCAAATTTATTGATTTTCAAAGATAATATGTCAAAGATACCCATCACCATTTGTGTACTATGCGATAAAACGAAAGATTGTGGAAGTATTCTTGAGTGTTGACTAAGCGCCAGTACAGTTCAATTTCTGGCTTTAATGTGTTTTCAATTGAAAATCAAACATATGATAAAAATCAACTGATACGTGAGGTCTATTGTCCCAACAGTGTCTTTGTATACATATTGCGCAGCAACTGACAATACCTTCCCTGTAAACCATATTTTAGTTATTTATGTCATAACCCGATTCTCCATACAATTCAAGGCTTTCGAGAAATCGTAAAAGCACAATTGATTTCTATTTACTATTTTATTAATCTGTATGAGCATATCCATTATTAAAATGTTAACAGTAGCTATTTATATATTTCCTCGACAGTTTTAATGTTGTAAGAACAGCGGCGTTTGTCATTCAGACAAACAACAGTATAGTCAATATGCTATTGGAACGCCATCACTAAAACGTATATTTGTTTGTTTGTTGTTTAACGCCGCACTCAGCAATATTCCAGCTATATAACTGTAAATAATCGGGTCTGGATAAGACAATCCAGTGATTGACATCATAAGCATTGATCTACGCATGAGAATTGAGATATGATATCAGATACTTTTGCTAAGTACCCTAACATTTATATGTATACATAACTGCGTGTATAGTTAGGACTGATAGTAAGTTTTAACATAGGTCCTGTATTTATGAAAGGAAACATAGAAAACCGACGTCAGCAAATTTCAGTAAATAAATAATTAGTTTCCATTCGGGCGTCTATCTCAATACATTTGAATCCGCCATTGCACTTTAAGTACGTACCTCAAACAACGTCCTTCTTAAAAGTTGATAAATTCAGTGCTTTCTGAAGCGATGTACGGCTCCTTATCTCGCGTGTTCTATTTACTAATTAATGTATGCGTGAGCCTGTATGGTGGAATTTTCAGTGGAAGATGTTGAACGGCGCTGTCGCGGATATGTTGAATGAGTAGACTGTGGAGAGGTGAATGGATAGGCTGTGAGATATGGAACGAGTAGATTCAGGAGATGTTAAATGAGTAGATTCAGGAGATGTTGAATGAGTAGATTCAGGAGATGTTGAATGAGTAGATTCAGGAGATGTTGAATGAGTAGACTGAAGAGAGGTGAACGGATAGGCTGTGAGATATGGAACGAGTAGATTCAGGAGATGTTGAATGAGTAGATTCAGGAGATGTTGAATGAGTAGATTCGGGAGATGTTGAATGAGTAGATTCAGGAGATGTTAAATGAGAAGATTCAGGAGATGTTGAATGAGTAGATTCGGGAGATGTTGAACGAGTAGATTCAGTAGATGTTAAATGAGTAGATTCAGGAGATGTTGAATGAGTAGATTCGGGAGATGTTGAATGAGTAGATTCGGGAGATGTTGAATGAGTAGACTGAAGAGAGGTGAACGGATAGGCTGTGAGATATGGAACGAGTAGATTCAGGAGATGTTAAATGAGTAGATTCAGGAGATGTTGAATGAGTAGATTCGGGAGATGTTGAATGAGTAGATTCAGGAGATGTTGAATGAGTAGATTCTGGAGATGTTGAATGAGTAGACTGAAGAGAGGCGGAAGGATAGGCTGTGAGATATGGAACGAGTAGATTCAGGAGATGTTAAATGAGTAGATTCAGGAGATGTTGAATGAGTAGATTCAGGAGATGTTGAATGAGTAGATTCAGGAGATGTTGAATGAGTAGATTCTGGAAATGTTGAATGAGTAGACTGAAGAGAGGCGAATGGATAGGCTGTGAGATATGGAACGAGTAGATTCAGGAGATGTTAAATGAGTAGATTCAGGAGATGTAGAATGAGTAGATTCAGGAGATGTTGAATGAGTAGATTCAGGAGATGTTGAATGAGTAGATTCTGGAAATGTTGAATGAGTAGACTGAAGAGAGGCGAATGGATAGGCTGTGAGATATGGAACGAGTAGATTCAGGAGATGTTAAATGAGTAGATTCAGGAGATGTAGAATGAGTAGATTCAGGAGATGTTGAATGAGTAGATTCTGGAGATGTAGAATGAGTATATTTAGGAGATGTTGAATTGAGTAGATTCAGGAGATGTTGAATGAGTAGATTCAGGAGATGTTGAATGAGTATATTCTGGAGATGTTGAATGAGTAGACTGAAGAGAGGCGAATGGATAGGCTGTGAGATATGGAACGAGTAGATTCAGGAGATGTTGAATGAGTAGATTCAGGTGATGTTGAATGAGTAGATTCGGGAGATGTTGAATGAGTAGATTCAGGAGATGTTGAATGAGTAGATTCAGGGGAAACTGAACGTGTAGATTCAGAAGATGTTGAACGAGTAGATAAAGTCAAAAACCTATGCCCTCTTAAAGGTCTGATGATAATTTCGAACTAAGACTTCGTTGTGAAGAATGCGATGACAAGACTGAGGCATTGTCTTTGTGTGATTAGAGTCATCATTAATTGCTAGTTTTGATCACATTCACTGGGACTGCTAGGATTGAAAATCGATTAATTTAAAACGGAAGGTCCTGATTAATAATATAACCGATTATCAAACGAGAATATTATATTTTATTTTCAGAACAACCTGCACGCGGATCTTACTGATACCGATGGGAATACAGGTCTGATGTACGCATGCGCGCTTGGTCATAATGACATTGTGAAAGTGTTCATTGATTATCACAGAAAAGGTCACCTTAGCCTTGACCTTCTGAAGAAGAACTATGATGGGATGGGGGCTTTGGAACATGCAGCTCAAGGCGGCCATCTTGACGTGGTTAAACTAATCTCTAGTTGCGCGAGGGCCGCAGATTCGAATCAGGAAATTTCCAACATGGCGACCGATTGTGAATGGGTTGAGGAACAAGCACCGAACCCGACCCCCACCGATCACAAATCGCAGTCAATGAATGAGAAGATGCACCAGTTTATACAGGAGGTTCAGGATGCATCTGTGGAAGAATCGTGTGACGAAATCAAGCCATCTCCGTGCGCTGGATTGCCTCCCCCTGACGTCATCATCACTGGCGAGGAATATGTTCAGAATGAGGCCAACATACTTTCGGAACAGAACAACAAGAGACTGAATAATCCCCACGTCGCGCCGTCCACAGCACCAAGATCGCCTTCCGTCAATCGTCGTCTGAAATCTGCTGCCAGAAGAACGGCAGAACAGCTCAGTGATGAGGAGACGGAACTTAGTCTAGCAAGTCTAGGAGAACTGGTTACGACTGTAAGAGAGTGTGCGCGGGAGATCAGAGAGATTTACCATCACCCAGACAAAGACGAGAAATCAAAGCATTCCAAAAAAGGAAAAGGGGCAGGTAAGAAGGTCAAAAGTGAAAAATCCAAAATGGCCGATGTTGACAATGCTGATCTCAAGCGGAGACGCGCATCAGGGCCTGGGGTTTTAAGCAAAGACAGAAATCAGTCTGAACTGGATACAAAAGATGCTGACTTGGCGCTAAACCAGACCTGGCCTAAGAGGAGCACCTCCTCCTTGAGTGTCCGACTGTCTGCCTCCAACACATCACTGAACAGGGACGAGCCAGGATATAGGTCACCTTCTCCCGCAGTGGCGCCCCCTAGCGGCGAGTGTGGCGACAAGACTCTTCTTCAAGAAAAGCATATTCTGGATAAGGTATTCTGTCGACTCAATAATTCCAAGGTTATATGGGGCGGAGACACCCCTCCGCGTGAAAACAGCACGAGGGAGCCACCGTCCAAGGCCACAATGCTGGTTCGGGATCAGTTCTCTTCTTATGGAAACCCGTTGCCAGGCATACATCGCAGCACAGGGTGTCTCCCGCCCATCCGAGATGGCGGTAGGCACCGGCAGGTTGCCCACACCCATGTCCTGAACAAAGTGCCCGGGGGTCCCGGAACAGAGGGAGGGGATTCCGTGGAGGGGTCGTGCTCAGACGGAGAGGGGGAAGAGGACGTAGCGATTGGGATCTTCATGGCTGTATGAGACAGATTTTTGGTTATGTTCTCACGTTTTATATTTATATATTTCATATTCTTTTCTCCTTCCCCATGTTGGGGGATTTGGACTTCTTTAATGGGAGGTGTTAGGGCGTTGTGTTTGTGAATGTAATAAGCTTCTGCTTCTTTAAGCGCTTTGGTTGAACAGCATTGACGTGGGTGCTTGCGACTTACCATGTTAGAGGTAGGAACCATAACACTTTGAATGTTGTATTCAACACGGGATTGTGATTAAAACAAATATTGCTTTATTTATGAACCCCTTTAACCAAAGATTGAAATGAAATTCGCTCTAAAATACAAACTTTGTTTTTACCACCTCATACTTTTACACCTCCCCTTTTTACTCGAGTTATTGTTTGCATGCCTGTCTTGAAAGGGTGACCTTTTGACCTTGACCTTGAACAGAGTGCAGCAACAAACTGTTGATTAAATTTGTTATTGGTGGTTACACAAATAGTTTTCGTTAGTTGTTATATGAAGAGTAGCGCTGATGTAAAAAAAAAGTACTACCCACATGTGATCAACATCAACATCACGTCAACACGAGCATCGACATGACAGGCACATGGACACAAAGAAGGGCGATCCTTGACAATAACCCGAAGTGGTCGCCAGCTGATTTTATTTCTGTTTACTTGTTCTAAACATAGAACTGTTGTGTACAGCCATTATTGGATCCCCGTGTAATAACAATCAAGAACAGGACCAATCAATTGGTTGTTATCGATCACCTATTTCCTCCCGAATGGGAATCACGATCGCCTAAAGGCGTGATGTTTATAATGTTTATTGCTGTGATATCTCCTGCTACACTGGCCAGAGTAAATGTTACTTGTGTTATAACCTGCGTCTTGTCTTGTCTGTTTACGTCATAAGAGAGATGTTTGTTTGTTGTTTTATGCCGCACTCAGCAGAATTCCAACTTTACATATTGAGTCTAGACAAGACAATCCATTTATTGACGTCATGAGCATCGATCCACGCAATTGGGATACGATGACATGCATCAACCAAGGCAGCGAGCCTGATCCCGTTAGTCGCCTCTTACGACAAGTATGGTCGCCTTTTAAGACAAGCATGGCTTGCTGAAGACCTATTCTACCCCGCATCTTCACGGGTCTGGTACATGACGGCATTTGTTTAGCGACAGCAAGCACACAGATTTGACTGTGATGACTCGCGGCTTGTTTGTTTCGCAACTATTTAATTACTATTACCAAGGAAAACCGGAAGTGACGACTCGATGTGCTACACAATCAAGCCTATCTCCCACAAAAGGCGCTGGTATAACCAGTATGAATGTATGTTTGTGTGTTTCTGAACGCCGCAATCAGCAATAATCCAGTTATATGACGGTAGTCTGTAAATAATCAAGTTTGGACCAGGCAATCCCGTAAGTTATTGACGTCATGAGCATCGATGTTTGCAGTTGGGATACGATGACATGAATCAACCAAGTCAGCGGCCCTGACCACCCGGCCCTGTATCCATTGCCCTGACCACCCTGTTGCCTCTCACAAGGATAGGTTGCTCAAAACCTATTCTAACCCGGATGTTGCTGGTTCCATGATACGAATTTAGATAATATAAAGACATATCAGCAGTTCTTAATTACAAATGCAAATGGTTTGATGTGTACGTGTAACGTAATAATCATAATCGTTCTTCGGCTGTGATTCATACATTCATTGAGGAGCGGTAGCCAGGAGGTTGAAGCGTTCGTATCTCGCGCCGAAGACTCTGTTTCATGAGAGTGCGCGCCCGCTTCTACTAGTCCGAACTAAGACTGGGATACCATGCAGCGAATTTAACATGGATACCCTTCTCCTACACAGCATGGGCGGATACAGCTTTTTTGAAAGGGGTGGGGTGTGTGGGGGTGTGGGTGTGTGTGTGTGTGTGTGTGTGTGTGGGGGGGGGGGGGGGTGCACAATTAAGATCTATTAGGTCACGTGTCACTTAACGTCTTCCACTCTTCGGGTATCGCTCTATAGCTTCCTCTAATGACAAACTTCGGCTGTATAGATCACGATGATGGCTACCAGATGGAATCGAGCTCAGATGAAGCCAAACATAAGTTATGACTCCAAGTCAGATTTAAGCTACATTACTTCTATGTCCATTTTGTGTCCCGTTTGCTGTAGGGAACATTGAGTGTATGCCAGTATGCACCCGCTCTATACATCCAAACCTCACTTTGTAGAAACATAATGAATGTCTGATCCCGACATTATTACAGGCTATTGTCTAAGGAGAACTAAGAACTTCGAGACCCGTGAAGATCCGGGGTAAAATAGGTCTTCAGCACCCCATGCGACTAACGGGATCGGGTGGTCAGGCTCGCTGACTTGGTTGATGCATGTCATTGTATCCCAATTGCGTGGATCGATGCTCGTGATGTCAATCACTGGATTGTCTGGTCCAGACTCGATTATTTACAGACTGCCGTCATATTGCTGAATATTGCTGAGTGAGGTGTTAAACAACTTAAAACAAAAGAACTTCGATCGAGTATATTTCAGAGTCTACTTTGAGAATAACATACGCGCTACGAGGAAATACTGTGTTTATGTACCCGGCGAATTATTTTTTTAATTTTGTGAGATTACTACCGCCATGCAGTTGCTGTATTGTTCATAAGTTTCTAAGCAAATAACGTACATAGTCGAGACATTTACTGTCACGATAACATTGCTAGAATTTTCAAGCCTTGTCGAGAGACACTGAACGACGATGTATACATAGGTATGTGACCCACCGGGAGAAAGCGGACCGTATGGGTGCTAGGGTATAAGTGTGCCGTTACGTCCCGTAAAAATCGCAATGTGACTTAAAAGATGTCGTATTTTTCTCTCGTTAGTTCCTAATGTAATAAAAAAAAACATCATTTCAAAACATTTCATCATACATGTCCATTTTCAATTAATCAGACATTATATCTAAACTGCAATTATTACATAAACAGTCAAAAGTCTGAAAATGGGACTTTGCAGAATATGAGTCCAAATATTTGATGCCATGTGTCTCTGTAATAAATATCACTTGAAGTTTATCAGTTGTATTTTTGTGGTCCCAAGATACTGTAGTTATAAAATATAATGAAAAGTTTAAATGTGATTTTTCACCAATAAGTTCCCTTATCTTCTGGTGGGTCACGTATAGAGATAGATAGAAGTATTTAACGAGTAGCAGATGACCCGCCATTCCTAGCTGCGTGTAGGTTCGTCTGTATACTCACACGCAGCTAGGTGAGAAACAATCGAGACATCACAAGGATTGTCGTAAGCAGCCCTGAAGAAATGGGTCAATCTGCCGTTGGAACGGCGTCAAACACACACGTCCTCGGTGTTATGAATAATGCATGACGTCATCTTTAATTATTTGAGACAATGCTTTGCTATGGAATCTTCGCTGTTTGAAAACTATGTGGAACAATTGGCATGGCACTAGCCAATCATCACATCATTTCCTACACAGAGATCCATGCGGCCAGCATAGTACCTCACAGGCCAGCGCCATGGGACGATTCGCCACATCTTACACAGTACATTCAAGGTATTGCATATGTTTTTAATCTGTTCATTTTTTACGGGTCTACACATTGAGACAAACATATATCACAGAATGATTAAGTTTCAGTGAGAAAATATCCTAAAACGGGAAAAACTATTTCCATTTGCGTAGTTATCCCATGTTTACTTTGGTTGTACGGCTCCACGAGCTGTCATCGAAGCCCTACGGAGAGGTAGCGATGCGGTCACTTTGATGTGTAAAACTATATTGTCATGCTATATGCCTCACTGTCGCAGTTGTAGTAGTATATCTATACTATAGTAGTAGTATGTCTGTCAGTTCTGATATCAGATGAAGTGCGCTTGTCTATAAACAAGAGAAAAGCCTGGTCACGTGATTTGCCAGTGTTATTTTAAGTAACCACTACGCCGGTGTGTGACAAGCCTGTCAGCCGGCCTTTCCGGACACCATGACGTCATAGTTTTTCATCATGACGACATCATCTTTTCACGTCATACTTAACCCTGTCCACATCTTGAGTTATCATCACGTGTTGTACGAGGTTGACCTCGTTCTATTTGTTTTTGTTGGATTATCGTGACCCCTGCCTTAGATACACTTGGAAATTGAATTTGATCAAAACATTATTAACATTATCAAAACGGCACAAGGCTGGAACACCGCAGTGCTGTAGCTGGAATACCGCTGTGCTGTAGCTGGAATACCGCTGTGCTGTAGCTGGAATACCGCAGTGCTGTAGCTGGAATACCGCTGTGCTGTAGCTGGAATACCGCTGTGCTGTAGCTGGAATATCGCAGTGCTGTAGCTGGAATACCGCTGTGCTGTAGCTGGAATACCGCTGTGCTGTAGCTGGAATACCGCAGTGCTGTAGCTTGAATACCGCTGTGCTGTAGCTGGAATACCGCTGTGCTGTAGCTGGCTGTAGCTGGAATACCGCAGTGCTGTAGCTGGAATACCGCAGTGCTGTAGCTTGAATACCGCTGTGCTGTAGCTGGAATACCGCTGTGCTGTAGCTGGCTGTAGCTGGAATACCGCAGTGCTGTAGCTGGAATACCGCAGTGCTGTAGCTGGAATACCGCAGTGCTGTAGCTGGCTGTAGCTGGAATACCGCAGTGCTGTAGCTGGAATACCGCTGTGCTGTAGCTGGAATACCGCAGTGCTGTAGCTGGAATACCGCTGTGCTGTAGCTGGAATACCGCTGTGCTGTAGCTGGCTGTAGCTGGAATACCGCTGTGCTGTAGCTGGAATACCGCAGTGCTGTAGCTGGCTGTAGCTGGAATACCGCTGTGCTGTAGCTGGAATACCGCAGTGCTGTAGCTTGAATACCGCTGTGCTGTAGCTGGAATACCGCTGTGCTGTAGCTGGCTGTAGCTGGAATACCGCAGTGCTGTAGCTGGAATACCGCAGTGCTGTAGCTGGAATACCGCAGTGCTGTAGCTGGAATACCGCTGTGCTGTAGCTGGCTGTAGCTGGAATACCGCAGTGCTGTAGCTGGAATACCGCTGTGCTGTAGCTGGAATACCGCAGTGCTGTAGCTGGAATACCGCAGTGCTGTAGCTGGAATACCGCAGTGCTGTAGCTGGAATACCGCAGTGCTGTAGCTGGAATACCGCTGTGCTGTAGCTGGCTGTAGCTGGAATACAGCAGTGCTGTAGCTGGAATACCGCTGTGCTGTAGCTGGAATACCGCAGTGCTGTAGCTGGAATACCGCAGTGCTGTAGCTGGCTGTAGCTGGAATACCGCTGTGCTGTAGCTGGAATACCGCTGTGCTGTAGCTGGAATACCGCAGTGCTGTAGCTGGAATACCGCAGTGCTGTAGCTGGAATACCGCTGTGCTGTAGCTGGAATACCGCTGTGCTGTAGCTGGCTGTAGCTAGAATACCGCAGTGCTGTAGCTGGAATACCGCAGTGCTGTAGCTGGAATACCGCAGTGCTGTAGCTGGAATACCGCAGTACTGTAGCTGGAATACCGCTGGTTGCGGCCAAAAACAACAAACAAACACAATGAAGACATGGGCGAATTTAGATCGACATGATCATGTGACCTTGAAAGGCTTATAAGGTCACTGTTTATAACAGTACACGGATCTCAATAACTTTGTTGCCTTGATATGCAGTTATCAAATAATTATAACTACGAAAATATAAAACAAATGGATGCGTGTGAATATTTATTATAGAATATTCAACTGTACGAGAAAGGTCACTTAAACAGGTTTTACAGTCTTCCATTTCATGAATAATTTCCATAAACCAAATTTGGATGCGCATGGCTCGGCTATCGATGTCGGGAGATACAATAATAGTAT